TTTTTTTTTTTTATTTAAGCTGAGTACAGAAACAAGTTTAAGTGATCTACTGAATATAGACTCAGGGCTTAGCTTTAATTTGAGGAGTTAAATTTAAAGTGATTCCAGTTGTTTCCACCTTTTAATTTTAAAATGCAACTCACTGGGTTTTGAATAGGTGATCGACTCGCCTACTATAGAATATTCCACTTAACTTTCAGATCCCCTTGAGGTGATTTTGCAGTAAGTCTTTGCTGCATTTGTATGAATCTGAGCAGTTTATCCCCATGAACAGTGGTTATGTAACATTTTTACAGAGTTGGATTATGAAACCTCCACATTTCTTTTCACAAGTTGATCTTTATCTATCAAAAGTCTTCTCTTGATGATGACCTTTGTGAATGGTTTCTTCTTAATCATGGAAAGGATCCTGGGATCATACACCAATATAAACTGTGTACATCCAGGTTGTAGGGCTCACTAGCTCAATTTTCCTCTCAAATCGGCATTAATGTGTTCTTTCAAATAAAATTAGCAGTAGATCTTTTAATTCCTAAAGTTATTATAATTTTTGAAGAAATTGCTGAGACTTCTCCACAAAGACTACTGAATTACTTTTTAACACATAACTTTAATGTATTATGAATGAATGGTAAAATCCTCAAACTTAACCTCAAAGTTTTTATTTTAAACTAAGTTATAATACTACAACTTCAATGTCGTTTGGTACACAGCTAAAAAAGAGAAATTTTTTTCAAAACTGTGCCAGTGACAGCTACGAACTTAAATGTATATCTAATCATACAGTGGGGAATGCAACAACAACAAAAAAAAACACAGCGAACACTGTTGGCTGGTTAAACTCACCCATACACGTGTAGGTAGCTAGAGCCCAGGAGAGGGCACTAACCTGCCTGCCGTCCTTTGACCTCCACAGGCATTGCAGCTGGGCAAACTTACTGGCTGCACTAATAAATGTGCACAGGCTCTGAGAGGAGAAGGAGGTCAGATTTCATGTGATAACAAGCTGAACATGGAGCTGAATTTCAAAAAGTTTCAAACACCTTCTGCTGCTTCGGTCAAACTTTAAGAGGAAAGGATGTGGAGGGTTCGCTGCTCTCACCTATTTAAATGCAAAACGCCCTGAGACATGTTCATCTCATTAACCAACCGGGCCATTTGGCATTTATAAGGTCTGGGTGAGAAACACCGGGTGAAATGAGGTCTGTATAAGTTTCTTCTCAAAGCTCCACCTCATTGCCCCTGACTGATGACATGCCATCTCTTTGCTGACTCTGTCTCTCACGCACACACTGACTTATGATTGATTTTAAACAGGTTTATTACCATAGCCAAATCTATGATCCACTTCTCCAGAGTCAGGAGCCTCCAGCCTCCCACAAACCTGAGCACAAGTACGTTAAGGCAGGGACACAAAAGTCTAATGGGTCATTGATTTCTGCACAAATTGAACGAGCACTTTCACATCAATTGGTGCGATAAGTGAAAGGATACACCACGGCGTAGATGAGGCTCTGCCGCAGGCTGCCGTTGTAGTGAAGAATCAGGAGGAGGAGGATGACGTCTGAGGACACACGGCGGGTTATAACTCGCACCATTTACAGCTCTGTTTGATTTCCATTTCAAGGGCTGCTGATATTTGCAGATGCTTCAGAGTGTATTCAGACTCCTGTTTTTTCCAACCTTATTTTGCCCATCTCTCTACCCTTAATTACACTTAATGAAAAGTCTTAATTTCCTCCACCACTGCCACAGGCATGAAGTTGCCAATCATATGTGCAGCTTTACTAAACAAGATACGTTAATATGACTGAGCTCCTTTTGAATGATCTCAATAGACAGAGACTACAGAGAGCAACGCGAGGCATTTAAGACTGAATGATAAACTAATTAAGGAATCTGGATCTAAGACAAGGTTGAAAAAAAGACACTTGCGGAGATAATTATAAGCAGAGGAAATTTATGTAACAGCATAACTTACCTTGAGCAATGAGGATGGGATATTCCAAGTAGGTTGGCGGTGGGTAGTCGTAGTACATCTGATATGTTACAAAAACAATGAACCTGTAAAGCATATGGTGTCAGGTTATTAAACTGGAGGTGTTTTGTTATATTCAGTACTGATTAAAATGAGAAACAATGCTCAGGGGCAAACGAGCCAAAGAATCAGTGGCTGCTTAAAGCTTGATGTTGTGGGAAGGGATTCACACGGGGAGTCAACAAGCAGTTTCTGAGCCAAGCGGCGGCATGATGATCAGTTCATTCACTCTTTTATGAGAGCAGCTCGACTCGGTGTGCTCAGCAAACACGATGAATCAACAGTGGTAGCCTTCAGCAGGAGATGGTCTGCAAGTAGTAGTCTATAGAGGGCTGAACTGACTGCAATCAAACCGTAAAGAAATCAAGATTCCATTAAATGTGCCAATAGTTGTTTTGTTTTTTTTAAAAATCAAATGAACTGATATATAATTTTTTATAATTTGCTTCTATATTTAGCTACCTTTATATCGATTAATTTTCCCTTTTGTTTATCAGTGTATTAGTTTTCCCATTCAAGCATTTTTCCTTTGCTTTTCCCCCTAAACATCTATTATTCCATTTTCCCTTTTTGATTTTTCATCTCTGCTAAATTATGCAAATGTGCTTGCAGATTGCAGTGGTTAGAAATGCATAAAAGAACGTAAAAAGACAAACAGAAATGTTTGCAGAGATAAATGAAGGGAAAATGAAATGGAAATAAATACAATGTCAGCGCTCATGAATGCAAAGACAGGGTGAGGAGCAAGTTAAGGCACTTTAGGAGTCTGACTTGGATTTTATAGGTAAAGAAAGAGAGCTCTGTGTAGACCCAGGAACCAGGAGAGAGATTACAGCTGTCAGTTGGCTGAGGACCACACTGGCATCACCTCCTAACTAGGGAGAGGGAGGTTTGAACTCCTCTGCTTAGACTGTTGCTCTTACAGCCCAGACAGGCAGCACAAAAGCGGATGGATGGATGGATGTACTGAATACATCAAAAATTAAAAAAGAAAGCAAATGAACTGAGATATTCATGCAAAGACAAGTAAATAAAAAAGCAAGTAAAAGCATCTCAATTCATGTCCCATTTTATAAAATACATTTATACATACAGTTTACATTTGGGGCATTTGATGACATAATCCATTTTTACTTCTGCACTAATGAGTTTGTTTTGATTCTGGCAGGTTTGAGCCTCCCAGCCCTGTTATGCAAGCCACCGTACAGATGCATACATGTGCACACAGAGAGATTCCCACAGTGTTAAATAAACAGTATAACACAATAACATCATATGGTGAAATCAATAGCAGATTAACCTATCCACTCTCAGATAGGCTTTATTGTGTTGGGACTTTTTTTTTTTTGTTCCTAGGAAGAGGTAGTGATCAATAAAGCCAACTGCCAGTTAATATAATCTAGAATAGAGATATTTAATATTGGCATGTGTGGAAATGATTTTCCACTAGTGACAAAACCGTTCATGCCGAATGACAAGAGTGCTTTTCTTTGCTGCTTTGTAGCCATGCTGTGTAGATTACTACTAACTACATAAACGTCTTCACTGTTTCAGCGTGGCATGCACAGTGACAGCAAGCTAACGCTTACCAAAACAGTGGGGACATTTCAGACAGTGCAGCCACTGCCAGGCACCAAGGAGAGAGAGAAATTACGCAGACTTACAGACACGGTCTTTATCCCTCCTGCTCCAACAGTGAAGGTAACCACAACACTTCCTGTTCAATGCATAAGAAGCACTTCAAGCTCTAATCTGCTGCACTGATTCAACAGCAGACTGCACAAAGCTTCACACAGAGCCAGCCGAGGCTGACTCTTACCCCGTTTTTAATCATTTAACCAAAATCTTCAGCTGTGCAAACAAAGCACAATTGTTCAGTGTTGAGCCTTCGCAGTAGGATTATATTTTTCATTTTAAGGTACTGTAGTTTTTCAGCTGTTAGGAACACAATCTCTTTGTGTCCCATTTAAGTTTTAATCTGTAAGAAATACTCATTTCTTTTATCAAAGTGAAAGTGGTATTTATGCCAAAATGTATTGCTATACATCAGCGATTCTGTAGGGGTTTTAGGATGGGGGTGTCAAACCTGTTCTCCATGAGCTGCCCAACGGATCCAGTCTGACCCCCTGGATGGCTTTAGTCACTCAACTTTTATAATGAAATGCACTGCTAATCCTGCAATCTGGATACTATACAGGAGTAATACATCTATATAAATGGAAATACAGAGTACTATTATATTGGAGTATAACTTGTGTGTTTGGTTCCAAAAGCTTATCATCTGAAGGCAGTTTTGGTCTTTAGCAGACTTACTGTGAACAGTACAGTTGATTTCACACAAAACAGAAATATTGTTAAAATGCTAAAATATGTCTTAAAAGCTCTCAGTCCGTCTCTCCATAGATAAAACATGGACTAAAGTACATAAAGCTTAACTATGGCAAAATGTGTTGACTGCAATGCTGAGGATGTTACATGATAACCATTTTCAGGATGCTACTGACGCCTAATGTGACAGAATTTTTAATACTGTAATGTTAGCTAATGGAGAGCACTTTGTCTGCAACAGTTTGAGGGTGTGTTGGAGTAAGAAAAGAAATTTCTTTAGGGATGAAGTTTGCACTTTTTCTCTGTACCTGCATGGGTTCCTTCCACAGTCCAAAGAAATGCAAGTAAGATAGCACTGTGTTATACTGAAAATGCAGGATAGGTATTGCCGATACTGATACTTATGACGTATAAAGGCAGCTTGTGTTGGGGAGAGCAGTGTCATGATTTATGATCAATCATCAATTTGAAAATTATGTACACATCTCAATGAGCAATAAAAATCAAACGTTTCGGGTTTTCATGTATTTTGAAGCTGATTTTTTTGGGGGGAGGACACCTGAAACTTGCCTCTCTCTAAAGCACTTAGTCAACTTCTGTTGTATCAATATGCTGTAGAACTAAGTATCGGTCCTATCACGCTAGTATCGAGTCAATACCAATACCAGCGATTCTATCACCTGTACTGTAGGGTTACGCGGTGATTTTAACATTCTGACTTACTGGTAACATTCAACGTTGTTAGAATGTTACCAGTAAGGTGGTAACTTTTAAACGTCGTTTATCCAGCCTTTAAGGAGAAAGAATTTTGGTAACAAAGACAACACCAGAGCTTTTAGTGTTGAGCGTCTCGCAGCGTTTTCAGAAGAAGCATTTGTAGCTGCTCTCTGACAGGATGAGTCCGCCTTCACTGCTGAACACCAACCACAAGTGAGGAAGAGGAAGACGTCCCATCATCACAGCAGCTTGAAGTTACTAAATTACATGGATACTCGCACACGTGAACAGATTATGTAACAAAATTTAAGAGCGAGAAACAAAAAAAAAATAAAATAAAAAAATCCCAGAAGCGGGACAGCAGCCTACCCGATCAGCTCCAGCAGAAGGCTGTTGAGGCTCACTCCGGTCGTAGATTTCGCTCGCATCAGTACAAAGATCTGCGGGAACTTGAGCACCATGCACACAAACAGTGTGCTGAAATTCGCGATGTGCAACAACGTGTCGACCTGCTGCATGTTGTAAAGAGAGGGATTACAAAATGTAAACTTTAGATTGACAGATCTATGCTAATTTCTATCAAAAACGACCCGCAGGACCCTACTGCTCTGCCTCCACAATCAGACTGCTCGAATTTACAAAATACTTCCGCTTTGAACTTTCAAAATAAAGGTGACTGTGACTATGTGGAAAGCGTTAGAACTTTTAGGCTATAGTCTGAAACTTAAAGAAAATAAACAATTATATGAATGTGTGTAAAAAGTAAAAAAACAAACGTCTAACACAAATCTATTCATAGAATGATAGAGACTTTCTTTTATTTTGAAAGTGCACCTGTTTCACCTCCTCTTCTTAGCCGTTAGCTTGGCAGGTTCCCGTCAGACGGCATCTTTTCTCACTTCCGTACATCCACTGAACGCTGATTGGACGGCACACAGCTTCGCCCGGAGTATTTGAAATCTGTACTTTCTGAGCACGGAAAATCATTTCCTCTCATGAGTCTGGGCCTGCGCTGTAGTTTTTGTTTTGTTTTGAATATTTTCATACTTTGCTTTTCTAAAAACATCACAGAAAGCACCAACGTAGGAACTGTTACCATATTACAGGCAAACTCCTCAATTGTTGCCTTGAAATATTGAAGTTGGTGCCAAAGATTCACACCTGCACCTTGAAGCATTTTGATTCTTCAGACATTGGGGCCCCAAACAGAACAGGACGACATTAAAGAAAAGTTGAAACAGAACGTTTCCCTGCCCTTTAGGTGGGAAATCACTGTGAATCAGCTTGTCTCTGATAGCAAAAGGCATAAATTTAAGATGTTTTCAAAGGTTTACAACAGGGATGTATACAGGGTGCTTTGTTTTTAAGTGGGCGACTACAGTGATTGCATACATGATTACATTATTATAAAGATATGAATTTTTTGTCACGGTCTGTATGGTAGACCGTGGGGATGGGGGGGAAGTAGGACCCAAAATGCAGGATTCCTCACAGCAAACAGCGCGTTTATTTACAGTGCAACAAATGACAATAAATCCCCGTGCTCTCCCTTGACTGCCGCATCATGTCTTCCCCAAAAAGTAAGTGTCCGTGTGCTCTCCGCACACATCCACCAGGCCTGATGATGCCTGAAACTCAGTGATTTGCCACAGCCACTGATACACACAAACAAGGAACAACAGCAACACATGTCCATGAATTATTCAAGAACCCTTTTTCCCCAGACCTTTAATTCAAAAGAGAATTTCTTTTTTTTTCTGTGAAAAAAAAAAAAAATTCTTACGTAATTACTTTGGTGTAGTATTAATAAGGGGGATTTGTTATCAATAAGAAAAGCTGTAAAATCAATGTAAATACAGCTAAAAGTTAAAAATCTATCTGAGATTTTATGCTTGACACCCCTGGTTTAGAAAAATCTGGAGACGGTACAAAAGCAGTCAAATAGCAATCACAGGAGGATTATTGTTCATAAGATCTTAGCCAACAATTACAGAGGAATGCATTTCAGCTGTTTGGGGCTTTTGAAAGAGGCCTGCTAAACAGAAAAGACAAGTAAGTAAAAAGATAAAGAAAAAACTAACCAGTGTTTATTTAAACTAAGGGCAATGACTGATTTCTGTGAATGATATATTACCAAATGAATGCTTCAGTTGCGTGAATGTGTGCCCTCACATATCCAATTTAAATTCATAATATTGTAGCGGGCTAGGGGGAAGGGCCACTGGCCCAAGGTCTTATGGGACTGTATACCTGATGTTAACATGTTGTAAGTTGTAGGGTTATAACGGCAGTTACAGTTATCAGGTGTTGATTTGCCATTTTTGTGTTAGTGTGTAACATTAGTCCTGCTGTGTGTTCTGTGTTTGGTGTGGCTGGTGGAGCACAGTGAGTTAGACGGCTGTGTCCATTTACCACCTCTCACTGCTGTGTGTGTGTGTGAAGGGGTGTTCCTAATAAAAGATTGTGCTCCCTGTAGCTTAGTATAACAGCTAAGGCAGAAATAGCAAGTTAAAACAGAAGTTTCTGTCTCCTACTTGTCTGAGCTTGCCACAATGTTAAGATTCATCCAGAGAAAAAGAAGAGAAATCTTCTGTTCAAAACACAAAGCTTCTTTTTCAGGTGTAAGACTCTCAGTTATGCTTTCATGTTGCTTTTGTTTTTTGGCCATCAGGTTTGTACAGCAACCTGGATTTAAGACAGGAGACATTTGTTTATTTGTTCAACTTTAATAACTCTGTAAGGCTTCAGTTTATTAACATAATGAGTAAAGTGTGGACATCTCGCTTCTTTAGTCAAGAAAAATCTCACCAACTGATTCACAGTATCAGCTGTTTACAAGCAGATAATCACCAGTGATCAAAGAGGTTGTAATAATGATAATGTAAGTCTAGGTTCTTTGTCTGTACATTTATTTGAACAACTTCTGATCTATTAAAACAGAACCTAAAAAACAAAAACAAAACTGACCAAAGAGGACAAAAGATTAAGTCAGGATAAAAAAAAAGTTGTAGCAAAGACCATTAAAAAAGTATGCCTTAACATATTTCTTGAAAATATCATTAATCAAGACACTATTATAAGTCAACATAGATAAATGCAGCACAAACATAGCAGTAAAATAGTTCTGAAATATACCCATACATGAAAACTGACTTCAAAATTAATTCTCTACTCAATAGAAAGTCTGCATTGGCATTCTGCGAACATGCATTTTAACTAACTGTCCCTTACATGACCTCTCTCTATTTGAGTTTCCTGAACTCAGCAGTGTCTCCATAATCTGAAAGCCGAAATCCAGCATGAAGCGGGTGAGTGAACGTGGTCTGGACTCTGTGGAGGAGAGTCATGGTTTCAGAGACGTTATAAAAACACAGAATACCGGCACTGTGATCCAGGTACACTCCTACTCTCCCAAACTGAGGACCTGAGACAGCCTTGTGAGAATTGTTGTGCACAAATTTAAAACCATTTCGGTCACAACATAATGCCCACGATGTCCTATTGAATCCTAATCCGCATTCATCTGAGAGCCCTGATCTGCTGGTACTCTTGTATGCGACTGCTATATAAACCTGTTTCCCGCTCCACTCCACCTCCCAGTAACAACGTCCAATCAGACTCTCTCTACTCATGACTTGACACCATCCAGTGAATCTGTCTGGATGACTAGAATATGACTGCTGTTCTTTCACAGCTGTGGCTTTTCTACCCCCCTCACATAATAACACTGATGTGTTAGCTGTGTTCAGATCCATTCTGATTTCACGTGAATATCTTAGGAATCCAACTCTGGTCTTTGGCACTGGTTCTGACAGCAAAACATCCACCTCAGTGACTGTCAGTGAGATGTTTGTCCATTTCTCTTTCAGAACATCCTGCAGTTTATCACTGACCTCTTTCACAGCTGCTGTCAAATCCTCAAAGTACCTCAGAGGACGGATCTCGATGCTGGATGAGTCTGTAGACTCATTAAGTGCTGACAGTAAGGAGTAGCTGTGTAGAAATTGGTTGTGATCCTCTGTGCATGACAGCTGTTCCAGCTCGGCGTCATTTCTTCTCAGCTCAGCAATCTCCTGCTCCACCTTCTCCTGAAGCTCTTTGACTCGACCCACTTCAGTTTCCTGCTGGGATCTGATCTGCTGCTTCAGATCTGAGCTTCTATTCTGCATGAGACAGATGAGCTCAGCAAAGATCTTTTCATTTTCTTCCACTGCTTTATCAGCAGACTGATTGATGGACTCCACCTCCTGTTGAAGAATCGTCACGTCTTTCTCTCGGTCACGGAGTCTCTGCTTGAGTTTTTGTCGACTCATTTCCAGCTCCTTCTGCTTCTTGGTCCTTTCTGCTTCAATTGGGACTGTTTCGTGGTATTTATGGCCAATCAGTTTGCAGTGACTACAGATACGCTGCCGATCAGTACGACAGAAAATCTTCATCGGCTCATCATGACTAGAGCAGATGTTTTCCTGGAGCTTCTTGCAGGGCTCGACAAGCTTGTGTTTCTTCAATGGTGCTGCATTATAATGATCCTGAAGGTGTTTCTCACAGTATGATGCCACACAGACTAAACAGGACTTGAAGGCTTTCAGTTTTCTCCCGGTGCAGACATCACAGGGTACATCTTCAGGTCTAGGATAGCAGTGATCAGCAGAAGCAGCTTGGAGTCCAGTCTTCTTTATCTCCTCCACTAAATTTGCCAACATGGTGTTTTTCACCAGGGCAGGTCTCGGTGTGAAAGTCTTCCTACACTGTGGGCAGCTGTGCATTCTCCTCCCCTTTTCATCCCAGTGGGTTTTAATACAGTTCATGCAGTAATTGTGTCCACAGGGAATGGTCACTGGGTCCTCGAGATGATCCAGACAGATTGAACAAGAGAAGATTTCCCTGTTCAGCTGAGCTCCTTTTTGTGCCATTTCTCCTCTCACTGTCAGCCGCTGTGTGAGTTTTCACTTCTATAGAAATGAAACACGTCCAAGATCTAAACAGAAACTTAGGAACAGGTTAGAGCTTGTTGCATTTCATAGCCGGAGGAAGAGGGAGGGAGGAAGAGCTGGGCTTGAATTTCATTAATAGCAGGGAAAAGGACAGTTTGAAGCACGCAGTATTTGTTCATCACCCCGTTGTTGTTGTTGTTGTTGTTGTTGTTGTTTTGACAAAATTTAAGTAGTTGGTCATTTTCAGTTTCGTCTTGGAATCTGAGAATTTGAATGACTGCACGAACTCAAACAGTATGGAAGATCATGATCACCAAAATCAGAACTGAAATCAAATCACAATTGTCTAATAAATATACAAAACTGAAGAGAAACAAATGAAGGCTAAAATAAATGAATTAAACATGACCTCAATTAATATTTGCTTTACTGTGTTTTAAACACATTCATTTTCATCATATTTAGTTTCTTGTTTCTGTAGGGTTTTGATCCTTTTCTGTGCCTCCTGTGTTACCACATCTCCATTTGTTCCTCTTTTATTTTATAGGTCAGTTCCTCATATGGCTCACCAGTTTCCCCTCATCCATTCTTTTCCCCAACCTTATTATTATCTTTATTGACTTCACCTTTCTGTTCATGTTCTCCTCTAGTTTCCTCTTGTTGGCTGTTTACTTGAATTTCAATTTTGGGGGGGATTTTGTCAGTGCTCTCCTGTTACTCTGTATAATGCCTCAGTTATCAGTTAATAAAACTTTTTGTTTAATCCACCTATCTTCTAGATCCTATTGCATCTTTGTACTGGGTGTAAACACATTTGGGTTTAATAGCTGATGATGTGTCCCAGCACATCCGTGAGATATACCCGTCATCTTTATGAATTTTTGCCTAGTGGTAATGAGAACCGTATCGGTACCAAAACAGAACCCTGTGGAACTCAATGAATAATTTTTATGTGTGAGGAGGATTCCTTACATTACATTTACATGAAAAAACGCGGAATCTATAGGAAAATTACAAGTGAACCTTATCAGTGAGTTTGATTAAAATATCAGGACTTTATAACAATACTGTTTCCAGAATCGTATTTTCTTTCAACAATGGCAATAGAAAAATATGAGTTAAAGTTGTATGACATCTGAAAACATGAAAATATAAAACAGACATTTAGGGGAAAAATACACAAAAAAAGCACAAAATTCTCAGCTCTTAAATTCTTTAAAAAATCCCTTTAAACATGTGCTACATTTTTTGGTTTAAGTAGCTTTATTCCTGCTTTGAAGTTGATTTGTGCTTGATTCTTCAACACCGAGTGTCCAGAGTAGCCTAGAAAGGCAGCAGCTCTGGGTCTGGCTTTTGTTTGCGTTGGCCTGCTGGCCAGAGTGTCAGCCTTTCCTGTCTAAGCAGTTCATCTCCCAGTGGAGTGTTCAATCTGCTACCATACACTTGGTTGGTAGTGTTGGGAATGCAATCAGAGAAAACTGAAAGGTTGTTCGGAAAAGGTCCCTACAAACAAATGGGGGAGTAATGTAACAGAAGGTCACGATTCAAGCTGCGTTTTTCATAATAGTGCAAAATCTTTCATACCTAGTTAATGTACCATTGTAAATGTTTCACATTTTAGTTTATCTCCGAAATTTCACAATGGTTTCGATACACTTTCTAGTTTGTTGCAGAAACATCTTTAAAATAAAAAAAAGCAAAAATCTTTTATCAAAGTTAAATCTAACAACTTCATCTTCCATAAATCACAATCAGTGGTAGTTTTTATTTGACGACCTATTAGTCCTTGTGTTCATCACTTATAACAGGTTGTGTTCAAAGCGTAAAGGGGAGTACATCTGCACTTTTTTTATACAGTGTTGCATTACATGCATTTTTCTTACCATGTGATGAATATCCTTGATATCCAAGGTTTCCTCCCTGTGGAACAGATTAAGTTTGTTTCACTGATTTTTGAATGAACGTGATCTGCCACTACTTGTTACTGAACCAGTGGTGCAATGTAACTTAGTACTGCATATTTGTACTTTTAAAAAAATTACTTGTTATGCTACATTTTTGAAGATTCTGTGAGAACGTGTTGTGGAATATTACGTAAAAGCTATGAAGCATGAATAAACGAATATGATCCAATGATACAATATACATGTGACTGTATTTCTGAAGTATCATTTCGAGTTTTTCTTATTTAATGCCTCTAAATACTTGTTTCAACACTTACAGAAATGATTTAACACAGTAAACTCCAGTGCAGTGCTGATTTTCATATCATGCTTTCTGTATGAAAGTCATCCTTAATGTTTTTCCGCACACTTTTATCAATTTATTATCAAATATTCTAATCAATTTCCTGTGCCATCCCCGCCTGCTTCTTCGTGGTTCTTATTAGAAAAATCCTGGCAAACTCGCCTGATAATTTAGACTACTTTTCAAACCATGCTCACCATTCCATTGCTGATTTCCTCTCTTTCCGTACCCTCTCTTTCCACAACTGGTCCTGTTTATCGGGATGAACCCGTGTCGTGTCGGCCAGTCGCTCAGCCCCAGCAGAGGACGCAGGCCTATTGGGATTCAAGCCCATCGTGGTAGCTAGATTAAATATAAATACTGTTTTGTCGCATAAAACTGCACACAGGCCACAAGCTAATGAGAGTTAAAGCGCCAGTCAGCAGAGCTTGTGGAAGAACTGCCCGGATCTAAGCGATTGTTTTCATTTCCATGGAAACGGTCCTCAATACCGGCAGAATATGTCTGAACGAAATGAAATTATATCAGTACCCCCCCCCCCGAAAAGAAAAACAAAAAAAATAACCTAACTTACTTACAATGACCAGTTCACCAGTTCAAACTGCAGCTGATCAGTGTCTGGACCTTCTCTTCATATTTTAAATAGATAGCTACTCACCTTCTTAACAAAAACAAAACAAAAACAAAAATCTCCTACTATGCGCTCTGAAATAGCTCCTCTTATTTCCAATGACATCTCATTGGTTAGGTTGCCCATAGATGTGGATATGAGTGCTAGCTGTGTTAGCGCTGAGCCATACTGGCGATCTGCCCAGGGTGTACCCCACCCCAAGGTAGCTGAGATGGGCTCCTGGTGGTACCTCGGTCCAGGTTGAGGACCAAAGGACCAAAGGAGAATTTGCTTTTGAGGCTGTTGTTCAACTGGCTTTTATTGGACTTAAGATTTGTGGACACTTTTGGTACCTTATCTTATTTGTAAAAACACAGTGTGAATGTTGTTCTCGATAAGCTCTATAAATAAGCTTACCTTATAGAAATTTATTGTTATAGATGTAGACAAACCTACACCTAAACCTTTCACCTGATTCACATGATACTTTGTGGTTTTCCAAGTGAGGTCAGACCTATGATTTGGTCACTCGCTCGCTGTTAGTCAGTCAGTCAGTCAGTCAATCTGCTGGATGTTTTCCCCAACATTTTTGGTTTCCTGTAGCTTTGTGGGAGCTTTTTAGGGAGAGCTGTCCTCATCATTTGAAGGAGGAAAAGCTTAATATTTTTCTGCAGCCAATCTTCCCTGCTTCCTATTGAGAACCAGTAGTTTAAAGTAAATAAAATCAAGACTAGCCTGTTTAAAAAATCTGCAGTAATGTTGCCTCACTATGCATTCATATTGTGCTTATAGTCGGTTTTCCCCATAATTCTATACTTTAAAGAGTTGGTATGACCATCAACGCAGAAAAAACATAAACACAAATTAAAAACCATTGTGTTCTAGTGCTTATACACACCATCTCATCAGCCTGTAGTTTAAGTCTCTTTTTAGTGTTACTTCCAAGTGAGTTCAGCTGTGTCTTGTTACCTTTACGTTTCCACTCTCCCTGATTGAAACCTGTGTGTATTTGAAGCCTCAGGTTGCTCATCATACTGTGTTCCAGCCTTGGTTTCTCCTGGCATGTTTCCCCTGCAGTGGTCTCTTTTGTTTTTGCCCTTCTCTATTTTATGCTCTGGATCTACAACAGCAACGATAAAGGCTTGCTTTTTTTTTATTCCAAGTCTGTCTCAGCAGTCTGCAATTTGGTCCTCTTCTCCTTTATTTCATGACAGAGGCAGAAACACATGCAGAGTGCTCTTCAGGTTCAATAAACACCAGCACCCATCTCTGAGTCTTCACTAAAAGTGGCTTGTCAGTCTGAATGGACATTGGAGGAAAAGTGTCACCCTGAGAAATTACCTTCTCCTGAAAAGAAAGATGTTCAGACACAACTTCCCACACTGTGACTGCCAATGATAAGAGAGGCATTAGACTCAAAAGTGACCTCTTGCACCATCCATCTTTGTGGCAGCTTACTTTTTCTGTTTAAAAGTAAGAGGTTTGTTGTATTCGGAGGTTGGGTGCTTCAGAATAAAGCAGTGCATCAACAAAATGGGTATCCTTTTCCTATATAGCAGAATAGAGCATTTATTTTAGATGAGCAATTATGAATTCTGTAATGAAAACATGAAATGGACTTAACAGTCATGAAAGTGCTTCCATAAGAAACTAAAGCACTGGGTTTAAACATTGCTATTTTAATTACATAAAGTAATCATAAGGTAATATAAAGTTGTTTCTCTTTTGTCGACTCTTCTACAGTTTTTTGCCCAACAAAAACAGAAAAACAAGACTCCAAATTTCTGCAACCAAAATAGTACAGTGCAATTTAGCTATTTCGAGGTATTTTCCTTCAGCAGGTTCTGGTATTCAGTTGTTGATTATTTTCATTAGTATGTGGCAAACAATCCCAGAATTGAAGGAACTTTCAGGGCAGCTAAAATAATGCCTTTTTGTAGGTTTGCCACTTTATATTATGTAACTGGATGGCAAAAATCCTCCTAACTTTATTAGTGAATTGTTGCTCAAACCCGAAAAGAATAAATGGAACATTTATTCATTCAATATATAAATGAATAATAAATACATAAAATGAACATGTGTCTTTAATGTCATGTTTATGTTGTCAAGATATTGCAGGTTAGTTTCTTATATTTTAAAAAAAGTGTCTTTGTTTTTTTTGTTTTTTTTTTTTAATTTCAAAAACAATTCAAAAGTTATTTAGTTGTATTTATTTCTTATTTTATTTTTACGGGTCGTTGTAAGACTTTTATTTTAAAATCCGGAAGTGTACATTAACCGCCTTTATTCTGAAGCCTAGATGTTGAAACAGGAAGTATTTCAGCTGTGTAACATCCAATTAGAATGGACGGAAATTAAATCCGCTATCTGACATTTTCCCCATGGGCGGATCAAAACAAGCAGGGAGGTGAAGGTAACGCTAATATTAAGCAGCCTAACATGATGCTTGTTTCTCTCTCTGCTTGCTAAGTGCATTGTAAGTAGCGCAGATGTTTTTGGCCCAGTGTTCTTGTTGGGGAACATTAACGTCAGGGAGCTAAGGTGACTGAGAGGAGGGCTCTGAGTAACTTTCACGTCTGCACGGTGAAAGCAGGGACGGCTAGCTGCTTATAGGGACTGAGCAACGTCTGCAGTGTTAGTTATATAAGGTGTGCTTCATCTGTCGCTAAGCCCGAGCCGGTTTTTGAACATATGCTAGCGAGCTAACTGTTACTGTCAGCTTGTAGCTCGATTTAAAAACCCTTTTAGCTGGCAAAGTTATTTGGAAATTAATTAAATCCACGTGTGGACGTTTGAAAAGATGACATGCTATATTTACCTCTGCTAAAGGGCTACAAAAGTATGAGATGAGGAGAGTGTCTACTGCTAACCTCTTCGACTGTGAAGTGAGCTAACGATTTGGGGGATATAAATGAATCGGCCACACTTAAGTCACACAAACTGGTATAAACAACCACAAATAAGCCATCTCTCCAATAATTGGATGTTAGATAATAAGTTGCATAACTTTTCTCAAGCTGATTAAAGCTCAAGCGACCGAGTGTGGTCATTTAGGACTTATATTTTAGACAGGAATACTTTAACCTTTAATGGCTTTATTGTTGTTTGAGTGCATACCTGCGTCCGATTAGAGTAACAGGAACCTCTGTCTTGCATAATCAAGCTAATCCACACACCCCACCTCACATCAGCAAACAAATGCAAGGGGTAATAGTTCATGATTTGGCCTGGTGCATGAGGCGCATAGGATGGATGGAGGTCAAGGATGCTGCCTGTGAACAAACGTTTTTGATATGTTGTTACCACTAAACATTTCATTACCACTAGACATTTAATCTTTATGGAAAAATCCAATTAAAGTTATTGATGCCACTTTTGTGTGTGTGTGAAATATCTAAATAAAAATACACATATAACACATATAATGTTTATTTCAATTTCAGCATCATAGCTGTAAAATTATTCTTTCTGCTTATGGCCTTCAAATATGCTAGTGCACGAAATGCTATCAATTTTCAAGAAAAATCAGGGTGTTTTTTGAAGCTCCATGCTCCTGAAGTTAGTCATTATGAGCTTAATGATGTAATTCAGATAGTTCTCTAGATATAGCATGGAACTTAAAAAGATCCACATATATTACAGTCAGCTAGAATGGGTAGCTTGCCAATGGGTGCTTAAATGGCCACAGTCATCAAAAATATGTGAGTGCTGTCTCTTCAGTAGCTGTGGGGATGGTGACATCATGTAGGTCAGGCAAACAAGAAGAGGCTTATTGCAGAAGTAGGCCATTGTCTCAAGTCATACTGCAAAGACCTAATCTCTACACAGCCAGTCAGTGACCTCAGAGAGGTTGGTAGTAGTTTTTCATCTCACTCTTTAGCAGCATGTACTATGGAAATCACAATCACTGCTAAAGCATACATCTATATACAAATGTTCTGTTTGCAACAATGAAATTACAGAATTATAAAAAATGGCGAAGAAATGATCAACAGTTACATGTTAAGACACACTCTCTTCCTCTTCAAGCATGCACGTGCGCTCTTCTGTGGGGTGTGCTGTTGAGAAAGTTCAGCATAGTCATTGCTTTCTTTGCATCAGCTTGGCAAATCCTAAATTCTTTGTCAGAGATAATTTCAGGTTTTTTTTGTAACCCAGACTTTCTGACTCAGTTGAATGCTCACAAAAATAGAGTAATTAATAAGCCATTTCACTCTTCTTTTGGACAAAATGGGCCATTTAAGTGCTACCCACTTGAGTCGGAGCAATTACATGTAATAAAAAAGATTAAAGAAATGATCATCAAAAAAATTAAATGATAAAAAGCAACATTGTTTTTGCAAATATGGCAAGAGAGTAATGCTGCAGAAAATAATTTATTCTTTTGAGTTAATACATGAATGTTAGCACTCACTACAGGCTTTTATTTATTATTTCTCAAGTTTTCCTAAACATTAAATACCCCATAGACACAGTTAAACATTTTCTGCATCGCCTGCTGACTATTTGAAACACACAGTTTGTCACTATAATTTCACAGCTTCCTTTAATGGTAAAGTTAAAATGCAAATCAACAGGTTGTATGTATAAAACGCATTCCTTTCTTTTTAAAATTTTCTGCAAGTGCCACAATTTCATTGATTGTTTGAGTTTTCACTTTAATAGGAATACAGATTCTGTTCTGTTTGAAGAAAAATGTATTATACATTAAACCTGTTGAATCTTCTGGCACTGCCAAGTCTGCTTCACACTGCTGGAACTGCTGTGAATAAATTACTACAAAATTCAGTCAGTAAAAGTAATTTTAGTTAGCTCTGACTGCGCTAATGTGCACGTTAGAGAATTTTTAGACGTTATATTTTTTCTTTTTTTACTGACTTCTATCCTCTGTTCCTCTGACACTTTTTGACTGAAGTAGGTAGCACTTGATCTGTCAACTTTGTGCAGAAGATGTGTGAAATGACACATCAAACGCCCTCTTTTATAAATGTTGAGCACTCTCAGAGGCTGAAGCAGAAGTCTGGGATAACAGAGAATGTTGGTGACTCCTGTCTTGATGTGAGTTATCTGAATTTGCTTGTTAGTACATTGTTTCAGTTATGTGTAATTCATCCAGGTTAAAAGAAAACATCTTTGTGACTCGGAAGGTTGAGGCCAAAGTTTTCAAACTTCCTGAAAAATAATTAGTCTCTTGTCAGACCTTCACCTGAGCATGCTGTTGGAAAATCAGACTGTGAAGTGAAGTTCCACAAGCTAATCAAAAAAGGGTGCTTCAGTTTCAGGGCTCTAGAGTGGTTAATATTGTTAAGCCCCTTTTCTTATGAAATATGAGTTTTTTTTCTTAAAATATTTCTACAAATATCTTGCAAATTTGCTCAAATACTTTTTTTCTTTTTCTTTTAAAGAAATTGCTTTTATTTGATAATACGACCCTATTGTGACAGTGAGTGTTTTTTTTCTTCTTCTCCTTTACACCAAATGGATGGAGGTCATGGTGTAAAGTCACCTACCCTCTCCCTGGGGCTGATAGGTATTCAGTGTCTGTCCTATGGTTGCTTCAATAGGGCTGATGTTTGCTGTCAGGGGGAACTGGACACTGGCCTTTATGGTGAATGACAGGCCTTCTAATCAAAGCCACCACTTTCCTACCGTTTGTTTGCAGCCTACAGGCCACATTCCCTCCACTAGGGGTTACGCTTGGCTACTCTATGTCATTGAGGTCAGAGGTACACAGGACTGGAAAGTGAGAGTGACATTCCAGCTGGGAGAGTCAGACATACAAGCTCCTTGGCTTGGAAGTGTACAGGCTGTAAATAGCTGCTGGACCTGGGAGTCAGGGGATCAACAGGGTATAATCAGAGAGAGTGGGGATGTTATTGGAGATTGAGGAGGGGGACAGTCGATGAGCTTTGGAGTTATTTTGGGAAGGATTTTGGTTAGATGTTCTACTGGACCCAGTCTGTGTCTTTTGATTTTAGCTTAGCACGACTGGGAGGCTCGCATGGAGATCAACAAGAAAGAGGATAAAGGAGAAGATGACAGTGAGTGAGGGTTGGTTGGGAAGATTTTAGGCTCAATGTTGCTTTCCCAGGCTTACACCTATGTGTGTGTGTGTATGCTTCTAGTTCAGCCTCCAAGGTTCCTCTGTGAAAGCTTCCTGTGTCCCCATTACAGTGTCACTTTTTTGAGATTAGGCTCGTAGTTTGGTGTGTTCACCTTTGTTTTCTAATCTGCAGGCAAAGTAATCTCTCAGAGGTGCTATGAGTCAAATGCGGACATTCTTTGAAAATCCCTGTCTTGTTGGGGTGATAGCTTGAATGCGCCTTTGCCCCATATTCTTCAGGCGACACCACAGATTAAAATACCATGTTTTTTATATTATGTTAGTTCTGTGCTTACAAGTTGCATTTCCCTGTATTGCACTGCTAGATCAAATGAAGACATCGCTGTAGCCTGTGTGCTTTTATTGAGAGATTAGACCTACTTGTGTTCTCAGAATAGGCTTTCTAATATTGTTCCAGCTGCAGGCCCTGAGGGGGAGATGACAAAGGAGGATGTTTCAGAGCCCGTTGAAGGCGACACGGTCCTGGGCTGCCGCGCTAGACTCTCTTCTCATCAGCGGCCAGTGATCCACCAGGTGGCCTCTGCACCCATGCCCAGTGACTGTGGTGAGTATTCACGCTTTCTCTTTGCAGCTATGTGACATTTCAAGCTAGTTAACGCGTTCTCTTTGCAGCATCGACAGGCTGTGAAATGCCACAAGATATGAGACTGAAGAAAGGTTGATGGCTTAAATTGACACAGAGAGATGATAGTGATACAGAGTCTCCGGGTTCTAATAATGTAGCTGGATATGTTAGTTACAAATTGAGGTTGTTCTTTTGTAGTGATTAATTCTTAAACAAGAACATGGTGACTGTTATCGTCTATATCTTGATTTACCTAATTAATCAGTAAAGCCATTTCAGCAGGTTTGATGCTGATTTGCTCTAATGTCCTTAAATACTTGGATGTTTCATTTCTTTAAGAAACTACTGTGTTGAAGTTTTTTGAGGTGAATAGAAGTCAAGTAACACTTGACTGTTCAATTACTTCTGAGGTGAGTGATGTATTTTAAAGTCTAATTTTTACGTTTAATGCCTTTTTTCCCCAAAACCCTCTGAAAGTTGAATCTTTAATCAAAGTATTTCATTTCAGATTTGCTGTAGTTGCGTACAGAGACAAAATTATGAAAAAATGTCATGCCGACTACAGTTAGTGTTAACTTTTGGCCTTTCACAGTGAAATCCATTTGCCTTCAGCCTCAGCCGGGTCATCTAATGCCTCATTTGGTTCACGGCAGGCCATCTACTGTCACATCTGTTTTCATTTGCCTCTGCAAGGGCAGCAAGGGCATTTCCCAAGATTAGTAATTTGCTGAATCGATTGAACAGTCAGTTGCAGAAACGTAGTAAACGTCTGTGCTGCAGAGTTTCACACATGCTCTCTTCGTGTCTGTACACGGGAGAGAAATATTTCCAGTCCCACTCCTCATTATACTTAACACGTGTTACTTTTGTTCCTCTTCATTGCTTCCAGAGTTCTCCTTCTTTGACCCCAGTGAGCCGCAATGCAGGGAGGTTCTGTTGGATCCCAGCACTACCATACCAGAGCTGTTTGCTGTCCTCAGGCAGTGGGTGCCCCAGGTTCAGAAGGACATTGACCTTATCGGCAATGAGGTGACATAAAAAAATGTCCAACTGCTGCGGAATCTCACAGTGGTCCCTTCTGTAGCCGTAACGCTTTTATTTTTGTCGTAATATAATCAACTGAAACTTCAGAGGACTTCAGATTAATATAAGTTCTGATTTATTTTTTTTCATTGTTATGGACTCTGTTCAGATACACACCAAATCCCTTCTGCCTGTGTTACACAAAGTAGCTGCATTGCAGTAAACTGTGCAGAGAAGCACTCATCTCAAGGGTAAAAGAAGGCGATCATTTTCTCTGAGTAACTATCACCCTTGAGAAATAAATACCTTGTTTCAATGTCAGTTTACGTAATACCTGTTGTCCAGATTTAAGTAGAGTAGAGTTATGAAAGCCTTGAATTACTTGTCATTCATCACACAATTTCCCTCTAATTTCACTTTAACCTGTTATGGAAGATTTCTGCACGCCAACACCAAGTCCTTAGTGGCACATACTGCATATCTTCTCTTTGCACAGATACTAAAGAGAGGCTGTGGTGTGAATGATCGAGACGGTCTGACAGATATGAGCCTCCTGCACTACTGCTGCAAGGCCGGAGCCCCAGGCATTGGTAAGTATTGACAGAGATGTTGAATAAGCACTCTCAGCTGCAGGGTAGAAATAAATAGACATCTACTCTGACGTATGTGTGTGTGAATTTATGTGACCACTCTGCTGCTGAACATTATTCTGTATACCTCAGTAAGTGCAGCTGTTCATCAACCACTTCTTAAATACACTCTCTAGAGCTGACTTACTGTCTGTTACTACAACTCCTCTCAACTCTAACACCTGTGTTTGTGACCTGTTCTTCAGGCGATGCAGACACGGCAGCGAGCTTTGCTCAGCAGCTCCTCGCCCTGGGCGCAGATCCAAACCTTCGTTCGCGGTGGACTAACATGAGGGCTTTGCACTACGCTGCGTACTTCGATGTGCCCCAGCTTATCCGTGTGGTGCTGCAGGCATCCCAGCCTGGAGGTGAGAGCAGCGCTGCAGCTGGAGCAGAGAGATGAAAGGTCACCCTAGCTGTAAGGACAGGCAGAGACTGTATTTTCTCAAATAAACAGCCTGTCTCAGGGATTTTCTTGGCTCAGAATGGACCTATGGGGGTGACAACTCTTGGTGTGTAAAGGTTTCATGAAGTGTTGTTAGATGTTAATTTGGTTCTAAAAAGTTTACTAGGATGTTTCAAAATTTTATTTCTGTAAAAGAATCGAAGTTCTTTTGAAATGGAAACTGTACAGGAGCCCTGTCATTAGCTTTTTCATACTGGCGTCTCATTGTCTGCTTGTACACTGGCAGCACGAGGATTGATCATCGCTCTTTTCGTACGGCTGTGATGTCCAATTTATGAAAATCGTTACTCAGCAGATAAAACCTTGTTGACTGCGTTGGATCAAATGATAACGAGAGAAGTGTCGTTCACGGCAGTGTGTCTTGAAGAAGGTGCTCGATGAAACACTTGCCTCAGTAAATGGCACAGACAGACAGAAGTGTGGTTTTCTCATCATTACACACAAATACAAACTAATCAGTAAATGGTAAAACCAGCTAGCTTACCAACTTACCCTAGCCTCAGTTTCCTGTTTTTATTTAATAGGAGTGGGACCCTAGTGTGGTCTTCTGCTGCTGTGGCCCATCTGCTTCAATGCTGGACGTATTGTGTGTTCAAAAATGCTCTCGAGTTACTGTGGTCTTGCTTTCACCTAATAACAGTCTTGCCATTCTCCTCTCACCTCTCACTGCACTCTTTCCAGACATTTTTGTAAACTTTAGAGGTGGTTGTGTGGGAAAATTCCAGCAGATCAGCTCTGTTATACTCTATTCAGACGAGTGTGTCTGGCACTAACAACCATGCCACATTCAATGTTACTCAAGTCACCTTTCTTTCCTACTCTAATGCTCAGTTCGAATGTCATGTCTAACCCTAACTGCACTGATGTGCAGTAGACATCTGCGTTAACAAGAAGTTAGCAGCAGTTGAATCTAGTTGAAAGTGTTAACAGTCAGCTATAATTTGTTAATTCACTAGCAAAAATAATCTATATTTTGCTGTGGCACGTTGCACAATTTAAAAATATTCCACAAATACTTTGAGCAAAAACTGACATTCGATTATTTGACTTATCAATGAGACACAAGGATCATATGGTCTTTGTGTGCAGTAAGCACAGTTTCCTCCTTCCTGTAAATGGTGCAGTATGTCTGACTGTTGCTGTCTGCTTTTTTTCCACCCTTAAAATACTTTATCTATTTGTTAGTCCAGAAAGATTTCTTTCTGCATACCTTACTCTTTTGGTGTTGGATGTCGGTGTAGCTGGGACCTAGATTTACCTAGATTCTCTATGAATATTAATTTTACGGCAGTTCAGAATCTTGTGTACTGTGAGAATCAACTAAGTCTTGATAGTGCTGTGCAGTTAATGAAATCAATTTTAGCTCCACATTTAGTTCCATATTTGGTTTCCACCTATTAATAAATCAAAATAATTGACAATTTCTTTTACTTTTTTCGTTCGGTAAAAAAGCCCACTGCCATGTGGTGGCAGTTTTGATTCAGTTTGAATGTTTTTAAGTTTTATTTTCAGTTGAATTGTAAATAAACTAAATGTAACAACTTCTGCTTTTTCCCAAAGACTGTAAGCAATCATGTTAAATAATCATGAGTCTTGAGAGCAGCTGCCAAACGCTCAGAATCATGGATGTGGGCTCCGTTTCCAGATGTGGATTTCCGGAGTTATCTGGAGTTCTGAGGTTGATACAGCAAGTCTGATCACTCAGTAAACCACATTCTCAATTCCCCTTTGTTGTCCAAACTTCTTTCATGTTAACTTATTAAAGTTTCTGGAGTTCTGGTGCATTCATTATACATACTTTGAGATTTCTGCCTTCAAAAAGCTCAACAACTCTGCTGTGAAAGTGGTGCTTAATTTATTCAGACAAACCATGCAGCAGTTCTGCTCTCAGCAGTCTGCTCAAATACAAACGGTGAGGGCAATAGAACTGGTTTTACAAGAGCAGGTTAATTAGGAAATGACTTCAACAAAGGCAGGGTGTGTGTGTATGGGGCAGGTTTTCAGTTTGTCTTTTACACTTAGTTGCTTAAACAATGTTTAAACCCAGTGTTTGCATTTGAGACACCAGGTAGAAAATGATGCAAGTTAATAAAGTGTCAATTAATTCTTAACACACCCACACAAGCCATATAACTGTGTATTCCTAACCTCCCAATGGTCTTTTTATGTTGTAGATGTTGATGCCACCTGCAGTGACTTTGATTTTGGCACAGCTCTGCACATCGCCGCATCCAACCTGTGCACATCAGCTGTCAAGTGTCTCTTGGAACTGGGAGCCAATCCTGCGTTCAGAGTAAGTGCCATAGTTGTTCTGCGTATACGCACACAGCAGCAGACTCACAAGTCATCCTGTGAATTTGACAGATTGAATTCCTTCATCAAACCGACCAAAGAATTATTACATTTAATTAGGATTGCATATCGGTATTGATCTCCCTTTTCGATTTTAAGTCACAGAGACGAGAATCGATGCTTGATGAGTGAGTTGCGTTATATAAATGTTAAAAAATGAAGATCTCCTCAGAATATGGCTTGTATTATTTATTTATATATTTGTTGCTTCTACAGTCAGCAAATGATCCGCACTGTGCTTTTGTGGTTATAAATAATGATGCACTGATGGAAAATTAAAATTTCCAGTTGACTCATAGTGTTAAATTGATTTTTCTTTGCTATTGTTTTAATTATTTCCTCTTTTTACAAGTAAACAAAGAAGTCTTGTAGCTCTTGAGTTTGGCCCGTGAACTTCTAGTTCGGGCCAAACTGATGTGACACACAGTAGTAAACGCTATCTTTTTTTTTTCTTTTCTTTTTTTGGACAGTATGCTGATATTGGTCAACATAAGGGTGAAAAAATGGAAACACGATAGGATTAGTGACCAAATTTGGTATTAACCATGTGTTCAGTGATTGCACTGATGTAATCTGACCATAAGCCCAACTAGTACTGGGTTATATAATAGTCATAATTTTATGCATGATATGAATTTTTAAAATATTGCTTTAACCTAGGATGAAACATCCACTTGGGCGTTCCCAGCGGTTTAAATGTATTAAATTATTGGCCACCTGATGTGCTGATGATTGTAGTGAGAGGTGACATGTAAGGGCTCTGCAGGCTTCTAATTTACAGCTGTAGTCATGTGACTGGCTTTCATTTGTAAAACAGTTACCCCTAAAAAACAAATTAGTTTACATTATAATCCATGATGGTGGAACAACATCATGGATAGAAAGATTTGCTCTATGCAAGTTTTTCAGTTTTCAAAAATTAGGCTATCCTGCTCCTGGACTTCCACTTTTTTTTGTGGAGGAGCTTCCTGAGCTCCTCCACAAAAAGTAACGGAGGCGCAGTTTACATGCTCAAGGTTAAGAGGTGTTTTATCTGATGACAGAATCATTTGTTGTGGAAACATTAATGCTAACGAGCCACATGACTAAAAATAGCAGCCATTTAAAGAAAACGAAACAAAAACATTTAGCATCTAAGCTAAAAGTATAACAGCCAGTCTGTTAAGTACTGACCTTATAGTCTAGTATTGAAGTTTTGTTAGCAGACGGTAGGTTACTTATTGTATTGGTTGTTTTTATTGTTTCTTTTTTCTGTTATGTTAGAGTGTTATCTTTAATGTTCCTGACAGAAGAATGACCCAAATATTAATAAGACTGTGATATATCCATTAATATGCTGAGCCTATCCTTGTAGCTGCCAAATTAACTGAACTATACATGGATACTTATGATTTGCTGTTGTTTTTTTGTTTGTTTTTGTTTTCCTATTCAATACTTATTGAAATTTTAAAGTATGGATGTTTTATGATGACCTCAGTGAAGGCCACAGGCTATAATCTGTCAGTCGAGCAAAGTTCTTTGAGATTCAAGTGTTGCTGGAGATTTGAGCTCTTCAGACTTTATCTGCCTTAAGGAGGTGAAAAATATGCCACATAACATGTGTAAAGCAGTTGTGCAGAATGGTTTAAATAAGCTGCAGCGCTTGCAAAGGTAACAATATTCAAGAGTCCTTTGCGGCTTGACTGTCAGTACCGGATGCGTCAGGTAATTGCATGGTTTTAAGATCAGTAAGACGGCTTTGTCATAGCTGAAAAAGCATATAAGTGGGTATGATGGTCATATTTCACTTAGTGCAGTCTTTTGTGCCTGTTGGCTCACTGACATACCTTAACTGCACTTAATGCAACTGACTCATCAGTAATGTTATTGATTTTTAGGTTATTTGTGCCACTTCTCCTGCTGTGACAAGTGAAAAGGTTTATTCATGTACATTCAGATGAACATGGTGGGTTGTGGATGCATTTTTCGGGTAGCGCTTCCTGTGGATTCGGCTGACAAGGAGCGAGAGGACACATGGTCCAGATGTTTTTAATTTGAAATGTTTTTTTTTTTCTCATTTCTTTTGACATGTTATTTTGACATAACATATTTAATTAGTCTTTTTTCCCTCACTGGCAGAGGGAGGTGCCTTAGTCCCTTTGATTTAACCACCTAGCATCAGCTACCTAGCAGGAACAAATGTAATTTCTGTACAATCAGTATTCTGACTTCTACATCTTCATATTTCATAGTCAGAACTAACATATTGTCAAGAAAATCCCAACTTGGCTTAAACTTTTTTTAGTCTGTCCCCACCTCTAAACTGAAGATGGCCACAGAGGTCAGCACGCCCACCCCTCCACATCTTGGTGACTTGGGGCTCCAACGTGGTTCTGCAGTAGTCTTATGCACAGCCTACAGATCGCTGTTTACTGTCACCAGGGGGCAGCGTCACAAACAACCAGTCCGAGGGTTCCTCTTGCTTGTGCTGGTCTTGGTTCTTGTGAGCCACTGAGAGGAGCAAAGCTATATTTTATAAAGAGCTGATGTGAAACGAGTATTTAAAAAAAAAAAAAAAAAAAAAAAAGATTTCACTGCAGCCGCTATTTAAGGCTTCTCATTCTGTGGTTTTTGACCTTTGCACTTCTGGTATTTGAGGTGAATGCCACTATGCCCTGTTTCGATTTATGTATAGCGTCATCCTTATGGACCGTGCTATTGGGCTCCACGTGAGCTGTATGCACAACTCTTTGTGCAGACAAATCCTTATTCAAACAGACACAAACTCGTTAGCACAAAACAAGCTCTGACTTTTGGTATGAACCTTGTGATGATATAAATTCACAACCTGGAAGCTTTTTGTTTGCACACATTACCTGTTAGTGCCTTTATCTTAACTTCCACCAAAAATCCATTTACCATTTACAATATACATCAGATTCACAAAAGGAAAAAATGGGACAATATCTTAATGTTCAAAAAAACTTACATCTTTCTGGAACCTGGTGCCTGGTAAGTTTTCAAAAAAATATAAACACGTTTAATATTTTTCACATCAGGTATAAAAAATTCTATAAGAAAATGGATCAAATCAGAAACAGCTGTTAATGATGCTAATGATAGATAATGGAAGTCATATTCCATATATAGAAATGAACCTTTGTTTTCAGACTTAAACGAGATATAGAATTTAGATGAGATTTAATTTAATGTCACTGGACGACATTAGCACATTAGTTTCCTTTAGTTGTTAAAGTAAAATAAACAAGCAGTTTATTCACCCGTTTTCAATCTTTTCTTAACCGACTAATTATTTTAGCGCACCACATTGACTTAAAGCAGCCCAGTGCACCACCACCACTGTGAACTGCTCTAAAAACAGCATGCGAGTGACCCTGCTATTCACTAATGTAATCTCAACAGACCTATTGTTGTTTCGTAGCTCTTGTATTGGATTTCATTAGATTGTAGGTGGTCATGACAGTGTTTTTGCCCCATGCATTTTCTCAGATGTCAGCATTCATAACTCCCGTTGAGATAGAAAATTGATTCCCACAATTTTCCCACTTTCACCTTTACAAACCTTCCTGATGCGATTCAATCTTTGCTCTTTTTGTTTACTGCTAGACCGAATTACTGCGATTTGATGGAGATCTTTGCAGAGGAAATCTGCCTGCTCAGTTTTTAAAATAAATAAATAAATAAATGAATAAAAAAAAAAGGGACAGATCGCAATCTTTTTGGTATGAAAGTCCAGGTAATCTATCAGGTTTTTTTTCCCCCAATTTTAGATATTCAGTGGGGGTTTTTTGTTTGTGCACATTGACATCTTCTGACTCAGCTGTCAGCTAACACCTGAGAAGGCAGCTGCTTAGACTACAGATTTCACAGACATTTTTGAATAGATTCACTACTTCGATGTCTTGTGCTTGCTCTGTTTGCTTTCGTGCCTCTCGGTTGCATCTCAGTTTCATTTAAATCTTGATTGAGGGCTTTGCTGAACAGCCCTGATCAGCTGTTATCTTGAGCGAAAGTATATACACAGCAGGGTTCCAGTAGATAATGTTTTTGGCATGAATATATGGGCTGTCATAGCTTATGGGTTTTATTCAGAATGTTATATCTGTATTGGAACTTGCAGTGTGATTATCTTTAATATTGCACATTTTGGCTGCAGAAGTATTGAAGCTGTTTGTAAACAGGTCTAGTTCCTGGTCTTTGTAAGCACTAATTTTCCCACTGGAGGTCACCAAAGCACTGCACACCATAATTCAGTAATTTCCATTCTCAAATATGAGAGCAGAGGCTCTATATCTTACTGAGTGAATGCAATGCTTGCAAGATATATGGACTATGTGGTTAGAAATTACAAGGCTGGCTTTTTGAAACCCAAGAGGCTTTCTTGGTTTCTGTTTAGTCGTTATCTTGCCAAGCAAAAGTTAAAACGCCACAGAGGGAAGATTATTTTCTGTCTGCTTTATTATTTAAGGTTCATCACTGCTGCTGGCAGTTGGCTCTAGAGATATGCTGCATCGGCTTTTATAAGCTCCGATATTGCAATATTTTTTTCTTCTTGTAATCTTTATCACTATTTGAAAGGACCCGTGTGTTTGCTGTGACCCTGACGATGACAGTCCTTTTATTACGGAGGATTGAAATGAGATAAATAGATTCTATTAATAGTTTGTTTTTCATTTATTTTGTTGGGTTTTTATTTATTATTAGTTCTTTAGCTAGAACAGCTCAATTTACTAGCAGTGTGGTTCCAGTCACAGGGGTAGCAATCCAAGCAGAAATGCTCAGAACTACCTCTCACCAGTTCCTTGTGGGGTTCACCTAAGGATTCCCTACCCAACTGAGAGACGTAATGTCTCCAGCATCTCCTGGGTCTCGCCCGGGGCATCCTTCTGGTGAGAGATGCCTGGAACACTTCACCTAGGAGCTGTCCAGGAGGCTTCCTACTCCAAACTAGGGTAGCAGCATGTTCCCGTCCTGGAATGGGCATTTCACCCTATGTGACTGAGAAACATGGCCTCAGATTGCGAGCTGCCAGTTCTCATCCCCGCCACTTCACACTCTGCTTTAAACCACCTCAGTGAGAGCGTGAGGTTATTGCTCGATGAAGCCAACAAGAACACACCATCCACAGAAAGCAGAAACGAGATCTCGAGACCACCAAATCTGATACCCTCTCGTCCTCAGCTGCATCTAGAAATCTGTCCTAAAAAATTATGAACAGGATCAGTGACAAAGGGCAGCCCTGGTGGAGTCCAGTACCTACTGGGAGGGGATCCAGCTTTTTGCTGGCAATGTAGACCAAGCTCACAACAGGTATACAGAGACCACTGACTTATTTTAAAATAAAGAAATCAAAAATATAATGGAGAAATAAATAAGAATTTGAAATGGAGAGATTCAAAAATAAGCATCAGTTTATTAGTCATGTATTTCTTTCCCCCCCATTTTTGATTTATGCAGCTTTGATCTTCTGTAAGGCGGTGCATTCGCTGTAATGTCGTCATGTTATCATTACTCAATATTAAAGCACAACCTGGAAAAAACACACAGAGAAGGTAACATTAATTTATTACTCCCTTTAAAATGAAAAGTTGTAATAATGAGTAATTCATCACAATCAGCCACATCCTTCAGTACTATTCTTTTTTTTCTTTTTTTTCCCTGCATTGACTTTTCATGTGTTTGACAAATTGTGAAATTCGCATTTGAAAAATGATGGTGTTGGCTGGCAGTGTGTTCGTGATATCAGAGCCAAGAAATTCAGTTTCTTTCTGAGTAAAGGTCAGGCATGGAAGTGGTTTAATTTGATATTTCTCTTCACTGGCACTGCAGAGATTAATCACAACAAACTGAGTATTGGAGCAATGGAAAGATTTTTTTAAAAAGGATGGAAAAATAAAAATGTTGCTGGCCTTTCGTGCTTCCCTTGCTACATACCTTATGGATTGAGAGCTGTGGCGACTCATCATTTCTTGCATTAGAAAAAAAAAAAAAAGGTTTCTGTGGTGAACTGCTCACTTATTTCTCTTTCAGTCTCAGATTAAATGTGAGCTGCTGTTGCAGATCTGTTTGGTATGTGGAGGATTTTGGGTGGGTGGATTGACATGTTTCCCTGCACATTCTGAATTTCAGCATACAGCTCATGGGAAGTTCAGCTGTTAACAATAACAGAAGGTGTTTACTTACTCAGCTTTATTTTACTTTCTCAGTAAATAAATCTTGTTTTTGTGTTGGTTCCAGGATAATCTTTGCACAAAAATTAAAGAAATTTGTGTTTAGTCGATTATTTCTTTGTTGTAAAGATGCTTCTTGGCAATAAATCTCATACTGTTGAACAGCCTGTTCAACAGTTCCATAAAATGGGGATGTTAGAGACGGGCTACGATGTTTACATCCCAAGAAGATGACGCCACAAGGATTCGTTTCCTCACTCGGTCACACTGCGGCCTCATGGGGCTGCTGGGAGGTCAGGCCTAAGTGCGCTGGTGTCGGCAACATGCACACTGGGACCTGAACATACGGCAGTTGAATCACAGGGTCAAAGTGTGGAAAAGATGTGGAGAACGCTATTCTGATTCCTGCAACAGCGGTGGAATTGCAGTTATTAGCACTTTCATGTTCCTATCCCAGGATTGCAACAAAGAAAAAAGTCACTTAAATGCAATGATTCACAAATCATTTGCGAGAGTGTCAAATATGTTTCAGGTATTCTGCCTGTTGTGCATAAGCATTAAAAGCATCTTTCAAAGCTCTCATAATTTAACCGTAACAAATGAAGTATGGCTGTTGTGTAGTTGTGAAAGGCATTTGTCACATGTCAGTGGGTGAGTGTGTGACAGTGCTTAAAAAATGGTTCACCGTGGGAGCTTGGCGTGGTATTACATTATGGTACTTAAGTGAAATACACTGGACTTGTCTAGAGGTGATCATTGTTCTGTTTATTACCCCATCAATCTAAAGTATACATGGGGAGTTGATTAGGGTTGCCCAGCTGTTTTTTAAAAAAAAGAAAAAAGAGAGAGATTGCATGCTTTAAATGCACTCCTTTAAATATAGATATCGCCACTGAGCTAAGCATTTCTTTCCTGGAGCTTGTCCTGTGGCATGCTGCCTTCACTCTAGGCACATGAAGACAGATTGATTGTTTGGTACTTTAGCTCAGTGTTACAACATGAGAGCGACAGGCCTCAGCAATAAAAGGCAAGCTGGGTTTTGATATTTATCAAAGACCACTTGTATTGTTGCTGGAGGGGCTGGCAAATGCAAGTGTGCCCCAATTAATCCTGCGCCGTAGTGCTGGATGAGCTCCTCTCGTCTGTCACGCCTCCACAGCCGTATCCTCCTACCTCCGCTGACACTTAAGCTTGCTTAGTCTCTCTAAGCTCTCCCTGACTGTAGTTTCTTTACGTGACTAAATGCTCATGTTGTGCACCTCTTGCCCTGACAACATGAATAAGATGCGATTAGGTGCAGCATACAGAAATGATGGTGACCATTTTGGAGATGGACATAAAAAAAAAAAAATGTTTCAAATAGTTTGTCTTTTGAAAGCAGTCTGTCATCAGTGATGCTTATGCTGCATTTGATTTAATTAGTATTGATCGATATTGCGAGAGCTGGCAAGCTGTCTCACTGTTGTTCTCAGCTAGTGGTATTTTTTTTTTCTGCTTTATTTCACAGTTTTTACTTTTCAACGCACAAGCCTCCTCTTTCCTCCTCCAAATGTAAACATCTAACCCGCAGGGATTAGAGTTCCAGATATAAGCCTCAGTTTGTAGGTCGAGCGCTGTTGGTTCTCATTCACTGCTATAAAAACGACTGGCTAAATTCTTTCTTTACTGAGCCGTACTTCAGCATGCAATACATCCTCATTCTCAGGTACTCTTGGCCCAACTGATATTGTTGAAATAAAAAAGCACCAGTTCAAGTTCAACCAATTATTTTCTGCTCAAGTGGACTGCAAGAATTCTGTGTTTTGTCAGAAGGTTCAGCGCTTCAGTGCTCCTACCGACATGACGTCCAGTCTTGTGCTTGCAGTTGGGCAGTTTCTAATATCATATCAGTGTTCTGGTAAGTGGGATCGGTTTATTGCACACATCTCCCAGCATTAATGAGACTGTCTGGGTCACACTGTTTGCACTTAATGGATTCATAACGCATTAGTAAGTTTACACTTTTCATTTGGGATAGAAGCTTTCACACTCGTGCGTTAAAGAAACTGGCTCTTTTATTTCCTCAGTGATATTAACCGAGGGTCCGTTTCTGGGGCAGATGTAATTGGTGGTTTAGTTACTGCAGTTGCAGTGATTGGTTTAGTTGGAGATAAATGGACTGCTTCTTCCACCCACCTTGTATTGTAGCTGTAGCTAGCTTTCATTGCAGGGGTTAGTATGTTTTGCTGCATGTGTTATCATTGCTATGGCAGCTTGGGCGTAGATGTAATTGGTGGTTTAGTTACTGCAGTTGCGGTGTTTGGTTTAGTTGCAGGTGTGTGATGTTGAGCTAAGAGGTTTGCAGGTGTTGCCTTGACGAATTTTGCTGCAGTGTTGCTGTAGATGTCATTGTTGCTGTAATTATTATGTTTGCCATATTTAGATGCATTGTATTTTTACTTAAAAAAAATGAAAGAGTCTGTAGCAACAAAAAAGTACAGTATGAAAAAAAAAAAAACAATCAAGTAAGACTGATTTTACCTTGGCTCATTTAAATAGAAAGTAGAAAAAAAGGACATAAAATAACAGCTCAGTGAATAAATGTCTCATATATAAGAAGAGAATGTGCTGTGAGGTGGTAAGGGTTTTCTGTATCTGTCCTTGTGCCAGTGGAGCTGAGACAGATGTCAGAGAAAGTGTTCTGCTGTGTGTTCAGTTAGTGGAGCCGAGGGTGGTCCGGATTAACACCCCCTTCTTCTTCTTTTTTTTTCTTCCCTTTTTTAATTTAAAACCAATCGTTTGGATGACCTCTGCAATGCAGGTGTCTTTAGTGCTCTGCTTAGTTGCAGATATAATGATTTAAATGACTGTCCTTTTTCAAAATCTCTGCTTAAAACATTCTCTTACCTGATTGGTAAAACATTCCTCTTATCTGTGTTGTTTTTTTGTTTTGTTTTTTCTCCTTGTGTCCGGTTAAAGAATGAAAAAGGGCAGTGTCCAGCAGACGTGGTGCCTGATCCCCTCGACATGCCTCTGGACATGGCTGATGCAGCAGCCATGGCCAAAGAGCTCCGGACTTTGCTGAGACAAGCGTTACCCAGACCCAGCTCCCCTCTGCCCCTCACCCTGAAAGCCCAGTCCCTCCCTGCTCTCTCTGATAAGGCCAGGCTACAGCTCGCCTCCATGGGAATCCGTCTAGGTGACCGTGTGATTATAGCTGCACAGAAGGTGAGTTGTGGCTCTGAGCAGTGATCTTCACTTTTATACAGCAGTACTTTCAGTCTTACTTAAAGCTTTTTCATATCTCAGAATGGTACAATAGAGGGAAGTTTCACAGCCCTCTAATTATGACTCAGTGATTAGCTGAATTCAAATAAGTCCACACTTCTCCATTTATAGGGAGAAAGTCTAAAATGAGCTGTCTCTTAGCAGCAGCGAGTCAGTATATTTAAACAAAGCTCACTAATGCAGGGCTCTGTCTTTGCTTTTTCGGTTTTGTGCTGGAATATGATACTAACTTTGGTTTAGGGGCTTCAGTCAGCCTTTTTTCTACTGAAATCGAGCGTCTCTTTAACACTTACTGTAATTTTTTTCCCTTTATCACTTTGTAAATTTGCAGGTCACGTCTTGCCAGTATTTCATATGCTTTCACAAACTGAAGCGAAGTTGTAGCAGAAGTAATAGCTAGCTAGATTTGGTTGTATCCATCTAAGTTTGCCTGAAAATGAATACCACCAGGAAACAATTTGGAGGCCACTTGCAAGTCCACTTGGTACAATGGAAATTAAAGCCCTTGATAAGGCTTGACAGTGGGATGCTGTTTAAAACGATACGGTGCCAGTAGAGCCTTTTGTGTGTGCTACTATTAAATTATCAGCTCCTGCTGGTCCACAGACTGGAAACGCTGGAGTATCGATGATGCCGTGTGCTGTTTTCGTCTTAATGTTGCAATAGATTTTTCACCTGCTGTTACATTGAAGTCCAAGCTTTCTGCACATACCACAACGACACTCAAGACACTTTTTATCCTGATGGTTGTAAACACGGGACCTCTGGAGACACTTTAAGCAGAGATTAAACCGTCTGCATGGTTGTGCGTGAATCCTGTATACCGAGTGAGTTTCCTGTTCCACTGGAAAAGTCTGTGCTGGATGGAGTAGTATGAAGAAACTTTGAATGATATTTTGTTTAGAGTTGGGTTATGTCATCGTCTTAAAACCAGGCAAAGCAGAAGGATGGTATTTGTGTTTGTCATGTTGATTTTTAAATGAGAGTTTGATGTAACTGTATGCTTGAGAGATGCTTGTTTTCTTTCCTCTTTGCATCCTTTTTGTTTCACTTGGTTTTACTGTGTGTGGGGAGAGCGTCCTGAAGAGTGGAGGAGAGACAGGTGAGCCATTTCATGTGGAAATAGACTGAAGGAGCTGGTAAAACTATCGGCCTAAAAAAAAAGAGTAAATTTTGAGGAACTAACAGTCACTAATTCTTCATCAATGCTCTCCTGCTGATAAAGCTTCCGTCTTTCTTTTCATGCTAGAGGCGAACAGAGTTATTATCGTTTTATATTTTAAAAGTACTTTTTATCATCTTTGTGTTGTTTTTTTATGTTTTAAATTAAATTAAATTAAATTAGTTTTTTGAAAATTGTTAGAAAATGTTTTTGGGGTTTTTTTCTTCTTTTTCTAAATATTTGAGTGGTAGTGTTAGTCCTTTTTGTTTATCATTATATGTAGGGTATTTGTTAGTTTAGGAATTTAATACAGCGCTTTTCGAAGGAAGTGATATGCGGCATTCCAAGTCTGAAACGGGTGCACCAAAGCCTAATCGAGCAGGTTTTGCTGACAGATTTTATCATATTGACAAAGACTAAAACTGAAAAGAATATTTGCTTTATGTTTTTATTTCCTTTTAGTTTTGTGGGTTTACAATATCATTTCAGTTAGTTCTGTATTTTTCCTCCAAAATTATAGTTTGTATTATTACTTTTTCCCCACATCTAGTTTTAGTTAGTGATGGCTATAGGGATTATGGTAAGGTTGGGCGATTTGCTCCGTAGTGCTCCATCATTTATCCAGCCCTCATAAGGTACCGTGTGTGGGTGAATGCTGAACAGCTGACGTGGTATTAAGACAAAATACTTGCTGCGTCTCTGCTTATTTACCTTTAATATATGATTCAACTATGTGATCCAGTTTTTTTTCTTCCTCTGTAAAATCTCTCACTTTTCTCTCCTGCTCTCTCCACCTTTCAGTCCCACCCACAGTATTTCATGTCAAACACCTGGTAGAAAGAGGAGTTAAGGAGACCGTAACTGAGGCCACGCCAATTATCAGCGCCCGAGAAGACATCGTGAACGCTTCCTGCCCATCCCGTGTAGATGTTAGTGAAAATGTTGGGAAGACAATGTTGGAGAAACGTGAACATTTTATTTGTACTGTATAATCTGCAGATTCTGACAGAAATCTGCAACTATCCTTTGAAGCACCGCTCCTCTAAAACAGCAATACGGATAATTATTAGGCTATTTGTAAATAACAAAATTGGGAAACGTAAAGTCAGAAACAAGTCTTTATATTAACGGCCATCAGTCAAACAATAGTGTTTGGTCTGGGTAGAAACAGAGCGCGTCGTGTGTGACGTCTTCTTTTGCGCATGCGGGCCGCTTTGAGGGTTCACACTAGAGCGCGTTTGCTGTCACATTTTATTTGTAGTGTGAACAAGCAGACAAAAAATCGGATTTGATCAAAAAATCGGAATTGAGCATCAAGACCTGCAGTGTGAACGTAGCCTGAGTGTCTCTGCAAATGCACAGTTACATTAAGCCTTAGCTTTAAAAAAATCAGTCCAGCAGTCAGAAATATCCTGCTATTTTATGATGGGTTGCTGTAGCCTCTCTACACACGCATTCATTTCAGAGCAGCACAGAAGTCGGGGTGTGAACCTGTGTGCGTACCCAGGCACACCTGTGTTGCTCGTGTGGTTTTGCAATATCTAATTATAATGAGGCAGATTCAATTTATTATAATACTCATATTAATTTAAAGCACAACTGGAGAAATTAGATTTTTAAAAATTGCCTTGACTGGCGTGCTATCGCCGCTCATTTTGAAATAAACGTCTGTCAGCAGAACCCAATTGGATGGTGCTGCTTAAGTGGATACACATTAACACAATACTACCACCACCACCCCAGTTAGTAATGGTATTGGTTATTGGAGATTTCTATGCCAATCAGAGAATAGAACAGATTGGCCAGGCCAAGGTTATTAATATCTGTGTACCAGTAATAAATGCACATATAGAATCTGTATTGCATTTACTAAGCAACATCTCCATCAATCCAACAGTCCAGGTCTTTATAGCATGGATCCCGCATCACATTAGTGCCATGCACCGGTGCCGTAGTCCATTGTAGCCAAAGTTAAGAAGCTTTGGTTACATTTTCAACCAAGACAAAATAATTTCCAGTTGCTAAGCAACACCATTTGGGAATCCATCAAGCACTCTCGGTTATGGCCATCAGATCACTCTGGCACATCATCAACATTCATCTGAGCATGTTCATCTCCGGTGCCTGGTATCAGTATTAGAAGTTTTACAAATGCATGTGCTCATGCTCTTTGTCTGCGAGTCATTCTTTTCTATTCACCGACTCTTACCCAGTCCAAGTTCACAGGCGGCAGTGTGAGCCGTACTGGCTGTTTCTTTGTAGAAGTGAGAATGTCTAATGAGTTCAACTGTAAACGTAGCAGCGCTGTAATTAAAAGCATTTATACAAAATCTGTTGACTAGTCACAGTGTAATTATACTTAGCATTTAAAAAATGCCCTGTCCTCTTTAGTTATTTTTTTAGTCATAATTCTAACACATACAGTGTAACTATAACGCAGCTATACAGCACACTGCATTAAGATAGAAAAGTATGGATGTTGAAGTGTGGGTGTGAGGAATGACAGATATATTGTGGGAAGGCATTAATTGGCAACAAATTGTCAAAGTACAGAAAAGAAAAGAAAAAAAAACATTGTCTTCATGATATAAAGAATATGTGGTGAAGAGTACTGTACAAGTAATGTCTAAAGGAAGAGGGGAAAAAATGCAACAAACCACCAGTTTAGGTGATTAATAATGGCAAAGCGGTAACAGTATGACACATAACATCACTGTATAATAAGTAAAAATAAATATACGGATGCAATTAATTCTTAACCAGTTAAGTAAGGCAGTATGGCAAAGATGCATGTACAGATTTTGGTCCTAAGGGGGAGGGCAAGAGAGTAATGGCATAAAAGCTCTGAATTTCTGTATTGTTGCCATTAGCTCTGCAGTGTTACTCATTAGCCTAATCAGTAACCTTGCAGTTTTGTAAAATAGGATTCATGGTACTGTGTTGGTTTCAGTTCTCATAGCTCTTTGGCTCCTCACAGGGAGAGTCCATGGGAATTCAACATCCAAAAAGCCAGTAGCACATAGCCTGACAGTGATGATGCTGTGCATAGTTGAATGTTGATTGGTTAAAAAGATGGCTTGGCTTGACCAGGTAATGCTGAAATAAAGACATATGAAACATCAAAGACCGAAAAAAGCACTGATGGTTAAAAAGGACAGTTACAGCAGTTTCAATTTGCTACAAAGAAGTCGTTTTTTCTTTTTTTGTGTGTACGCGTTTTCATACTTTGGCTCGGTCGCGAGAACAAAGTACTAAAAAAAAATCCACATTTCTTTTAACATTGTACAGTCTCCCAGTGACAGCATGTGAATACGTGTGCACAGCACCTACAGACTACCAATGCAGGACCATGCTGGGACCTTAAGCCATGTGCAATCCTTTTGAAATGAATCACACTTTTATAAGAAGGGTATTTAGCCCCATAGGTTAAATACAATTCATTTTTCTAATTGAGTTCATTGCACTGTTCAGCTCTGACAATTTGCTACATGGTGTCTCTGCTCTAAAATTAAATGAGGACCCCAGAAATCTTTCTCTTTGTGCTTTGTGTTTTAATTTGAAATCATCGGGCTGACAGCATGGGCCCAGTCCACCTTATGTGACCTAACAAAGCAGGTGAAAGACACTGAGTGCAGTGCCATGGGCACAAAATTACCTCACTTTATGGCAGTCATAGGTAATTCAACATCACTAATACTTAACAGCTTTTCCATTTTTCTTCCCCGAAGACAATTTTTTTTGACAGTTATGGGGTCTGCTCTGTACTTCTGGAACTGCATCCATTTCTCACACAGTAGAGTATTTACTAAGTTTCTTTGTCCTCATGCTGAAAGAGTGTCGCGTGAAGACGACCGGAGTAATGAAAAATGGCAAACAGTGATATATCTAATAGAAGGAATTAAATTGAGCTTTGTTAAATGGAATATCCTTTTTACTGCTCTAAATCTCAGGAGATCTGTTTCACAAACCATCCGTGTAAGCCATGACATTATAGCTGATGTGAGTTGCACGATTTGTAAGTTAAAACTCTTCAATTACCTCTTGCTACCTATTACTTCTTTCAGTATTACCTCTCTGCAGACACCTAACATCCAACATGATTGAAAGTAATGAAATTTAAAAAGTAATGAAATTTTTGCAGTGACACCTTTACCCTTGCACAAATAATCTTAGACTTCATAAGTAAAGTCCGTTTTATTTAAATACCCCTATACTGAATAAATGTGCCCAGTCTGTAAGGCACACGATACCCTTTATGGCCCCTTCTCATAACCCTTCCTCATTGAAGAGGGAGTAATGAGTGTGCTCAGACAACAAACTCACTGAAAAACAAACTTGGTATTTAAAGTGGTGCTGTTGAACTTTAAAAAAAAAAAAAATGATGTAGGCCCCATTACATCAAAAAGATTTGTAGTCATTCTTTAAATAACTCCACTTTTATGAAAGATATCTTAAAAATTGACTCTTATTAGATTAGGGAGCACCTTTTCCATTCTAAGGGCTCATGAGTTAAAATTGTACAATTTTATTAGGCCACGGGAGAGATCATGCTGAAAGGGTCGGTGTTACTGAAGTCCTAATACTTTTATGGAAGTGTGAATTTGTGAAAATAACCTGCAAACAGCCACTGGGGGAGTTTTTCTTGAGTCAAAGACGTCTGAATTTCTTGCATTTGTCTATGCAAGTAAACCCAAGCTTTAAGGTTTCTGACATTTACCATTTGATGAGTTAAAGTCGGTGAGTGTGGGAAGACCGTTAACATAAGTGATGTTGGCTGGCTTTAGTGCCCAGTGGTATTGATGGCAGCAGTTTATTGTGTAGTGGAGAAACATTAGAACAACGAGCTCCAGCTCTTCAAACTCATGTCTCATATTTGCAAACTGTAAGTAACTCTACCATCTGGGATTATACAATGTGCTTCAAAATGCATAATTTCATTTCAGTTTACTGCTGATTTTCTGTCATGACCAGCTTCTCTGTGAACACCAGATTTATGGTTCTTCGGTCTATGATAATGCAGTGGATCTGGCTGTATACTTAATCACCTGTGGGAGCTTACTGTTTTAGGACTCAGAAGTAAAAGCATTTGATTAATCGCCTCTTCTGATATTCTTAATGTGTACACACTGATGTACACAACTAGCCACCTTCTATTGCCCCTGTTCTTCTTTTTGAAGGCTCCTACCACTGTAGTGTGTGTGTTGTATGCTTTTCTCTAAGGCTGTACCAGGAAATACTTTGTGCCAAGTTGTGTGGTTTGCTAATCAAAACTCGTATCTTATCTTTAAGCCAGTGCTCAGAGCTGGTTCCAGTTCTTTTAGTGAATATTTTGTTTCTTATTGACGTTTTCCATATTTTCTATTTGACCTCCTGTGGTACATACATTTATTAACACAGGTTGGAACTCTGCGGTTCTGCGGCAGCACCGAGTTCTCCGGTGGCCTGTGGGCCGGAGTGGAACTGGACAAACCAGAGGGGAAGAACGATGGCTCGGTAGCAGGTGTTCAGTATTTCAACTGTCGAAACAAACATGGTAGGTCGCGCCCCGGTGCTTGAAAGCAAAAACAATGACACACAACTGCTCCCTTATTTAGATTAGAAACTTGGATTACCAACTGTTTAGGCTCTAAAAGTGTAGCTTTTATGTTTTGAGCCCATATTAAATAGTGTAATAGTACAAAGCTAACTTGAACGATCAAACAAGACTTTTTTATGTGTTCTCCTGCATTCAGACATGAGCAGCAACACACTAACTGCAGTTCACATAATAACATAATCGTTTCCTGGACCTTTTAAATTGTCTGGTCAGTTTTTCAGTGGCGTCTGATCTAACCATAGGAAATAAGATTTGACCTTTTGGCCAAATGTCAGTAAATTCATTCTGTTTTCAACACTTAAAATGTGTCCTGGCACAGAAAATCTCTTTCATGCTGCCCTTTTATGTATTTAAATTATCCTCATTCTGTGTCTCGTCAGTGATGACATTCTTACTTGGTTATGCTTAGAGCCTTTTCTACTTTTATAGGAATTTTTGCTCCACTGTCCAAGATAAGCAAACCTTTGGAAAGACATAAAACCAGCACTACAAAGAAGTCTACACCCGTGCGTCCCCCTCGTCGCATCGACCTGTCTCGGATTACTTCCAAGATTAACACAGGTGAGAAACAAGCGATAAAGTGTTACTGCTAAATTCAGATAATCAGTGTTGGGTCTGCAGTGCGCTTGATCTTGTTTATACAACCTTCTAATTTGTAGATAGAAGTCACAGCAGTTGAATGACGTGTCTGTTGAGCGAGCTTTGGTTTGTTTGTATGTTGTTCTATGGTTATATGGTTTTGTTCCTATGACTGAAGTTGTGCTCAGGTCCTGACAGACCTCCTTAAACACTGCGACAAAGACAGTGATGGTAGCGTTGTTTTTGAAATTAAGTCTTACCTCAGGATTTCTGCCATAAAATACTCTAATAAAAAAGGCTTAAATTGATCAAAACCTGAACTACAAAGATGGGGAGTCTGACTAGCTGGGTGAGCCCTGGGGCAGCGATGTGTGTGAACGTTTATTAGAGCAGGTGAAAAAGGTTTTACAAGGGCAGGCATTCCCTCATGCCACAGGTACTAATGTACAGTCCCCTGGATACTTTATTTCATATTAAAAAAATCAACAGAACAGTGCTAACTTCATAGAAAACAAATATTTTCAAATGACAGCATTAGTCATTTACACAGTTCCAAATACATTATTACTGAAGCCACTGACATTTCGGAGCCCTCTTACTTTAGGGGGTTTAGGACAGTTGAAACTGACTTCATTGCTACTCCATTGTTTCACTAAATGAAATGCACAATGTGTGATTTTGGTGATCATAATCCTTCTCTGTTATATGACTAATATCATAAACATTTAAAAGTAAAATATATTTGCAAATGGGAGTTTAATTTTTCAAAACGTAGAGGTAATAACATTCAGCAGCAGCATAATATTGCTGCTGCATTGACACTAAGCATTTATTTATTGGCAGATTTTGATCTATTAAAGACTGAAGGCAAAAACTAAATTGAATTCAATAAAGGTGAAAGACTGAGGGTAGTCCAAAAAAAAAAAAAAAAAAACTGCAATCAAGTCCAACAGCTCAGAGTGAAGTTTGGTTATTATAGTGTAGTTTCAGATGATGGTGCCCCTTTGTTGTGGGACCAGATGATTGCTGGTTCGTAGATGGAGCCCCTGGTTTAAATGATCCAAAAATCGAAGAAGTGGCGTTTCTGTAAAGAGAAAAAAACAGGTGAGCTTTAATGTTAGTTGTATTCATGGATTGATTAGTCAGTTAAAGTATTTGAACATTATAGTTTTCATCACTTAAGAAAAGTCAGAGCAGAGTAGTAATAAAGAGGCACTGTCAAGTTATCATAGTTGCCTCCATTAATATTTTCTTGCCAAAAAAGAAAAGCAATCCATATGTTTATTGGCTTTGCTTCTGTTTAGTCAAATATTTACTTGTTGTTTTGTAGATTTTGTAGTGACACACTCATTCAACATCCAAAATTGATGCCCCTACTGACGTGAGCACCTTTTAGCCTACTGTGGGAGAACTAACTCACCCCACAGTGTTCAGATGATGCCATCAGCTGCAGATATCACTTCAGCCTCTCTTTTGTGCTAAAAAATAGTCCTTCTCAACGTTCCTACCTGGTATGAGCCATGCCACTACATGGATGGATTTATTGCATCTGTGCTTTCATAGTAATCTTATTAATCTTATTCTGAATAGCTTGAAAAATGGATTCGGAACCAGTGCCAAAGGATAAGGCAAAAATTGCTGACTGCTGACATAACTTGGTGCTCTCAGTCTTCGGATGGTTCCTTACCGTTGACATTTGCAGTAAATGCGCTACGCCATTGTAAAAGCTGTGTCTTGGTATGGTTTTTGGGTTTTGCTACTCACGCGGCTTATAGCTGTATTGTTGTGGGTGGTGTAATACTCAGAGGTTTTGAAGGCCACTTGAACTGGACGTGATTGGAATTGCAGACCTGAGAGGCCTTTAGAATTCGGTGATTGATAGTCCAATTAAGCAGGATTTAATAACTATGGCATAGACAGGCTGGATAGGCTGGCAGCCATTCATCACAAAGTGCATGTGAGTGTTTTGTGTACCATGCAAGGCATGTGAGGCCATGTGTGTCTACAGCTTCATACAGCCCAGAGAACTAGACTAATTTATGACCACACACTTAGTTTTCAGGGCTTTGTCGAGCCACCTGTGTTACTGTCCCATTGGATCTGCAGTGCGGGCTGCTGGCTCGTGTTTATCTATAGATTGAACGGGTCTTTGTGGAACTGCCTTGTCTCGCTAACCTGGGGAGACAGACACGGCAGAATGCCAGGCTGGCCCCTCTTGGAGTGTGTCAACTGTAACTCAGGCCTCAAAGGGTGGTGAGAACATAGACAACTGCACAAAGCCACCGCCGCTTAATTCATAAAGCCTCAGTCTGTGCTGCAGTCTGCCACTTGAAGTGAATGCCACTATGTGTATGTGGAAGGGATAGATAGCTCTATCTACCAGGAGGTCCCTGCAAGCTAAAGGTCAAGTGACAAGAAATGTTTGGTATTCTGAGTTGGAATGTAGGCTCTTTTCTGCAGTTCAGAGGAAAGACACAAACTCTGTCTCTGAAGGGAGCATTTCCCAGCTCCCCCTAAATGTTAACTGAAATGGCAATCAATAAATACCAGGTTGATTTGAGATTTTTCTAATGACTTTTCAAAGAGCAATGTAAAACTTAAACACGGGCGTCCTGTTGGTGACTAGAAAGAAAAATGAGACAGTTTTATGTACCTGTTGAATCCTCATTAGAAATTAAATGTGTTTATGCACAGATGTTGGTTGATATTGTCTATTATAAACAAAGTCCCTCATGTTGGTAATATCCATACAGTCAGTTTTTAGTTTTAAAAGCCTGGAATTAGACTGTCAAGCCCCTGCCTTCGATTACTCCCTCATCCACAGTACACTGGATCCCTACTGTATGGCTCCTTATGCCCACAGGGGGGGTCGTCCCAAGTGGCTCATTTGAGCTGGGTTTAGCTGGGCTCAGGGGGGGAAGGCCTGACCACCAGCCGGTCACCAACAAGCGCACGCTCCAGGTCTGACTCCCTGTTGGGGCTGGGGTGTGTTTCCCCTGCCCAAAGTGTCTAGTTGCCTTTTTTTTCTCCTGCATGCATGTTTATTCCTTCTGGAATCCCTAGACGAGGTTTTTCAGGTGTATCCAACTGGAAAGAGACCCCTGGACACACACAAGGACACACTAGAGGGATCATGTCTCTCAGCTGACTTAGGAATATGTTTGTATTCCCCTATCAGAGCTGAGGGTCTGGATGGGGAGTTCTGGAAATCTCTCCTTAGGCTGCCACTGTGACCCAGGCCTTGATAAGCAATAGAAAATGGATATGTGGACGGAGAGCGGTGTAATCATTATGATGATATTTTCCCAGACGGATACCACACCATAAAAATAACAAAGTGTTGAATAAAGAGCAGATATATTTAAAGTCAGCAAACGATATAAGAGGCTTAAAATTACAGTTTGTTGCTAAAAGGTTGTTAAAACACAATTACACGTACTTCTGCAGGAAATGCTGTTTTTCTGTGTTGAATCTGTCTAAGATTCCTTTTGAAGTTCTTTGGTGTTCACTGTCATTTAGGCCTTTGTGTGCACACAAGTGCTTGTCTCAGCATGTTTGTCTGTTTTTTGTTTGTTTTTTTAAAAAAAATAATTTGATTGTGTGTCGCAGTAAATGAAAAGTCAGCTTCAGTATTCATGTATCATTTATACTCTGCAATGTCATGCTGTCCCGTATTTGCATTTCTTCACTTCCCTCCGCGTGCCTTATCTTTTCAGTGTGGCATTTTTGGCTCTGCCTTTAACGCAGTGCTGCACTGTGTGTCTTCATAGACTCCTCATTTAAAATTCTCCTCATTTAAAATGCTCCTTATTTCCTGTAATTTGTTAGACTTCATAAACTGCCCTTCTAGGGCTCAAATCAACAAAACCAAATCTTGGTCGACTGAAATCTTACCTACTCTTCAACCACTTGATTTACCATCGGTGAGGGTGGGTGAGGAAAAGTTCACGCTTGACTTTTTGGTTATTTGTTTGAACAAAGTGCAGTCACACTAGCAACCAGGAAACTAATTGACAGCTGGTGTCAGTTTGTTTGGAGCGGACTCAGAGTACAAGTTCAGTTCATTTGAACACTAATTAAGCAAGTTTTGGCAAGTTCACAGTTTCAACATCGCTGCCTCTTCTTCTTTTTTTTTTTCCTCCCTTTTGCGACGGTAGATTATTCGCCCTGCTGCCAGAAGTAATGTGGGCTATTGATGCACCACTTTTCTCCACATGGAAGTAACACTGGCAGCCGAAAATGAGAATTTGGTTGGATAAGAGCATATCAACCGGTCGATCTTGAGACTACAACCCCGTGTGTTTTGCACAGGGTTTGCACAAATTGACCCGACATTTGTCCATTTGGAGGGCTGCTTTACATGCAAAGAGCTCCGACTTTGTTGACAAAGTTCCACCTATGTTGTTTTCAGTATAAGTGCTTTTTTTGGCAATCAGGTTGCTGAGGCACGTCCTTAAACGGATACAGTGTGACACCAGTGCAGATTATTCAGTCAGATTGATGGGTTCCTTAGTTCAGCCAATTTAACCTGTCTGACTAGACAATCTTACTACAATTTCCAGCTGTCAATATGGCTTTTATTTACCAACCTTGCTATCTGATGAATAATGCTCTTGTGTCTCTTTTGTGTGTGTGTGGGTTGAAAGGTTTGTCTCCTTCTGTTAAAAACACACCTGATAATCAAAAAAGTGCATCTGGTCCTCATCAAGACACAGAGGGCGACACCTCAACCGTAAAGACAGGTACTGGAGTTATAGCTGAGCTGGCTTTAATGCACTTCCTATCTGAGAATGTAGTGTGGGGATGTATTTGAGCTTCAGCAGAAGCTGGGGGAATTGTTCAAATCCCGCTTCCTCATCTGTGTCTGTACACCTTAATACTTGAATCCAGCATCCTAATCCATCTGTGTCAGTGTCTCTTTAAACAAAGTACTGCCCCATGTGAATTAATGCGATGCTTTTAATAAACAATTGTGTATAATGCATAAGCAAGTGCTGCATAAATTCCTCCATACAGTGTTCTCTGTGCATGAAGCATGCACAGAGAAATGACAGAAACAACAACTGTCTTTTCTTTTTCTTTTCTTTTTCTCTTTTTAAAATCAGTGCTGAGACAAACTACCCAAGGCTGACAATTGAAAACAAGTTTTGGGAAAGGCTGACAAGTTTCTCTCACATTTCTTTCCAGGTTTCAATTACTTTGTAGCTGAATCTTCCCTTCTTAAAGCATTCTGGCACTGATTTAATCAATTAGCTTCCAAGAGTCGGGCACTTAATGAACTAATGGCCTGTGAAGGTCTGTGAAAGTTAAAAGCTTAATGAGGTCCAGCGTCCAAATAGCTTCTTAAGAGCGAAATCCGGCATCCTCGTCTTCCATGTCATTCCCCAGTGTTGGGCGGGGATTAGCATGTTGCCCTTTAGTTGGAGCTTGGTAATGGTACATGCAACTGCAGAAGACTGAGCTCATTTGATGTGTGCTACCTTAGATTGATGTGATGCTGCTGCTTAGTTGTTAGGCAAAAAAATAATAATAATAAAGTGGTAATTGCCAAGATCCTGCTGCTGTAGGCACTGTCACACTTGGAAGAATAAAATGGAAAATGAATAATAGACTGAGCTTCATTATCTCAGTGGCATTAGAGTTACTGATATAGGTCCAAATGGAGGGATGGTGGATTCATTATTAAGAGGAGAAGCAGGCATTTGGTGCCGTGTGATTTTTAGATAAAGTGGATAATAATGTAGACAGCTAATGTCCCAGCTAAGCCTAGATGCAACAGTTGATAAGCCATTTTGATATATGAGTAGCGTGTGTGTGGCAGTATGGCTGTCTTGGTGTGAATTAATTATTAATGTGAGCTATTGAGTTTGCTTTGGCCATTTCATTAGATTTTTTTGAGGGGTTCCTTCTCTTATTTTCTTGTTTCTGCATTGCACCCACAGGCGTCCTCTCCCGCTCTCTCTCCTCTTCGTCGTCTTCCCTGGACTCTCGACAGGGACCGGGCGCTCGACCCCGTCCGCTGCCCAGGCAACGGCTTCCTGCCAGGCAACGAAGGGAGCGTGTTTCCCCGAGTCCCAGAATAACACCTTCACCAGCCCTCCGCTCTTCTGCTGGCACCACTGCAGGTCTAATAATCTCATAGTACTGTATTTCATGATTTCCCATCATTAAGCAGACTCAGCCGCGTGAAATTGAGAGAAATGATGATCAAAGCTAACAAATGGTTTTCCTCTTCCTCGCAGGTTTTCGAAGCCGAACCCCCTCAGGCAGCAGCTCCCTGTGTGATGGCTCTGAGGTGCGCCTCGGGGAGAGGGTGCTGGTAGTCGGTCAGAGAACTGGTGTGGTCCAGTTCTACGGAAAAACTAACTTTGCTCCAGGTCGAACACATTTTCTCAAACACATGTGCTCTACATAAAAGATGGGTTTAGTTTGTATTTTGTGAGATCGCAGTTCAGCAAAATTATTAAAGGTAGATATCATTTAATACAACATTCATTGTTCGTCTTCTAAATTATAAACCTGTTAGTGTCATAATAAATGATAAAGCAGAGCATGATTTACAATGTGGCTAATTTGTAAGTGACAAGTCGCTGAGCATACAGTGTCCTTAGTTTCTCAGTCCAACCCATCCCTGGATGGAGGCTTCAAAGCAGGACTAACCAGTGGATGATGTTATGATGAGGCTATTATTCAGCGTTTGATGCTGGCATTTATCACATCAGCTGCAAAGCACATTAATCACATTCTGATATTATTAAGAAAAATGTCTTTCTCAGCTTATTAACTCATCAGCTTTATTCACAAATTGTAAGATGCAAATTAGTGTGAACTTTCCAGTGTAAATGATCAATATTCTCAATCAATGTTCCTGTGGTGCGAAATACCTTCGCTGTGTCAAAGGTGACTGGCATGGCCAGGATGCGCGCAAGATGTTGTGCGGTGACACTGCCACGACGCATTAGCTGACGCATTTTATAGAAGCCAAGTCCGCCTGTTTAGGTGGAGAGGTTGAGATGCTCGCTTTGGATTTTGGATTTAAATATAATGTCAAGGGTTTTTTTTATTTATTTGTTTGTTTTTTTTAAACAATTGGCTTTATTTGACATGGGTCAAATGCAAAACATCACTGCAGTGACTCCAAAGGATGCCTTATTGAAAATAAAAGCTAATTAGAAAATGCAAAACTACAATAACTTGGGTGTATTGGATATAGACAGGACAGCTGATAAAAGTCTCATTATTGTGGAATTTCCTTAAAAAAGTACCTTAAGTCAGTGGCAGTGGTATTGTGCTTTATGTTGTGCAGCTTTTCTTTTCTTTCAGGCGACAACAGTAAACATTGCTACACTGGAATCCATGTATATGAATGAATTATAGCATACTGAGGAAAACGTGTGCTTGGAATTAAATAATGGAATTAAGTAGAAAAAACTTTTTGGGTACATGACACCTTGAATTTGGAAAGAACTTTAACAAAGAAATCTTAAAAGCTTTAAATATTAATGATCCTTTTAATAAACCATGCCTGTCCTTACTTTGCTGTTTTCAGGGCAGTCATAAAGAATTAAAGTTACCACAGTTTTCTTTTGTTTAATGTGCCTGTCCTGTATAGAAGTGATATTCTGGTATTTTTAGTGAGTAGTTTGGGATAAACTCATTGAAACGCAACCAAAGAAAGGACAAGAGTTGAGTGTAAACCTAACATGATGGCTAAAAGACCACCTGTTCAAAAATTAAAACCAGAGTTTTGGGGTTTCACAGTGAAATAACATGAATAAATGAACCCAATCAAGATGGAGCAGTTTTGCCTTGAATTGCTGAACTTTTGTGGATCTTTTGAGAACTCATTCTCTGCAGATGACTCACATAGATAAAGATAAAGTGAAGCTCTGTTATGCTCTTGTCTTTCACCTTGGATGAACTCAGCTGCATTCTCATTCCCAACTTATTGCAGAGGGAATCCTTGAGTGCAACTGAAGATACTTGGCGGACAAAAAAAAATTAGATTTGAAGAAGCTGTTGCTGAGCAAAAAGCCATTGAAACCCAAACAGAAAACAGCTCACAGTATTCATTAATATTTAGGTAGTAGTTCTGGCCCAGCACTAGTCATGTATGAATAAATAGTGATGTATCTCACAGCACCGAGGATCACGTTTGAAGGGGTTTCAGTCTTAAGTTTCCTTTGATACTCTTAAATCAGTGTTAGCGATGCGTTGTTATCTCACTGCACTGAGCGCTGCGCTTCCATACTAAAAACAACAGCAGCTGCTGGATACTTCACAGCAGATTGACTTATTTTTAGAATTCTGGCTATACCTTCATCTGGCACTTGCGAGGTGTCTTAAGGCCCTCGTAAAGAGAAAGGAGAAACACTGTCTGAACTTTCTGGCTCACATTGAGGAGTTGCATCATTTTACAGGACAGTGATTGAATGTTTAAGAGCTAAAAAGTTATTTATTTAGGAGCTGCCTGAGATGGAAGTGAAATATCGCCTCTGCCGAATGTCCTAATTTAGGGCAAACTCTCCTATTTAGAGTTTTCCAATATATTGTTCCCAAATGGTGTACTGTGAGCTAGGTGTAGTGATTTTGTCAGTTAAATATTATTATCATTATAGCTATTAAAATGAAATAACAAAATCTTATTTTATCACATTTGTACAAGTCGGACATCCTCAGGAAGATGGATTTGTGTGGAGATAAAATCACACAAAACCAGGAGGACTTACTGTAAAGCTCCCAGTTTTATGGCGTCAGCTGAGCCAAGAATGCCACTGGGCAGTAGACTGATGTTGGGTTTAGTTAAATAATGCTAAAAGCAAATTAAAGAAACACTTGGAAACCAAATATCCTTCTTGGAGAAACCTTGGCTACTGTAAATAATTGTATTTGAACCACAGGAAGCAAGAACATTTGATTTTTAGGAAAGCGTCTGTAACAGGAGCCGAGTAACCAACTCCAGCAGAAGCAGCCTCAGGGGCAGCCAGAGAGAGAAGCTTATATCTGGTGAAAGGGATGATGGGAGCGTACCGTAAAATAAAAGCAGTTGTTGGGATCTTTTTCAATCATTCAGTCATTTTTTAAGAAGTGGTTTGGTGTCGCCAGTCTAAAATTATGTTTTTATTGTAAGGTGTGTTGCTCATTTATTAATATGCCTCTTGACAGTGTTGATTTCCGGTCTCTGTGCAGGACTCTGGTTGGGCATCGAACTGGACAAGCCGAGCGGTAAAAATGACGGGTCAGTGGGAGGAGTGAGGTACTTCACCTGCCCACCAAAACATGGAGTCTTTGCTCCTCCGTCTCGCGTTCAGAGGTGAGTCTGGAATCTTTCAGGTAGCTTTTCTTCTCAAGATTAACGGTCCCTTTTTGGTTTTTGCCAGTGGTCATTCGAGGACTAAAAACAGATTTGTCAAAGAAGAATGTTTTTCTAAATGATTAAAAACTCGAGAGCAGATTTGATGGTATGAATTTGGCAATAGACCCCAGAAACCCAGAGGTTGCATTTCATTTCTTTCATCAATACATTTGAGTGCACTAATGAGCTCCTTTGACAGTATCATTTGTGTAAGTACTGACATATTTGATTTTGCCCTCTGTGCAGCTAACAGGGCTTCTCTGAACTGCTGATTAACTCGAGTCTGAGTCGTCAAACGCGAAGCCCAAGGCCCTCTCCCTGCATGACTTCTCTGTTTAATGTTTCACCTAGTAATGAGCCAGATGCCATCATCGCTGCTTTTAAATATTGATTATGGATAATGGATATATAAAGGTGGTTATATTTACCCACCAGTTTGTTGAATGTACAAATGAGACATCGCTTTAAAATGCTGCATTTATTTAAATGCGAGGCAGGTTTTATTAGTGATGCGTTCTGACGCTAAATCCATATTTTACAGCTGAGTGGAACAAACAGAGATCACGAGTTATTTCTAAGTCATATTTAAGAATGCTGCTAAAGTGCAAATGGCCATATTGCCTGAATGTAGTTGTGGTGGAGTACATTGCATTGTTTTTACTGTCGGATAAGCAGCGTGACATGTTTAATCTTCACTTCAAAGTCAGTTGTTTTGTGACTACATGGTTTTATCCTAATGTTTGATGAGCTTTTGGAGTTGTTTGTTCTCGTATCCCTGATTGTCTTTAAAGTTATGGAACAAAGTGTGGGATTGCTGTTCAAATGATCTCACCCATCAGCTACCTCTCTGCACTGTGGGGATGGAGATGGAATAGAAAAGTTTTATGTTTTAACTTTAAATATTTGGCAGAGACGGAGAGCGTAAACGATAGAACTCAGTTTGACAGATGGGAGTCAAAACTGCTGCAAACTGTTTTCATTTAGATTCTCAGTTTATCTTTATTCATAAAAAATATTTTTTACAAATAACTTTTACACACAGAAAACAGGATAAAGGTCGATTATGAAAAAAAAGGTTGATGTTGAAATGATGAATTAGACGTGTATTGAGTGAGTTTGGGCTTCAGGGAGGGAGCGGCAAAGACTGCAGAATCTATCACTGTGTTGATATTTCCTATGATGTGATAATGAATGGCTTTTTGTCAGCAAGGCCACTATAACTCCAACTGTGTTGTTTTTTCTCTCTTTTTTCATATGAAAGTAAGTCTGCTGTGTCTAAAAATATTGATTCTCTGGTTACTTTTTGTTTTACGAGGATCACAAACCACAGTCTCATTGGTTGAAGTCCTCTGCTTTTTGTTGCTGAGCTGTGTTTTAATTCTATATTATAATCTCCTCCCAGACCTGGATTAGGGTATCAGTGAGCTCCTGGACATTCTGTTATACTATTTATTGATTTATTGATACATGATGTTCCAGAGATTCTCATTGGGATTCAGGACTAGGGAATGTGAGGGCTGCTCAGTAGCTTGAGTCCCTTTATATTCCAGAAACTGCCTACAAGCTCTGAGGATTTCATCGTTAACAGCAGTCGGGGAACTGTTGGCTAATGTGGAAGTCTGTGTGACCATTGATGCCTCCCCGGACCATCACTGACCCAGTGTCAAATGATGATCTTACCATATAGTCTCTTTCATGTGTGTGAAACATGTGCACAGTGTGAAGCTGCTCTCATCTATGAAAAGAGCAGGGTATTGGTGTTGGATCTGCCAGTTGTGCTGTCTCATAAGTGCTGTTTGAGCTGCAAGACGTGGGGCACAGTTCCCACTTAAGGAAATTGGTTTCTCATGCCGTGCTCACGGAGTCTGAGTGTGACAGTTTGGTCAGAAAACATGCAGGAGTCAACTGCAGGAGGTCAACTTCTCGGGCTTCCTCTGTTCCTCTTCGCACAGTGAGACTGTGCAGCGAGACACAGCAAACTGCCCGGAGCTGCACTATCTGTGCCACCTGAATGAGCTGCAGGTACCGTCTCACACCTGTAATAACAAGGACACTAGGAAAAATCAATCAGGAAAGATGAGAAGAGGACAATGGTCTGTAGTCACCACCTGCACAGCCATTCCTTTTTGGGCTATTGTCCTGTTGTTGCCTCCGCAGTCGCTTCTGTTTGCACCAAAGTAGGTGAAATTGATTCATTATGGGTTACGCTAACTGGACAGACTGATTTCCCTGAAGTGTAACTGACTCTGTGTTGTATTGTGATGATCAAGTGTTCCCTTAGTTTGTTTTGAGCAGTGATATATCTGGATCAACACATGCTCTAAAGAAAAGGAGTGCCCTGAGTTTATGATACGAGACAAAATAAGAGCATCCTTGTAAAAACAGAATATCGCACAATAATTGTTTCCTGAATCATCTTGGGAATCGTTAGGGAAAAAGTTTAATTACTCCCTCCTGAGAGCGTAAGTGTGTGTAAGGGGAAAATGTACAGCCCTTTGTGGAGCTGCTGTTGTTAAAAAGCAGCATATAAGTACAGTGGAGTGCAGAACAAAGGCAAATTCCACTGGAGGCCTAATTATTATACACAAGATATGCTCCCTGGCATACATACACACAAACCACTGAGTTATTTACTGCATGCATTGTTTTGTGTTTACTTCTTTTTCTTTCTTTTTTTGCAAATTGAATAAAAGCTGTTGACCTTTTTATTGGATGGCTCATTATTAGCACAGTGTGTCAAGTGTATTATGTGTGTCACAACTTGATAAAAGCCATTACACCCTAAAAAGCAGCTGGCATTGGAAATACTAAACATGTTTATTGTAAAGGAGCGGTGAGAACTCATGGACTGGTGATTAAATTAACACATTTAACCTTTCTTTCTGGGAGTAAATGCCACTTATGCTTCATCTCTATGCAGATCTACCATTCAGGATTTGATGGTTTTTTTTGCTTATTTCTTCCATTTAAAAGCTGTTTTTTGTTTTGTTTTTTTGGGAGGGATTTCAGCTGCTGTTTTTTTTCCTTGTCATCTTTTATTAATTTTCTTTTCCTTTACTTTTTTCCTCCCTAATTAACTCCAGGGTACAAAGTGTGCTCAGCTAAGCACATGCTTTCCTGCTGTCAAATCAAGAATCACTTTGTCTCCATCCAGGAAGTTGCTTCTCCTCCTCCTTTCTTTTTCCTGTCAGCGGCTATCACAATCCATTAGTAAGACACCACCCCCCCCTCCCCCATCCCTCCTCACACACTTTCCCATTTTCCTGTTTTGCTCATGTGCTGTTTGGCACACTGATGTTTAATAGCTTCCAATATTTGAATGCCTTTATAAATGTTATTATGGCTGTTATTATATAGTTGCTTAAGACAATCTTAATAAGCAAGGTAGTTTATCGTGTCAGGCAGCCAAAGCCTGTTTTTATTTTTATTTTCTTTCCCCATTCAACTCGTTTTCACAGAGGTGGCCATCAAAAGCACACCCACTAAACTGAATGTGTGCTTACATCTGAATATAGCCAGTTAGATCCTGATATTTTTTTTTCGAATTTGATGTAATTTATACACTGTTCGAGTCGTGTATGCCCACAATAAACATTGCCAAGTTTCAAATAATGAGGTCAGCATGTACAAGTAAACCCCAATTAGCCAAGTGTCTTGATCTGTCTGATGGCAACGAGAGCGAATATCCTTTTATACTAATTTCAGACACAAAAAGCCCCACCAAAGTCCTTCAAGAAGCAATTTTTTACCACTTTTCTCTGTGTAGTTATATTGAAATCAGTATCTAAATGAATGTGGAGGAAGCCTCATCATTTTTCTTTGGCCACAGGGATATAGAAAACACATTTATGGAAATCAAACCTGATTTAAAAACACTTCAGAAGTTTGGTGACTTTCTCCCCAAAAAAGGTTAAAAAGCCATTTTCCCACCTGTAAGTTATACTTCTTCTACACACAAACAGTGTCAGCCAAGTGAGTTTTACACTTGACTATAGTTTTACACGGAGCAGCAGTAGAGTACAACATATGGGCAGGTGTTTAAAATGAAGCACCTAGCCATACAGCTAGGAAAGAAAAGGTCGCCCTAAAGAGATCGCTGAATTTTTTAGCAACAATTCAGTTTGTGAAATTTCTTCCCTACTAGGTGTTCCAAAAAAATAGTAACACTGCAAAATGGAAGTTAAGGAACCACAACAACTGAGCCCTGAAGTGTTGGAAAACATAACATTACAGTTGGGTTGCAGAGTGTGGAGGCGCATATTAGCTGCAGAGCTCCAAACATCCTCTGGCATTAACATCAGCACCAGAGCTGGGAGCTGGGAGCTGGGAGCTTCATGCCGTGGCTTTCCATGTAGCTGTAATGTATCAGTACTCAGTACTTTTGTCCACGTAGTGTATAAATGCTTGCCACCACACAGCTGAAACTCTACCATCTGTGTCAGTGCAACAACATGGTTGCTAATTTGTTTCTGTTTCCGGATCTAGATTGGCTCTTTGTATGCTTTAGTGTTCCTGAATGATCACATCATTTAGTTTTCTGTCTCCACCAGCCTGCTGTTTTTCTGTTTATGAGGGACAAAGTGGGCTTTAAAAGGATAGAGCCCTCAAAGGGAGAAGGGCTAAAAGAGCATGTTTTAGACAGTGAATGAGCTCTGGGGGAAGGGGGCTACATCAAGCATCACTGCAAGATAAATAAGCAATGTTTTTAAATTGTGAATCACACAATGCTACCCTAGTAGGGTCCAATAATAAAATTAAGGAGCTGGAAACGAGCAAATTGGGGCCCATTTAATGAAAATTGTTTTCATAAACTCCAAAGGTTGTCTCATTCTGGGAAAAATCAGTTGCCTGCTTCTTTTTGCAGAATCCATGGATCTGTTGATTGCCTTTCAGAGCTCACTTCCTCGCGCCTCAGTCATCCTCTAAGTGGTAAGAATTCTGCCTTTATTACAACCTTTGAACTACACTAAATGTGACTTTGCATTTATTATTCTGTGTGTTTGTGTTGAAGCAATTGACTCCTGTTTTTGCCGTGCAGGGACAATTCGTCGCAGTTTCAGCACATCATCGGCCATCGCCACTCCGAAGGAGACGAACAGAAGAAGCCCTGTTACCAGGTGTGTCTGCCTTTCCTGCATATTCCTCGCATTATTCCCTCCCCAAGCTTTCCAGCTTTTTCCGAATCCCCTGCAGCAATGACTGAATCAATACTGATAAGAAGCAGTGGTATTAGTCAGCAAAAGGTTCTTTTAAATGGCCAGTGCATGATTGTGGTTATAATGAGCAAGAGCAGGAAACTGAGGATCAATCCCTCAAACACAAAGCTCCCATGAATCTCCTGTTTGCTTATGATTTATTCTGTCACACTGCCTGACTTTTCTCATAAATCTTTCTTACTGTATTTTATTTTATTTTTTGCTCTGTTTCCACAAACAAACAAAACAAAATTAAAATAAAATAGGAGTCGTTCCAATCCTCACCGCCGGCGTTGGAGCACCCTCAGTGGGGGCAGTGGAAGTATTCCTGGAAGCACCGCAGGCTCAAGTCCCTCTCCAAGCTCTGATGGGCAGGTCCACCTCCACGTGGGCATGCAGGTCCTGCTGAGCAGCGCCAATGAGATGGCAATCATCCGTTACCTGGGCACAGCAGACTTTGCCTCAGGCCTTTGGCTGGGTCTGGAGCTCCGAAGCCCCAAGGGCAAGAATGACGGCTCAGTGGGCGGCCGTCGCTACTTCAGCTGTCGACCCGGCCACGGTGTGCTGGTCCGCCCCAGCCGTGTCACTTATCGTGGCATCAATGGTTCACGCTTGGTGAATGAAACCAGCTGAGGTCTGTAGGACGCTTTCTGTTTATGATCCGCTCAAAGCAAAAAAAATTTGGGTGTAAACTTCTCCATCATTGCATTGTGCTCAATAATGTTTTCAGTCATGTGCTGTTGTAACAGGAATAAAACCAGTTAGTAAGTACTTGTTTTTTAGGAATTAAAGGGGCCTTGAAAGCACTTTAAAAAGTTAACACTAAATTCTAAATAGAATTTGTTTTGCAAAATGGGTAGGTGGGTGAGGGGGTCTTAATAAGACATTAAACACTGCACTACTTTAAATGTAATTGCACTGACAAACATTACTATGATAGATTAGAATAGGATAAAGTGGATGTTCCGCATGTCCGCGAGTAAAAAGGTTTTCTATACCCAAAGCTAATTTTGATCACATCAAATGAGATTTTTATCAGATAATTTAAGAGTCCACTATCTAACCAAAAGAGTGCATGCGTTTGTGTGTGTATGTGCGCATGTTAATTAAGAGCACTTTGAAACAAGAGAGAATGATTGATTTTTACCACGGTCGCTATATGGCTTACAGATAATTGGCGGATACCGAATCTAAACTGAATATTCGCTTTATGAATCAATGAGAATTAAAAAAGAGATTTAATTAAGCTCAGACCTCCATCAACCTCTGTTAAAATACAGCTGCATCAACAGGAAGTGTTTCCTCCTGCGTGCATCAGTGTCCCCCTCAGACTGTCTGTTAATTTGACGCAGACAAATGATGGTTGTATTGTGCTATGGCACAGCAAAAATCTATACCCATCTGACTGTGATTCCATTATGGTTGGCATCATACTGATAACACTTTTAAAGAAGTGATGGTATTTGGATAGAATATGACATGGAATCAGAAGCTGTTCTTTTAAAAAGTGCATTAACTGCAGATGGGAACACACGAGATGAGTGAAAAGCAGATTTTAAAGAGACCTTTCACAATGAAGTTTTATGTATGGTTGCTCTGGACTGTAGTGCTATTTATTCATCTTCGACGTGTCTTTAATGCTTGTTGGCCAGTTTCACAGATAATGGCTGTAAAAGTGTCTCTTAAATAGGATGGAAGTAGATGGCACTTGCCCTGTGATGCTTAAAATGTCAAATAATGTACATCTGAAAAATGCTCTTTCCAGAAATCATTCCAGAAACTGTATAGTAAGAGTCATTCATTCACCTGTTACTAAAGGCTCTTATTTGTGACAGGATGTAAACATTAATGGTGCCCTCATCAGTTAAGCCTGTAATGTTGGCTATCTGCATGCTTTCAGTGACTGGCAAATGTAGAGAAAACATAAAGTACAGCCTGAGATGACGGCGAGGGTAACGTCTGTCTGTATATCTATTCCTCCACATCGATATACTGCGAGTGCTTAAAATTATTGATGATTATTTGTAAGATGTAAGACCGCGCAGTGATACATGCATACTAAATATTATCCCAACCTTTTCTTTGTTCGGGGATGTAGATCTGTACTGCAAAGACACTGAGGTTTGAGTTGGAAACGCATAATTAAAAATGGTCTCGGATGCTGCTCAACTAATGGAAGAGAATAAGAGTTAATAATATTCATGAAACTGACCAGGTGTTTGCTCATAATTATTACCGAGTGTCCGTATTTTCTTCTTTATTGATGCAGAAAAATGCTGTCACGAACAGTGTGCCTCGAGTCCATAATTATACATAATGTGGTATGCTTCCTCATTGACCTGTGCAGCGAAGCACATCCGACACTTGGTAAGATTTAGGCTAATTTAAAAGTTGGCTCATTTTTGTTTAAAGTGGATTGTTTATTTAAATACACTTAATAATAACCTCCAAAACAAAATGACTTGTTTTCTAAAGCAGGTTGCTTTTGCTGCGAAATAACCTAATATTAAAAAAAAGTCTGCCATGCTAACAAATTCGAGTAGCTTAATATGATCCAGCACCAATGTGCGGACGAGTACCTGCTTTTTGTTTTTGTTTGACAGCGTGGCTCTTCAGGAGAAAATGTTCAGTAGGAGAAAAACAAAATCCTTCATGAAACGACTCGCAACAAGATTTGTGAATGTTTTTGACCTAAAAGGATATGCTTTCTGGAAAATGGTGCTGCAGATGCTTTTAGTATTAATTCCGTTGTGTTTAAGAGAACGTGGACATTTCCAAAAGAGACGCGTGCAAAAATGGCAAAAATATCACTACAGGCCACAGGAAAATGTACCTTTCTGTTCTCTCCTTCTCCTCAGCATTGTCTAGACTGGTTTTAGCTGCGCTGTGACAGATTCACATCTTTTATCCGTTGGAGGGAGCATTAAATCTGTCAGAGCTGTCACACTTTCAATTTGCATTATAACCCGAATGTGAAAAAGCTCATTGTGATTCTATACTTTGAGCTGACTCCTATCATTTTTGAACCGTGTAATCTGTTAATGCCAGGTGTTAAATGTGTGAGATTTAAAGAGTGTTAGCAAGTGATCTAAAAGCCCTCTTGAATGTTCCCACCTTTGGTATCTAACAGTAAAATATGATATCATTGCATTTGTAGAGTGATGAATGGAGCGTAATTGTATTTGATGCTTAATTAAAGCAGTGTGACACAGGAAATATGCAATCATCCAGAAGCTTCAAGCGCAGAGTTTACTATCTGATTAGAGCCGTGTGAGCAGAGGAGTCAGCGGAGAACAAGCCATTGATTGTGCATGTTGAAAAACAGGCCCAGTATTCAGTAAAACACTCGTGCACCATCCAATTAGGGCGTGTATGCCACAGCAGCAGTTGTTGAATCACCAGTGCCCTTCTCTCATTGATCTGTCTGGTCAGGCCCCGTCGTGATTGAGGAGCAGTGGTGGGTAGACACAAGGTTGTCTGAAATACCCACCACGGTGGAAAATATTCCCACTGAAACATTTTCAGCGCTTACAAAAAGCTTCTCATTTATATTAAGACCACCGCTGTGGTGGTTCCTGCAACATTTCAGATCTCATCTTCAGACTGTGGGTGTTTTCTTTAACTCAATTCCCTCTACAAATGTATTTGAAGTGTGTGGCTGTGTTACACGGGGCTTTGTTCTGATGCATTTACATGTTGTGGGTAAAACAAACAAACAAAACAAAAGTATTTGTAAAAATAAATAAAAGTTTCCAATTTGACCTCTTATCTCTTTCCTCTTCTGCTCTTTGCTTTTATTGAGTGTGTTTGCCTGACATTCTCAGATTGTTCACAAAGAGCTGCCTTTAGGGACCCAAAAAATGAAACTGCACAAGCACTTTGAAATGGTTACACGTCTGTTCACTTACCATCCGATTCCACCGGGGCTCATCTCCGTCAAAGCTGAAAAGCCTGGTGTGGAGTGGCATTGTTTGCCAGCCTGGGCACACAAATTCAGGTTTGAATGGGAGTGACGTGCGCTATTATACTGTGATTGTGGAACAAATAGATGTTTGAATGGTTGCATGAAATTGTTTTCAGTGCTTATTGTTGCTTATTTTTATAGTCCGCACACAACAGGGGGGGAAAGAGGGCAAGGGAGAGGATCCAGTGAAGCAGCGTCTGCCTGTCCAAACTACTGACCGAGTGATGGTTTCAAAGGTGAGAATGAAACGAGACGCGCAGCCATTGTAACTAAATAAATAACTAAATAAATATAGCCAAGTGGTATTGTCAGACATTAAAAAAATACAAACTGAGTGCCAGGAACCCACTTTAGTAAAAAATGTCACGTTTCAAATTCAGTCGTTTGTATTTATTTGGACAAGCGTCTTCTATTGTGGAACTCCCATCGTGAAAAACAATCCCCTGATGACTTAATCTAATATTTATCTCACGCTAATTTAAAATAATCATCGTTGTGTCTGATTTGAGGTAAATGGAGAAGTTGTCAGGTGGGGAATGAACAGTGTGCTTGTGCTTAAGACTTCATTGGGAGAATAAGGGCATTTTTATCTTATTTAATGTCCATGAAAACGAATTGGTGGATGCAATTTTAACACATTGAATAGTTATTTTTGTCTGAAACATTGTGATGCTTTTGAATCAAAAAAATGTTTGTTTTTTAATGTCGGTAAGGTTAATGGAAAGTTGCTTTTTTTGTTTGTTTTTTTGCATTGAGCCACGAATGACAGAACTTGAGTTGCAAGATGCAGAATCTGCAGAAGTAAATGGATCAGCTGACAGAGAGAAGCCTGGTTATATCTGGTCTGGTGTTTAATTGCATTAGAACAATTGTTGTTCATCTGTTACCAGACCAATATTTGTAATAGATAAAAGAAACTGTGTAGTAGAATAAACACAAATAGAGCCAAAGTAAATAGAACTCATGAAAAGAGCCTCCTTCGTCACCTTAGGTCTATGGAGGGTTAATGGTCTGACTGCACTGTATTAAGTGGAACAAGTATTTGTTCCACTTAATTACTTCTGATCTTAAGGTTATAACTTATAACTGGTTATAGCAAACACATAACCAAATAAAGGGAACCTTAAATGGAGATAGTGCCGTATTGCTGAACCTCAACTTTATATGCATCCTGAAGGTAGACTGTGTGACAGGAGTCCTTACACCGAGGATGTCACTTTTACTAAATTCTTTATGGATTCTCTTCTGTTTTGAAAAAGGGGAACAAAGTGCACATACTGTGCTACATTATTGTTGCTATTAGTGCAAGTGCTTATGTAAATGACTTGTAAATGTAAATGGAGGCACTGGAGGCAGCTTGCAGAGAGCTTCAGTTGATGGGCAAAGTTTTGAGAAATGCAGTGATGCTTCTGTTTCTAGCCTCTCTGCATGGTGATGTCTTTGTCGCCTAAAAACATAGCAGCACAAATGCTTTTCATCTTGAATATAGCCTTTTGAAATGATGAAAGGGCCTCCCTGGAGCACACAATGGCGCTGTTTAACTCATGCCCCACTGTGTGAAATACTTGGGCATTAAAGGTGCATGCTTATTTTCAGATAATGGAAAAGCATCAGAAGAATTTGATTTGACTCAGGTTATGTTTATGGAAAGGTTTACCGTTTTGGAGGGTTGTGTAAACCAGTGTAGGATGCTTTTGTTTTTTAAGATTTTGGCTGTTGTCATTTTATGTTAAGTGACATGAGAATGCAGGTTGCACAGATGCATGAGAGATTAAACTGCAGCACAAACTTCTGTGATTGGCTATTACCACAACTAATCATGCAACGAGTCATATTATTTCCCAGATAATTGCATTAAAATGCTCCAAAAGACTCCAACACCACAAACACGCTTGATAGGTTGGGTTCAGAGAGTCAGATTAAGTGAGGTAGATCCCAGCAGGTAATAAATTCACTCACTTTACAGCAGTGCCAAAGGAGGAAATTACCTCCTGAGACTAAACTGTTTGCACCAGGGGGGAGGCTGGCTGCTGTAAAGTCATGCATCTTACCAATGTACACAAAAGATGGCCGGAACTACCATGATGTACCATGACATCATCCAATGTCCTTTGGGTCCTACATTTTAAGGGCTTAACATTAAGGGTTGCTTTTTTGTTTGTTTGTTTTTGTTTTGTTTTTAAACCCGTATCTGTTAATTAGTGCTTAGTAAAATTAAAATACTAGAATTTTCGTGAGACTATGAAGCGATACTTTCAAACATGATGGATCACACAACTGGCACAGCTGGCATGTAAGGAATATGATTTGCTATTACGAGCTAATGTACACTGTCAGCTGCACAGGCCTCTACAGTTGTAGGCATGTTTACACTGCAGGGATAATCCTGCTGCGGCCTCCGTGCACCCCGTCGGCTGGCTTACGTGCAATAATGACCAGTTCTGTACATAATCCATGTTATTACACAGCTACTTTACCAATGAGTGGTAATGATTTGACACAATTTATTTTTATTATTATTTTATATTAATCACCCAACCATTAATGTAGTCGTAGAAACACTTAGAATTAAGCAGAAAGTGCATAGTGCTAGCCTCAAATCCATGGATCTTAGTCTCATATCTCTCCTGTCTACTGACCTCATTATATCCTGGTGTTTCCTCTTTTTCATGCATGCCACGCTGCTTTTCATGCTGATTACTGCAATGCTTGAGGCTTTTTGGAGAACAGCAGCTCTGTCCTTGTGTCAAACATGGAGAAAGTTTCAAACAGCGAGGTCAACATTCTCCCAAGTAATCCCTGAGAGCAAAAGCTCAGTCTTCACACTGCTCTCAACACTCAGTTTCAGAAAAGTGTTTTCTACCCTTGGCTCTGTATGATATCAATAAGTGTGCATATTCCTTGTGTTATTATTGCAGACGCATAAACCCCACCCACCTGCAGCCAGTCAGACAAGCGATTGGTTAAAATGCAAGGAATGAAGCTGAAAGGGTAGCTTCAAGATAACAACAGATTACTACAGGAGCTTTAAAGGATTTACAGTTTAGTGTTCAAGAATTCAAATATGATGCTAAAAATTAGATTAACACCTCTCTGTGTGCAGGAAATCATAACGGCAGGCACAAATCACATGGCTGCCTAGTTGAATCCCAGATTAGGAGCTTTGTTCACGCTTTATCTCATGTTTTGTCTCTCTCTACATCTGTCTACTGTCACATAAAGGAAAATAAAGGCTGCGCTCCAGATTGGCTGAGCTGTGGTAAATCACAGCGCTGTTGGTCTTTGCCAGCTGTCTTTTTGTGCAACTTCTTGAAGTAAATGCTCAGCTAATTTCTTTTTCCGGAAGACCACACAGGGTGCCAGGCCTGCCTGTACTTGAGTTCAGTCTGACGTTTTTTTTTTTTTAAACGACTATTCACACAGGTCCAATTTTATTTTGCTGTAGTGGGCGAGAATAGCAGGAATCTGTTTTACAGGACACGTTTTACTTTTTATTTTCTTGTTCAGAATTTAAACCAAACCCGTTTCTGACACTTGTGTATGTAATTAGGATGTGTGTGATGTACTGGATAGAAATGTCGCATGTCATCTTGCAGCCATCTGTGGAGTTTGTTTCCAGGACATGTTGTTGACCTTTTTGCTTTGTGATAATATTATTTGCGACTTTGAAATATTAACATATTATTGAAAGAATATTCAGAACAGAGAGTCCAAACTGTCTGTGCCGTTTGGCGTCTTTGTCTGCCTGATGTAAGAGCTCATGGCAGCTTGTAAAAGAGTCTGTTATCTCGGAGCAAAATTCTTAAGTTACAGCATTTGTTGGAACTAAGGTCAGACTGAATGTCAGTGAAAACCAGCCTGGCATCTTTATAAGCACCATTTCATTTTCTCATGAATTGTCTGTGGAGACTTGTCGTGCCCTTTTGTTCCTCCATTTTCAGTTCTCCGGTACTCCCAAAGAAGTCTGGTTTCTTTATCGAGCCATCGCACAGCTTTTGTATTAACACAGTGAACACATTTAAGATATTTCTTTTATACTGTTTGTGTAGTCTGTTGATGACTTTTTAGTTGAAAGACTGTCTTTTTTTCATACCTCAAGAGCAGTAAAATCTATCCACCACTTATATGTAGCAAAATAAGTAATGTAGACCTGCCGAGTCAAAGTGGAGTCTCTGCCCTCGCTTATTAAATGTTAGTGAGAGAGACAAAAATCCATAGTCTGAAAATTTGACCACCAGCGGACTGATGGCATTGAGTTTGAGCTTTGCAGACCCACGTCTACATGTTATCACAAGAGGGAAGAGTCAAAAATATGTGAAACCACTGGTAATGTGGGCTACTGTTGTTCATGTTTCTGTTATTGTCTCTTTAGCTTAGCCTTTTTTGAACAGGAGATACAAATAAGGATATACAGCCTTGAGCCACCCTGCTTTTCTTTTCTGGGAAATAGTGCACTTATTTTATTGAAATGTATCCAAACATGCAGTATTCAAGGAAAAAAGTCAGTGTTTGGGATGACCACCTTTAACTTTTAACACAGCCTGAAGTCTTTTGGGCAACTTTCTAGTAATTACTTTAAGGAATCTTCAAGAATAGTTCTCCAGGCTTCTTGAAGGACGTTCCAAACCTCTGTTTTGAATGTTCTGCCTTTTGTTTCATTTTCTTTCAAGATGATCCCACACTGCTTCAGCAATGTTGGGGTTTTCCCACACTTGGTTTGTTTCTGTCAATGGTACACTCCGCTGTGGCTGCCTTTCATGTTCAAGCCAAGTTTTTAACCAAACAGCAGTCGACGTACTGTACACCTGGTGTCATCACTGGTGAGAATTCAACCAACAAAGAGGCTACAGCTACAACAGTCCTTCTCTTTGCATAACCACATTTCTGTGCAAACTCAGGACCGTGAATCTCGAACAAATCTTATCCCCATACAAGTCAGACGGGAGGCTTCATCACTAAGCTTAAATGGCTGAGGCCAGTGGTTAGTGCATAAATCAAGGAAACTGCAATCATTCTGCTACCCCACAGGCTGTGCAATCAGAGTAAAAATCAGATATCTAATCCATTATTTTAAAGACCTGAAATTTCCATACATTACCACTCTGTTTGGTGCATCATCCATAATGTGGATCATTTTAAAATATACTGCTGACTGTATTCATTCGTGAACAGTGTATTTCCACCGCGGACAGCTGACAGATTGGTGAACGCCGGGGTGAATTAATAACATTCAAATGTACCGTATAAGCAGGCTGTTTAGAGCCGATGGAAGGTATCAATAAAGATAAAAAATAAATATCTAATAAAGTCAGAAGATATTAAAATGCTGAGTCATAAACGGTTAACAACTTATTAATATTCTGCAAAGGTGTTTTTTTTTTCCATGCATCGATGCTTCTGACAAACAGAACCTGCTTGTTCGATAGTTGCTGTGCCATAAACGCCTTTTTTCAAATAAAAAATACCAGATTATGAGTAATCTAACCAGACGAATAGATGGGACTGTTTCTAGTAACTAATAGTGGGTAAAATCACTTTTTTGTGCTGTCCTGCTTCATAATAGAGAACATTTCCTGCCTCATTAGTAACAAATGCTTCATAGCTATGAATTTACCCTTAATTTAAGCTTTTGAAACGATGAAGAGATGAAATTTATTAGTTAATACACTTCGAAGTGTGTGAATGAGCCACTTTGAAGGCGCTGTGCAGATTGGTGACGGTTTATAGCGCTAACTAGAGATTTAAATCTGTGGTCCGCAGACTGCTGACTGTTTTTAATTGGCCTCTGCTCTCCAGCCCATTACTGCCAGCTTTTACCAATACTACTCAGTCAACACTTTTTCTTGTGCCAATGCCATTTACAGCTACTGCAGTCAAACTACAGGCTCTAAAGTGATAACGCTTATCTGCAAGTACATAGTGGACATCACATTTAATAGCCCTTGTTTTAAGCTTTACTGCAGGAAGACTTTTTTTTATGAAGCACCATCTACTGTAAATATGAATAGAATAAAATGGTGTAAAATGGGAACTGTTGTTGGCTTTTTTTGGAGGTCATAGTTTGAAGGTCATGGGTTTGAGCCTGCTGGTTGTTCAGGGCCTTTCCGTGTGGATTTCCATGTTGTTTTTTGTGCCTTTGCCGGATTTTTACGCCACCTCTTCCCAAAGACACTGTAGGTCAGAGGCTCTGAGGAAATGTCCACATTAGTCATTTTCATTTTAAAATGTATACTTTTCACGTATGTGCATATTAACACTACTCTGGGGTTTCAGGACTCCATAATCAGAGACTTTTGAAAATGCTACTGAGACAGTCGGGCGATCGTGGCTCAAGAGTTGGGAGTTCACCTTGTAATTGGAAGTCTTGGTCGTTGTGTCCTTGGGCAAGACACTTCACCCGTTGCCTACTGGTGGTGGTCAGAGGGCCCGGTGGAGCCAGTGTTTGGCAGCCTCGCCTCTGTCAGTGCGCCCCAGGGTGGCTGTGGCTGCAGTGTAGCTTGCCATCACCAGTGTGTGAATGGGTGGATGACTGGATGTGTAAAGTGCTTTGGGGTCCTTAGGGAACTAGTAAAGCGCTATACAAATACAGGCCATTTACCATTTACAGTCATAGTTTAACAACTCCAAGTGTGTGTGTGTGTTCGAAGCTTTGGTAATACCTTACCAGTCACAAAAACTGAGGCTGAAACATCACAGGGTCATTCCATGAAATGCCAATCAGTGCCTCCCACCTGAGCCACCTTCCCAGGGAAACTTTCAAGGGTCATTTCACCACGTGGGACAGGTAGAAGGCTCGCTATCGCACATAAAAGGTTTCATTTTTACTTGCATTTTGACACCAGGCTCCTAACCTAGCTTTGATGCAATCACTTCTATTTCTAATACAGTTGTTTTGTAAGACTTGTCGCTTTCAGCTGTGAAATTGAGGAAAAGCTTGGTGTTAACATGTTCGACTTTCAGGCTTTTCCAAATTCTCACGTCGTTTGAGAGAAGTGTCTCAGGTGGCAACATTTCAGATTTTACTGATTTTATATGGACCATGTAGCCAGGCTGAGGTACAATTTCATGCATTGTGGAGTTTTTCAATGCTTTGATTTTTTGTAAATTGTATGAAGATCTTGGAATTCACGTTAGTTTTATGCATTTTTTTCTGCAAATGACCAGTCATCTGCTTCCAGTTTACAGATTCTAGCTGGAGGTAATTTAGACTTTTGCTAAAAGGCATTGGTGTGTATGTAGTGGACTATCTATTAGCGGAAAATGTACAGCAGCTGAACGGTGAAAGTCATGTCCTTGGAGAAATTTCAGCAAAGACCTGACACAGGACCTGAGAGATGCATCTGGCCCTTCAGCTGATCCATCTAGTGTTCACTGAAGCCTTATCAGAAACAGTCTCAGTGGAAGAGTGGCTGTCAAAAAGCCATTGTTAAGGAAGGGAAATGGGAAGAAGAGGCTGTGGTATGTCAAATTTACACAAGAAGTGGACTAAATATCCATCTGTGAAGGCTGCGTAAGCGATTGGCAAGATGACAGCCTAAACTTTCTTAAGCAGCTATGTTGACGAATAAGAGTGGTGATACCAAATCCAGCCTTTAAGCTTGTTGCACAAATTCTATTTTTGCTTTTTATCCTGTGCATCTATGTACGCATTCCCATATTTCAATTAATCGCTGCATGTATTTCAGTTTTTCCTTCCAAAACATGGCTCAAGATTTCTGCACAGTAGCGTACTTTATAAAAATTGGACAATACTGAGATCAAAATCCTGCAGGCTTCATGTCGAGGGAAACAACTGAGAAGCCTGGGAGCAAAAAAGAATGCCTTTGTCCGGTGTTTGTTTCTAATATGAATCTAAGAGCAAACCGGATGATTTGTCTTAAATGCATTTATGCTTTTGCTTCTAACCTTGAGATAGGAAAACTGATCAAAATTCAGTTATCTAATAAAAACAAAACAAAAGCTGAAGTGATTAAGTTTTGATGAGACAAAGAAAAGATTAGTGCGAGCAGGAAAGCTTTTCCTCTGGGCAGAGCCAGTTAGAAAGTGGTTTTAAAATAGTGCTTCATGCACTGTTTGACGTGTGGCACGCTGATGAATTCTCGGCAAAATCTAATCATCATCATCATCAGAGAGTCATGATAATCAAAAACCTAACACAAAATCACTGGAGTACTGCACGTATGAGCACACAGCTGCAGAATGAGCTGCTCAATTTTAACGCCTGAATTATGTTTGCAGAGCAAACAAGCTGCCGGACGTCTATAGTTAACGCTTTTTTCTTAGAGAGGTATCTTATTTGAGTTAATTTGATTAAGTTGGCTGGCAACTTCAAAGATGGAAACAGAGAGAAAATACGGCTGTTATATAGTAATTTATTAATTTTGCCGAATGTCTTCTGAAGGGCAATGTACAGCTTTTTACCAGAGCCATAGTACAATACTTCATAATTACAACATTTACAGGTGCAGTTGGGTTTGTCTTTTTACATCAAACGACGGGGATGAGCAGTGAAGGGAGCACAGAATCAATAAAATGCAGTTTAACACAGACAAAGCAAAAACAGTGTTCATTAGCCAATACCGAGCTCGCCTGCAGGAACGCATTTATCACCGAGCATCATGACACTCACACGACGGCTCGTCGTCTCTTTACAGCAGATGGACTGACAGCCGAGTACCGGTAAGCAAAAAGCGTAAAAAAATATCGTCATTAATTCACCTAAATATCAACACACTCGTGGCATCGTTTGATAGATACGCCGAACTGAAAGGCAGATGGTAAACACAGACTATGCGGGTGAAAATGAGCGGTTCTGGGTTTCATTCACATGTGGAGCGAAAGCAGTTTGTACTTAAACTTTTCTCTCAGACTCATTTGTATTCCACAACAGCCATCTTATAATAGAAAAGATAAAATATGCAAATTTAAGAACGTGGAGTGCCTCGCGATGGCAAATTGAAGGTTAAGATTGATTCAGCAATATCCACTGTTTCTATAGCCAGACGAAACAAAAAAGTTTGAAAGAAAAAAAAAAACAAAAAAAAACCAAGATGTGAATTAATTAATAAAAGGTTACTCAAAGAAGCAATAAGTAAGGAAAAGCCGCGGCTTCTCTGTCTCAAAGCGCTCGTTCGACAGAATGGAGCTGTGAACAAAAGGAGAGTTCAAAGAGCAGCGATCTCAATGAGACCAGGGGGGCAACGAGTAATTTCACATCTTTAGCAACAACAAAAAAGCTCAACTCCCAAATGTTGCTGAGACGGCTCGTCTTCAGTCACATAACACTCAGTGCTTCATTTATCCAACTATTCCGCTTAAAAAGAGTCGCTGCTGTAACAAAGCTTTTAGAATATTTAGTTAACTTCTTTTTGTAAGGAGTTTCTTCAAATAAAAAAAAAACTGGAAAAAAAAAAAACCAAAACTGAGAAATATCTGCTTCCAAAGGAATTTGTTTGGATCTGGAGAAGCAGTAATAATTTATAGAGCCACTTCCAAATAATAAATAAAGAGATGAATAAATAAACAAGCAGGCAAGCAAACATCAACAACCACATTTTTCCCAGTAGTATTATTATTATTATCATCATTTATTTTTTTATTTCCTTTGTAGAAATGTCTCTGGTAATCCAGCGTCAATCCTGTGATATTCTTGAAAAATGGTCTGATACAAGCTATTTACCACGCTGCATTTTTTTTTTCTTTTCCCAAAGGGATGAGGAACAGTTTGAGGGCTCTGCAGAAGAATGACACATGTGGCTGGCAGCTACAGTCAAACTGATCACCAAAGGTTGAGAGTCAAAGTCTGGCAAAATATAGAGATTTATTCCTCCTCGTAGTCTGTTTCTGATAGTCGTGAAGCCTCCTCAGCAGAACATTAGCTTGATGTCTCCTAGTCACAATCGTGTGGAAAGTCTTCCAGGTGATTCTCAGTTTTCTCACTCAATCGCTCCAATGTTGAAAAAATACATTTTCTTTTTTTTTTTTTTATATTCTTAAAACTATGTTTGACTCTACATTTTGCCTCCCTTTTTAGTTCTCCGATGTGCTTTAGCATCCACTGGGGTTTGAACACACCTCAAAGGTTCTGGTGTAAAAAGCCAGTTTTAGAGAGATGGGTTCTTTCCAAAATGGTGGGACGGGAGTGGTGAAAAATAGTCTCTCTCACGGCACAGTGTTTCTTGCTGTGTGACTCACACAGTCTCCAAAGACGGGGCCTGAAAAAGAAGACTTTCTGCGTAGGCCTGTGGGCTAAAGCACGGTGGCGTTGTGGCCCTCCATCCTGGGAAGCCGTGGGTCCTGAACCGTCCCCATCGTAACTAGCAGTGGGCGGCTATCCTCGGATATACCTGACTGAGCCATGGACACTGATGTAGGAATGGGTCCCCCCCTCTGGTGGGCTGCTGAGGAGGACATGCTGCCCTGCTGGGGTGGAGGAGGTGGGTTGGTGTTACTGTGACTGGACTCTATGGGGAGGCCTTGCTCCTGGTAGCCGTATCCGATGGTGCCACAGGGGAAACGTCTCAGTCTGTAGAGGGGGACTGGGGGCAAGGCGGCTGAATCTAAAAGTAGGGGAGACTGGGCAGCGGGAGGAGGTGGAGGGGGTAGTAGAGGTCTGCAAAGACCCTGCTGCTGCTGATGGTGCAGCAGTTGGAGTTGGTGCTGCTGCTGGAGCTGATGCTGGAATTGCTTGTGCTGGTGCTGGAGACCTAATGCCCCGGCCACCTCAGCCACTGTCCGGCCCACGTGCTCCTGCCCCTCTCCAGGAACCCTGCCACTACTGCTTCCTGCTCCGCCCACCCCTCCTTGCCTTTGCTGTTGCTGCTGTTGCTGCTTCCTCTGCTGCTGCTGCAGGAACCACGAGCCATACGTAGGGTTCCACAGACTGCTGCTTTTCCCAGTGTGGGCGTCCTTCTCTGAGGGGTGTCCCTGGGCGAAAGCCAGGTTGATGTGTCCTCCCTCTGAGCTGGGCTGGGTGGTGACATGAGGTCCCTTGGCAGTGAGTGTGGAGGGGGCAGCAGAGGTGACTGTGTTGGTGGTCTGTGTGTGAGGGTGCTGGTGCATGTGGAGGTATGGCTGGGGCTGAGCCGATGGTTGTGCTTTGGCCTCAGACGCTGTGCTCGTCACAACAACGTGCTCCCCTCCTCTCCGGTTCTCCTCTGTGGGGTAGGGGGGAGGTGGCTGTGGAGCCTCACCATCGGGCACCTGGGGATTCACCAGCACAGTCGGAGCTGAGGGGTCATCGGGGCCCATGGGGGCATGTTCCTCCTCCTCGGGTACTGGCCCATACTCGATAGGCAGAGCCACGTTCACCACATCGGGGTCCTGAAAGATTCAAAGATCATGGCTGTGGATGAATGGTCATAACAGTTACTTCATTGGTCTAATACTTTTGCTTGGAAAATGTCACGAGGTCGAGCAGAGAATTAACGAGAAGGATATTACGGAGAACTGCAGTGCGCTGACAGTCTGGCTGCACTAACAGTAATAAAGGGCAACAACGTCCCAGCAAGCAGATTCGAATAAAGTTGTGGAATATTCACAGTTCGCCTGTGGGTCCAGCAAACTGAAAGCTGCGCATCAACAACTTATGGCATAAGATGCAGCAGCAGTTTACATTATAATCTTAGCCACTTGTCAGCTGTACTGATTGATTCTATCGTCCTGCAGAGTGGTCGAATAGAGCAAGTAGTCCACTACTGCAGATTATGTCCTCCTCTCAGATGGAACACTCCTTTTCATGCACACATATGCTTTCTTATGCTCTGTACAAACTCGTGTTGTGTAATCAATCAGTCACAGTTAGGTTGTTTCCTCTGATTGCTCAGCCCTAATCAGTGCCTGCATGACAGTCAGGTTCCCATACGGTGCTCAGTTTAGTTACCTGTAAGCAGTAGTCTATTCTCTCCAGGATGGTTGAGAAGTTGGGCCTATCTTCAGGCTGGTGCTGCCAACTCTGAGTCATTATACGGTACCTGAAAATGCACATGAACGAGCAGAAAACACGGAGTCAAAACACTTTCTCCCACTCCATGCAGAGAAAGCAGACTCTCCAGCACTGTTTCTCCAGCTGATTTAATGCATGCTGGATAAATCTCCTCTGACTAAATATTCTTAATAGCTTGTATTTTTTTATATTTTTTTTGATTTTATTTTGATTTTATTAGGTTTTTGTAATGCAGATTTAAAGTGTAACCTCCCACCACTGAGAGCTATTGTTAAATGGGCGATGTAAATTACAGGAGCGAGTTTTAGTGATGCACTTAAGGGATCTGCCTATTCTGAGAGAACAAAAAAAACCAACAACACGTTTACAGTGAACATGAATAACAAGATTTGGGGAGGGAACTTTTTTCAATTCACGATTTCCTGCTATACCGATTACACTAATGCGCACATCAGAGCTACGTTGCTAGGAAGATACGTCGGATACAAATTTCATTTCAAAATACATTTGCACTTCAGGGAAATTTTCTTTTTTATTATTTTTATTTATTATTTTTATATAGAGATAGAGAAATAGACAGATGGATATATAGCTGGATAGTGGTGTAGTGGTGTAGTGGTAAGACTCCACGCCTTTGGAGCGGGAGACGCATGTTCAAGTCCAGCCTGGGGAAAACAACTAGTAACTAGGGACTGCTTTCACGGCTAGAGGTACATAGATCATTAACAAGGAGATGATAGACAGAAGTGGTAGGGTGCTGTGTACTTTTACTCTTCCTGTGAAGCATTGAGAGTCAGGATCACATGTTCAACCAGGGAGGTAAGGGGCAGAATAGAGGAGGGACTACTAATTGTCTAACTTCCTCTACTTGTAGGTTAACAAACAATTAGTAGTCATCGATGTTGACAAACAGTATTAAATCATAAAGTGGCTGAGAAATACAGTCTATAGTATAGACATGTAGTACAATCCCCGTGACTATATTTCAATCTGGGAGGCAAACATGAAAGAGAACTGTTTACTCTTGTTTTTGTGACTTGTAAAACGTTTTATTTAGCAGTAACAGCCTTTATCAGACTTGATCGATGATAGAACTCTGAACTATTCCTCCAACTGTGCTTTCAGCCTTGTGAAGCTTCAGGTCACCGGCTGCTCCCTCCTGTTAAATTTCGTGTTCCATCTTTGATTAGTAGCTTCAGCGAGGTGACGAGGTCCTGAGCTACCAAGCAGCCTTGAACCATGACGTTTCCTCTCAACATGCTTCACAGCATACACAAGGCTTGTTTTTGTTGTGCAGTTCCTGTTTTTCTTCAAAACAAACAAACAAAACAACATCATTGAGCCAGAAAATGTAAATGTTACCTCATCTCTTTTCATTTTTGAAAACAGTGGCCTCCTTTGTGGTTTTGTTGCATTAACACAATTCTTACTTTGTGTTTTTCTCACAGTGAACACAGATTGTTGTAGAGATTTTGCTGGCAATTTCATGTTACTTTTGGGTTGTTTTTACACATTTTCAGGACTGAACAATGCCATCTTACTGTGTTGTTTGCATGATGCTCACTCCCAGCGGAAACAAACTCCCCATTTAATGGATAGTTTGTCTTATTATTGTAGAACTCAGGGGACCCAGGTCTTCAAAAGCTCTTTTCAGCTTTGTGCACATTTGGAATTTTTTTCTCGAAGATCCTTTGAAAGTTGCTGTGATCGAGACATGATTCACACCCACCAGTCTTACTTTAGGGGATCAGACTCTGTCAATAGAGACTCTATATGTCTTTATTTATCATGTGTGGCACCTTTCAACCTCCAATTCATCTCTCACGTCTTTAACTGGAACACCTGACTTAGAGTAGCTTTTAGAGAAGTCGTTAGCACAGAAGGTCATTTATCTTTTGCAGCCTTGAAAAAGTACAATCTGCTGGTTGCTGTTTGATACAAACTATGGATAGTTTTAGACAACTAGATGAGTTGTTCTTTCTCACAGGCAGTGCAAAGCAAGATAGTCTGCTTCAGACACATTCACACTGGAAATACTTTACGTGGCTAAGGTGAGTGCGCTGCATGGATAGTGTGTGCATGGCACCTTCTCTCGAGTGGTAAATGCACTGGATTATCAGCTGTGATATTCCCATATCACTGCAGTCTGACTCGTATTATTATTAAAGTGGAAGGTTCAATTAAATTAAATTGTCTTTTTAAAGCACCAAATCATAAGAGCAGTTGCCTCAAGGCGACTGCTACATCCTAAGGTAGAGACCCTGAAATAATACAGAGCAATGAAAACAACCCATTTTGAGCACGCAGTTAGTGACAGCAGGAAGGAAAAACTCCCTTTTAACAGGAAGAATAATCGGGCTCAGGGAGGAGCAGCCATCTGCCTCAACCAATCGGGGTTGATGGGAGGAAAACCCGACAAAACTTTGTCTAATTTTGTATAAAACACCGAAATTTTTAAAACAGTCAGATTAGCCAAACTGTGAAAGAAGCAGAAGCTTCTAAACTAAATCTATAGTGCTGCTTTCTTACAGTGAATTTACCGGGCTAGCTGGATAATCTGCATTTGTTTTCATATATGCCTATGTTGGGTTTAGCAGTTCAGTGCATGTGTGAAACTGGCCTGTGCAGCATTAGCTTAGTCTACAGTTGTGACTTGGATTAGATGCCATGAGCACAAAAAAGTTGATAAATTTAAGCTCTTTCTTCCAACTGTGGTCCTTTCTCGTCTGTGTGATCTGCACTTACACAGGTCCAGGACAGTTTTTAGGCGGGTCCATTCTTCCCCCATTTGTTACAAACTCCAGCACTTCTTGGTTACTGCGGCTCGGATATGGCATGTAGCCCAACGAGAAGATCTCCCACAGCAGGACCCCAAATGACCTTCGAGAGGCGATTGATGAGAAAAAAAAGATTAGTTGGAGGGAGAGAAAGAAAGCTAAGGACAATCAAGTCTTAAATTACAGGCATCATCACCGCTGAAGTGGTGAAGGATGAGAGCAGAGGACAAGTATGAGACGGAGAGAAATGCAGCGAGGGTTCAGCAGGAGGTGAAAAAAACAGACAGGTGTGAAACTCTGGAGGTGAAACCAGTGTCAGTCTGAGAGATGTGTGCAGGGTTCTCACCATGTGTCTGTTTTAGATGTGAAGATGCCCTCCATGAAAGCTTCAGGTGGCATCCATTTCACCGGCAACATGGCACGCCCACCCTTCCTGTAATAGCTCGCCCTGAACACACACACACACACACATTTGTGAGGGACGTGCTTGCATAACCGTGTGGTTAATAACAGATCAGACACAGTATTAAAAAAAAAAGGTGAAAACTTCTCAAATCCAGCAATTAATTCAGTGTTTTTCAGCAGCTTTATCGGCGCTCTGATCTGGTCGCTTTTTCAGCCTTCTTACATGTTGCTGTGTGAGACCTTCTAAGAACTCCTTATCTCGCAGAAAGGAACGACGCAGATTTCTCGCCGGGCTGAGCCGAGCCCCGTCTGAGCCATTTTTAATGCTGCCTTGCCCTTTGCATTGCTAGAAAAATAATCAGATGTGTGCTGTATCTGATCTTTGGTGCTGATAGAGGTCGCCGCCTGGTTTATCTCGCCCTCCCCGAGATGCACAACAAGGACAGACGTGAAGTGGCTCCCATTCGGCTCCACGTCCGCCACGGTGTCCACAAAGAAAAACGGACATGTGTCAGGATCACAGTTAAGTGGTGTCAGCTGCTGTCAGACGGGAAAACTTTATTTTTGGCACCGTTTTCTGTTGCGGAGGAGTAAATCTGTTTGCCCCCAGTAATACTGTCATAAAAATATCAGCATATTCCCTAAGCACTTGTTCATAAACATGGCAATTCTTGATAATAAATGAGACTGTGTGACTGGCTGGGTGGTTGCCAGTTCAAATCCCTGGGGCCTAAGGAATAACGCTCTTCCTCTGCTGAAAACAGCAGCTGCTCCGCTGAAGCTGCACATGGCTGCACAGGAATGAATTGTAATTACAGTGGGCAGCTCCCAGGTGTAACTAGTGTTCCCTGGTCAAACACATAAACATACAGAGAAAACAAACGCATCAAAAACAAGGTGATAAAGAATAAATAGACAGTTGTAGTTTGGATAAATTATGGGACCGTCTCAGGAGCCTGAGCTTTTTCAATGCACCATCTGATACCTGTGCACTTGGCTCTATGTCCTATATTTGTCTGGACAAGTGCTCATATCCAGCTCCATATCTTCATTTTTGAAGTCAACAACAGCAGCTTTGCATGATTTACTTCAAAGCACTGACAGTTCCAAATAGAGATACTGTATCTTATCCTGGGCTTCTGAAATAAGCTAGCTTCACTGCTCTCCCTTTAAGCCAACTTTTTTCTGATTGGCTTCTGCTTGAAAGCAGACGATTTAAACAGTGTGTGTGTGTGTGTGTGTGTGTGTGCTTTTTGTGTGCTGCCCGACTATATTAAAGATATCCTCAAGAACTGAGAGAAGAAAAATTTTTTGAACCTGAGCATTTACAGCAGCTTGACGCCTTTTGGCTCACGGGAAATACTTTTACATCCACCAGCTTCATCATTTTGAACACTGGGCCATAATTAACACCCAACATTGGAACGGCATATAAATATGTGATGGAAAATAAGAAAAGGCATAATAGTCCCGCTTTCATTTCATGCTCTCCTGGGGCAAAAATGTCCAAACTTCAGTTAAAAGCCACTGCTCTGTACCTACTGTATAACCTGGAACTGACATTTAAATTAAATCCAAAAATAATATGAGATGAGTGCCAAGAGGCTAAAACAGAAGTAAAACGTGCAATATTTATGCAGTATTAACAATCTGCAGCCAAGGCCCGGCCTCAGTTATTAAATTTTGGTCATAAAGATGGAGTTTCCTTTAATTACAAATTCAGGTGAGAGCGTTAATAGACTGCTGCATTTCCTACAGTATGAACCCAGGGCAAACAGCAAGAGCCAGCACTCATCATTTACTTTAACTTAGCTGCAGCTGCGACTCTTCAGGGGATCCACGAGCAGAGATGAATATAAATGATATGCAGACAGATAATATGGTTAAAAGGAAAATATAAACTATTGGCATAAGACGTTACCCTTGAGGGAAATTACACATAATCAATGAAGCAGAGAAAACAATCACTAGTGAAGTCTGTTTGCTTGACAGATTAGCTGAGAGCTACACTGCAGGGCAGACACTCAGATATGCACCCAGCGACTTAATCCATCACTTAAAATAACATGCCCCAGTCAGTGATGGGAATCAGTTACCAGCCCCATTTTTAGTCCCGCAATTACAGGATTGAATCGTGCTACAGTCTCATTCCCCTCTCCGTCCTCGGTACCCCTCTAATTTTCTTGTCCATCCTAATAAAGAAAACGGTGAGCGAAGTGGAGTGGCCTCTGTAAATAGATGCAGTAAGACCAAACTGCTGCAGGAGCTCCTTTTATTCTCCTAAAATGTCCTCTTTGTTTTTTGTTTTTTTTTACGTATACTGCGTCCACCCTTGATGACCTCTGCAACCGAAACAAATAAATGCAGATGAACCGAACTCTAATTTTCTTCCGCCCTGTCGGTTGTCAGGCTGTTAGAGAACAGTGAATCATTCTGAGAAAGATTGAGGGACATGTAGAACACGAGACTGATAATCCCGCTATCGCTAGATCAACCTCCTTTTCAGCACAGGGTGTATGGACATATTTGTTACTCCTGCCAACACCTCCAACACTGACTGAAAGCTGAGCTGCAGATTAGAGAGGCTTAAATACAGTCTCAGGAAATCTATAGCTCAAATGGAGGTGTTTTATGTTTATGTGTGAGCAACTCTGTGTGCAAGAGGCGAGCTGCAAGATAGAGCAGTATTAGAGGGAAAAACTAACAGTAAGAGACAAAGGCACGGAGCGGGCTGTGCTGAATGGAAAGTAAGATAGTTGCATGCACCTAAGGACACAATGGTGGAGGCTAATGTTTGTGTCTGCGGAGCTGGATGTCTTTGTTCTGCTTTTATTGTGCGCCTGCATGTGTGCATGCCAGGCTGACTTTAATAAATACAGCCTAGAGTCGTGCTATACAGCTACTGTTATTAGACCCTATGAAAATATGGTCATTTAAGGCGAAACAGTAGATTTCTCTTCATACTGGCAGCTGTTCACCTTAGGATGATGGCTGTCTGCCAGCTATTGTCTACCCAGCTTTTTATTTACCACCACATCACTGGTGCGCAGGCATGTGTGAAAGACTGTGTGAGTGAAATTCTGCAAGTGCAAGTATGCCTGTGGCTCTAGCGGAATATAAAAAGCTGACATTAAGCCATGTCCTGGTGCCTCACTGGGGGCACCTGTCCCCCTGTGATCGCCTCAAAAGAACCCCACGTCGCTTGTCACATAGCAGTATGGCCACATCGTGAAACGGCAAAAATAACGCACCAGCAGCCTGGTAGCCATGTGTGCAAAACAACCCGCCTCTCTCCGAACACAATAACAATAATAATAAAAAGCCCCTGCACCAGAGCTTCAGGCTGAGAGATAACAACAAAATCGCAGTGAGGCACCTGAAAAACTGACATCAGCAATTAAATCAAGCGTTCCTAAAGTGGCTCCCCGGAGATATTGTGCAACAGCTTTTTCCGGATGCTCTGTGAGTGACTTTGCTCTCGTGTGACTTTTCATCGCATGATTCAAAAGCGCTGCGCTGATCTAACTGAATGTTGTGACATATTTTCCTTGCTCTAATTTCTTACCAGATGAAAGGCTTGGGAGATTTCCCTGCTGGATTGTGCGTTCATTTAAATGATGCCACGTGAAATAATGGTAGCTATATTAAAAAAAAAAGGGGATGAGAACAATGACTAAAGGGGAGCTGATCTAGATTAAAAGAAAGCTTCAGTCCAACAGTATAACAGAGGATAAAACAGCTGAGCTGCAGTATTTACCGGGTAAAAAGCCCAGGACAAAAACAGTTTCAACTCTTTTTTTGTTATAGTCACACAAGAAAGACTTTTATGCATCTATGACCTGCATTGCACATATCAGTAAGCGAGAAGAGGTTTCTCCACCAGTGCATACAGTCTTGCTATTTGCCAATGGCATGCAGCAACTGCTTTTCCAAGCAAACGTATCCCTATTTCTAAGAGCAACGGGCATCTGAGAAGTAGGCGGCCAGTCTGCTCAATGATTTTCTGGAAAAAGCTACACGACTTCCTTCCAGTCCTGTCACCTGATGGAAGCAAAGCTGTGACAACTGGTACTAGGTTAAAATCCAACGATTGTTGCTTAGGTCTTCCGGTCATCCTACTCTCTGATTTTACTTGCCATTAGGTCAGAGTGGTGGACTGTGTAAAAGAAAAGTATTCTGCCACATGTTTGTTTCTCTCTGTTTGGTGTGAGCTGCATCCCTTTGGACTTTATCTGGATTCCAGTTCAGCTATAGCTAGCCAACTGGACCAGAGTGTTCTTGCCCGCTGCCACTGAGCTGCGTTAGTATTGTACCTGTAAATGTCTCGAGCCATCCCAAAATCTCCGATCTTAGCCACTCGTCCCGGTCCTTTGCAGGTCAGAAGGCAATTCCGTGCTGCAATGTCCCTGGAAGAACAGAAAAAAACACTTTCAGGTTATGTTGCACACATGCATGGACTCATGCTATTAGAAATCTTTACCCACGAACTTCAGGAGGATCAGGCGAGGATAGCTTTCTCACATCTAACACACAGCAGGACGCTTTACACAGTTCTCACTGCTGAAATTCTCTGTGGTTTCAACGCAGGTGCTGCCTGACCCATTGTGAATTCATCACTCAATATACAGACTTTGTGCTTGGGGTACTGGCAGGTTATAGACTGTTTCATATCCAGTCCCACTGTATTGTACATTTGTGAAAATAGCTTAAGCCTGAATTATACAGCAGGACAAGGTGAATACTGATGCTTGCAAAGCTCTGCTCAGAAGTTTTTCATACATTTGCATCTATAACATCTCCATGTATGAAACACCTACAGATGCTCCCTGTTGGATCTGAAGTTCACTGTAACTACCAAGCTGCTCCGGGCAAGCTGGCAAAGTGTATAGTTTCCTATGACTCTGCCCACATGGTGGATCCAAAGAAAAGATTGAAATGTATGTGCAGGCTGAGTGGGTTAGAGGAGAAAATTCATATTTGCACTGTTCTGGGCCGGTTATTCTTTGAGCAAAAATACAGTAGTTCTCACGGCGTGCTGTACTGCTGTCTGGGGAAAAAGGAGCCGAGCTCACACACTTTTCTCTGCTCCCCAGGCATCTAACTTTCTCAACATCTTAAGAAGTGACGTAGCTCACTGCTCGTCTGCACACTGCAGACAAGTGAGCACCAAAGGCCAATAAACAGCCAGACTTTAGCATCAGAATAACATCATGTGGCGGCGCTGATCTCAGACTAGATCACGAGACAGGATATGGCTGGAAACCACCAGCGATAGAAACACACAGCACCGAGCTCTGTGTGTAGACACAAACGCACGCACATGTTTTGATGTTTGGCCTCCAAGCTCAGATGAGAAATGACACAATGAGGATAATGTAATGGTTCAGACTGATTTAAACGGAGGGCTTTTTAACCACTGTACACAGCTGCCCCACTTTAGTCCACCGCAAGAGATGCAAGCTAACATTATAAAAGTATTTCATCGCGTTAGTATGAGAAACAATAAAATCCTCTCTAGGACATCAGTTCCACTTTCTCCAAGTTTCTTTTAAACTTTATATTAAAGTAGTTAAATAAGTGTCAGTGTCTATAAACTCGGTTATAAAAAACAGAGAAGAGAAACTTCCTCCATTTTCTTTTTCAGGAACAAGAGGTGAAACAATTAATCCATTTAAGGTCATCTAAGCCGCTTCAGGAAAGCTGCATAATTTCTACCGTAGCGCGACTCTAATCAGTGGCCGAGAGTGCACGTGCACACACACACGTGCACACACAGAGTCGTGAGGTGCTATTACTAAATCCAACTTGCTTTGTTTAATGGCTTGGAAGAATTCATGGAAATGATTTGCTTTTGCTTGTAGGCGAGGAAGAGTCTTGAAATGCAGCATACTGCTGTGACAGACTGTGGTCTAAAAGCTTAAGGGAAAGACACAGATGTGTTGTACGTGCAGCACAGCGATATGAGAGGAGACTGTTGTTAAAATATTATCAACCGGCCTTATAATGTGAACCTTATTTACAGTAAATTTTCACTGCAGCTTAAAGACCCATTTCATAGCAGCACTTACAGAACAATACGCGTTAGCCTATTTTAACACCTGCAGTTGCACGAAACTGCCCAACTCCTCAGTACAGTGATAATTTTCAGGTGGCTACAATTGCCAGGCCGCTTGTAAAAGGAAATAACCAAAGAGCAACACGGCACCATCCACTAGCCATAAAATGGAAATAAGCAGAGAAACACACATAAGCTGGAGTAAGTCATTCTCAGATAACATCAACCCTGTGATTTAACCTCTTGGTGAACATAACAGCTCTTCATCCAACCCAGTAAGCCCCGAGAGAAAGCTGCTTTCTGTTTTTGGAGTAGCAGCCTACTTCACTCACATGCCCTTTACTCACCCCCAAGAAAACACGCTTCTATAAAAATGAAATTAGCCTCAAGGACAGCGTTGGGGGGGACTTTTAATACAGGTTTAAAGGCAGAGAATCAGGTTGAATAGAAGATCACGAGGCTCTGGAGAAGAGTCGGCCATTAGGTGGATTGATGGAGCTTTACTGTACCGCAGCGGGGCAAACAAGGTTTAATAGACCTCGTCTGTCATTGGCCAATCCCTGGGAAGTCAAAGGCAGATCTCAGGGAAGGTGGATGTGCTTTAATTGTCCTGATTTGATTGCAGAATCTATTTTGACCTTTTCTCGTATTAACACGTACTTGACTTTCCTCGTGCGCGTCCACGAAGGAGATTTTTGTAAGTCGGGTTCAAGAGAGGGCTTTTAAAAATTCTTTAGCCACATCATATGGTTCACCAGCCACTGCGAATATGAGCATAGAAGGGGCATACTCTTGACTTGCGCCTCGGATACAGAGCGTAAAAAGGCAAGCCGGCTAGCCCATCTGGCTGCTCCGATACTAAACTCATCACTTGTCCTTTCTGCTATCTCAGGGAAGGCAAAAGGCATACTCAGTCCATATGTTCTGCTTGGACAGATGCAGTCAGTTCATTATTCTGAGTAGATGCTAGATGAAGGCAGGGAACTCTGTTTGTTTGAATGCACATTTGCATTCCATATTTATACAGTGGCATGCATACCCATATGTTCTGCATATTGTTCATCTGCCAAGGCAAAAAGCCGAGGCGGGGGTTTGTGATAGGTGCCGTTTGTTTGGCTGTCAGCTAGATCACGCAAAAAACCCCACCAAGACAAATTTCATGAAACTTGGTGGCCGGGGGAAAAGAGGGATACATTAAATTTTGATGTAGATCTGAAAACACTTTCTTTTAAATTGTGAAATACCGTATTGACCTCAGTGAATGAGCTCCCCGAATATGTCAGTCTGATCGGTTTTGCTAGGGAGACTAGAGAACCACTGAGTTCACTGTATTCGTTCATAATAATATGCTCCATTTATTTTTGCCATCGCAAATTTGTTTTTGCATAAGTGTATGCAAAATGTGCAGCCATCTGCTGAGGTACCTGTGTATAAACTGGTTCTCCTCAAGATACTGGCAGCCCTTAGCGATGTCTCTGGCCACGTTGAGGAGGTCCACCATGGTCAGGCTGGATGGTTGATCCTGATTAAACAGAGAAGAGACAGAGAAAAAAAACAAAAAACTGAATCTGGGGCTGAATCAGGAATAGTATCTTTAAGAGTTAATGAGCACTATATTTTATGATAACAATCCCCCTTTAGCTCGTTGCTACAAACTTACCATTCTGGTTCAACCTCACAGTAAAAAAAAAAAACCCTCTAATTACACAGCAAAAGAGACTAACCAACACTGCCCATCACAGATTTATCTGTATTGGCATATGGATTGTCAAAAATGAGAGATTATATAAATTACTCATCAGCCACTTTGCTCGTTAGTTGTGGCAGACGGGCTGGCCTGAGTATTTCAGAAACAGCTGATCTGCGGGATTAACCCCCACAGCCGTCTCTGGGGTTTATAGAGACTGCTACGAAAAAGAGAAAATATCCAGTGAGCTGCAGTTCTCTAGGTGAAAATGTCTTGTTGATGCCAGAGGTCAGAGGAGAATGAGCACACTGCTTCGAGCTGATAGGACGGCAAGAATCTTCTCCAAAAACTATTTGTTACAACCAAGGTAGAAGAAGATGCAGAAGTAAATCTCTGAAAACACAACATGTCAAACCTTGAAGCAGATTGGCCACAGCAGAAAACCGTGCTGTGTGCCACTCCTGTCAGCTAAGGACAGAAAACTGAGCCTACAGTTTAATTACCATTGCTTTTTTTAGTCTGTTCACACTGACAAGTACTCAGTTGCTGTACTTTAATAACTGCCAAAAACAGTAAAATACTTGCACAAATCAATGAAATTTTGGCCAACAGTGTAAAGTGAGGCTACATCAGCAGAGCTAATGGCAATGCTGACGCTAGCTAGCTTACAACAAAAGATTTTCTTCTTTCAGACGCTGAAATTACAGCTGTTGTGACATTGTTTGTTGTATACAGGTGTTACGTTTTCACTCAGTGTAGAAGAAATGTGTATTAGATGAGCGGTACCAAGTGCAGCGTTCACTATTGGACGTTGCAGTCATCATGTATAGCTTGGTGTGTTCGACTTAGCTACCCTGTCAAACTTCAAGCAGTACACATATAAGTGTTTAGTTTATATGGAGTCCAAAGTGAGACATGATAACGATGTTAGAGTTAAGTGGCTGCAGAGCCAGTTTGGAGATTAAAACAAGGGAATAAATGCTGGATTTCATCAGGTCAGCATGAATATAAGACCGAATCAATGCACTGTGTCATGTGATATTTAGGCGCTTAACGCATACAGTAGTACATTTGTGCATCTTACTCTCCTGAGACCACAATTCCTCACAAAGGAGCTTCATTCTGCTCAATAAAATGTTTTAGACTTTGTTAACAATTATGAACTTTTTGTATTATCCTTTAAAATAAACCCACATCCACTATTAAAAAAATACTGTCTGTTCACAGATGATGTTTAGTTTTTACTGTTATCAGGCCCAATCAATCCCAAACTGTGGGCTGGGTCTCAGGAGAATAAAGTGATATGTTCACTTGAGTGCCAAGCAGCAGTGTGTCTCACCAGCCGGGGTCTGGTCTCCCTCAGGAACGTCTTGAGGTCCCCTCCAGCCATCAGCTCGAGCAGGATGAACCGAGGCATAGCCTGCAGACTTACTCCTATACAGCGCACAATGTTCTGGTGGTTGAACTTGCTGCAGCGACACAGCAGAGAAACACAGGTCAGATTTCTGCTGGTGCTGTACGACAGACTGAATTTTCTTAATGCTTAAATAGCTCCTACCTGATGATTAGAGCCTCCATGAGGAAGTCCAATTCATCCTGCTCAGAACAAACTTCCGGAAGAGTCTAGTTTAAATGGAAACCAAATCTCAGTGCAACAAATGGTAATAAGCAAGCTGTAATTGGCTTCAAATGAAATTGCAGTTCTTTGTGTGGCACTTAAGGCTTCAAGCTTTACAGCTAAAAAAAAAAAAAAAAAAACCTTTTTGCAGACGGGCACAAAAACTGCTTTGGTCTCTAGAGCCACTTCCCTCCCATCACGACGCCTGGGGGGGAACTCCTTTTTTAAAATAACAAACCTGTTTTATCTGTATAAAGGCTAAAGGTTGGAATTATTAGTGGCCTGGACATTGTGAGTGACAAGCGGGTTCTGATTAAGCCACTAGCAGTTTGCTAGGCTTCACCTCAGCTAATTGGAGTCATTGAACTGGACCTCTCGACTGCGTTTGTGCCGTTGGTGCCTTATGGAGCATTTTTAATGTAATTATCACACAAATAATATGGCTCACTGTGCGGTTAAGAGACCATCCAAGAAGAATGTGCTCCAGCTTTGGCAAGTGAAATTCTAATATTTCATTAGTCTGTTAGCGCTAATTAGCAGCAATCTGTGTATGAGTATGCAACCATCTATTAATGCATATTGCTTACCAGGCTCACTGTGTCAGCTGACAATTTAGCACGACACCCTCTCGTCCAAAAATACTTTGTTTTGGTCCAAAACAAACTATAATGCTACAAATTGTCGCTTTAGAATGGAGCTTTATAAACCAGCTGGTGGTGTCCCAATGGGTACATCCATCTTTTATAAAAAGTCTGTGGTAATAAGTGTTGCATACAGTATTTATGATATTTTGTATCTTGAGCTGAATGATGCTGAATGTGGGGCAGAGAAAATAACTGTTACAGTCGTTCTGTTACAAAGCTTTTAACGGAGTTTCAAAACAAGTCTTCAACTCTGTGATTGCCGGAGAAACGCCGCACAAATATCCATCACATGTAACCCCACTATTACTCTTGCGTCATGACTCACCTTGACTGCAACTTGCAGTGGACTTGGTTCACCTGGTATCCCCACTGCAAGACCTTCATAGACCTCACCAAAAGCACCGTGACCTAGACCCCTGCAAACAAACAAACACATAACAACTAGTTTTAGAGAGAACGATTTAAACAAGAACAGTGCTGACACCTCTAAACTAAAGACGCTTGAACAAGGCAGCAGAAAGACACATCCTAAATAAACCTTTTGTCCAAACATCGATTACCTGAGGAGCTAAGCACCAGGTAAACGAGTGGGAGTCATGTAGTAAATCAAAAAGAGTGACTTCTTTCAAACACGGTGGTTGAGATGCTAGTCAGTATTCTAATTTAGTGGTCTGACAGCTTTTCAGCCCACAAAGAAAAACAACTCTTTAACCTGTTGCAGCAGTGAATTTTAAAATGAAAATATTTATAGTTTCCATTTTTTCCCCTTTTTTAAAAAAAAGTTGTTTCAGTTGACATGACTCTCGCATAACTAGATGAAATAGATGTGTCATGAAAGTTTAAAAAAAAGAGAAAACTATTAATGATTTCAAATGTTTAAAAACCTCAAATGATGAACTGGCGAACTATAAACACAGAGACAAGATCATTCTGGAAAAAAAAAGATTTTTCAGAAGCTCGGATCCCTGCGGTGAACACCGTGAGACGTCACACTACTAATGTTGTTTCCTCTCACACCATTCTGCATTTTTGAGTCTAACATAAGTGGATTTCCACAACTATTTTGTAGGACTGACATCTTCAGTAATTGCACATCAGTCCATCCCTGCCCCACAGTAATGAGATTACTTGAATCTTTTACCTGGTGAGAGAAATGTTTCGCCTTGGCACTTCCTTCAGGTCGTTGACCGAGGCCGTTTTGCCAGCGAAGCAGTAGTTGGGGTTGTAGTCTGTCATGATGGTGGAGGCCCGCAGCTTACTGAGCTTGCAGTCTGGACTCTGCAGCTCCAGCTGAATGGACTGCAGCTCTGTGTGTTTACGCCGATACACTGGTGACATGAAAATAAAAGAGCAGTTTTGTTCCACTACTGAGATATCGACATAATAATAATATTAATAAAAAATAAATAAATAACAAAACATAAGTTCTTTTTGTAAAAAATTACTACTGGCAGCCAAAGCTCACAAAGCGGAAAGCTTTTCCAGTTATTACGTCTCCAAAGAACACAAAGCTGTACAGCACCAGTCACTTAAATAAAGCCCACTGTGTCCCTGAGCATCCATTCCTTTCCATCTGATCTGAGATTTGTCCAAAATATCAGAAAGAGCATGTTTCAGATTTAAAGTTTTTCAACCACTGTACATGTGCACCTGTTAGATACATGAACACATATAAAGTGCATAAACAACAATGGGCCCAAAGCGTAAGACCCAAAGAGCTCACATCTTTTCCCTCAATATTGCAAATGCATGCACCTCATTGAGAACAGCATGAAGTATGAAAACTCAGCTCTTTGTTTCTCTCTCACACACCCACACACAGCAAACTTCACACTTTTTAGTGCTAGAAGCCTCAACCTGGACTGTGAACATAGTAGCTTCAGGGACAGTCATTTGTGTGTGTGCTTATGTGTGTGTAGGGGAGTTATTTATTTACCAAGTGCTGTCTAATGTACGAGTGCTGTCAGCTGCTGGCTAAGCAGCCATCCATCATTAGCGTGTTTCATTCATCAGAGAGGTTGTCCCACACCTCGTCTGCCCCTGCCTCGTCCACTAATGTGCGTTCAAAAGTGTAGGTGGGAGTCTGAAAATATGCGTCAGCCTGCAAGTGATGGCTCAATGAGTGTATACTGTATGTCTGGCGGTAATAGTCTGAAAGCAGGCGTGCAGAGGGATATTTGTGATGGCTACGAGGCTCACCTCCCATTCTGGAAACAGCCTGCTAAGGGCCATTTAAGATGGGCCAGGGACCACTGGAGAAGTTTCATGCAGAGTGAAAATGTGTTTTTTTTCAAAATGTATAACAAACAAGAAAAAAAGGGTGATCATAAAAACATCTCAAATGAAAAAAGAAATCATGTCGGGTTTACATTTGGCTTTAAGCTTGTATCCGTGAACCTCTGAACTGTATCCACCATGTAGTGAGAACAAATTCATGGCGTACAACCCTGTGGCTTGCTAACTTGAGGTGCCAACCTCAGGCTTAGACACTATAGAGGGAGGAACAATATGGCTTATTATCAGTGCTCGCCAAACCGTGCATCTCAAATAGTACTAGGGTGTATTAGTGCCTATGGAATTGGCAGCTTGCTCATCTGGAAAGGCACAACCAATGCTGAAGGTATCAATGAGAGGAAAACACAAGTCTGCTCCCATCCAGACTTGATCAGGGAAGACCTTAATATTTCAGCAAGACAATGCTAAACAGCACAGTGCATCTATTCCAACAGCATGGGTTTATAGCACAATTGCCCAGTTGCTGAACTGGCTTTCCTGCAGCCCCTGAAAACATTTGGATCATCATGAAATAAAAAAATGCAACAAAGACGAACAGGACTATTGCACAGCTAGAATTCTCTATCAGAAAAGAATGGGAGAACATTTCTCTCCCAAAAGTCCAACAGCTGCTCTCCTTAGTTCCCACATGTTTATGGCCTGTTGTTAAAAGAAGAGGGGATGTTACCATGGTGAACATGTCCCTGTGGCAACTTTTTAAGACATGTTGCTGCCATTAACTTTGTATGTTCTACTGTAAATAAAATATGGGTTTATTAGATTTGCAGTTTGTTTTCATGCACATTTTGCACAGAGTCCCAGTGTTTTCTGGAACCCCAACCCTCTCTTACAATCTCCTAATAAAATCTGTAATATTTAATAGAGTATGTTGCGTTGTGGTACGACTGCGTATAACTTGTTCAGTGATTGGGCAAGTCAAGTGTTAAAAATCACAGTGCTCATTACAGAGCAAAACACTATGTATAGCAGGAAGTACTGAATGAGTGAACAAGGGAATACACCTCCTGAAATTAGTCTCAAATTAATTATGTTGTGTCCTCCTCCACCTACAAACCCCAGCTGCAAAGCTGAGGAAGGGAGGAAAAAGTGCAATGAGAATAAAACGAGTGCAGACACTTGCTGATCCAGGCTTTTGCAGATCATGTCAATTTTCACTGTAAAAATTCTGTAAATTATCAAGCAGAATAATTTTGGCCGTTGCCGATACCAAATAATTCTTTAAAATTCATATTAGTTGCTGACAAAGATGTGTCAACACTTACTTATCATGACTCCGGACACAGCCAGCAGGAGGGCAGCAATGAGCGCCGAGGTGCCCACAGACAGACCCAGCGCCAGGTGCGAGAGAGATGGAGGCTGCTTGGACACTTCTGCAGGACAAGGGGAAACAACGGTGTCATACAGTTGTTATCTTCCCTCAGAGGAGTATTAACATTCACTTCACCACACTGATCCCCGACTTAATTAATGATGTGAAAGCGATGACACAACAGAGCTTAGGAGCGGCGACGGACGCTGCATGTCAATTCCTTTTTTCTGTGCGGAGGGGAGATCGTTTCGCTCGTCTAAGCCGAGGAACAAATCTGAACACCGAGAGACACCATATTGAGATTGTGACCTTTTTACGACCTAGCATCACAGAATTATCTACCGCTTGTCATTACAAAGAACAGATTTGCAAATCATCGGTTGAGGAGACAGTCTAGGTCATTAAGATATTATTGAGATGGTAAAAGCCCTGTTATTTTGCTTGAAATTATAAAGTGACACTCTGCCATATTAATTCATTTCAGATCTACATTCATAAACGTGTTATCTGCCTGAGATTACAAATCATAATTGAGGAGGCAATTCTGGGTCTGTAGGGGTTTGTCTACACCGGCTTGTTAGAGTTTAACCCAAGAAGAACGCAGTTTTCAGACATTTCTGAAAGCTGATTTTTAGTCGATGGGCCTAATGGGCAAAGCTAGCTCCATGAAGGCTCATTAAGCCCATTATGAAACACATTCACAATCCACAGTCTAATGTCACCACATCAGTACCGAGGTGAAACCTTTTATCCTTGACATCCTGAGATAAAGAGCCTTTATCTGACTGCAGCGCCGACAGTGAAACGACAGGACAGGAATCCACACAGCTATTACTGCTATGGTTACATTCATTTTCAGTGAGAGGTTAGCTTATCCTACGTATTGATAATTATTACGAATGATTGAAGCGCTATTAAAAAACATTTTCCCTGATAAAGATTCAATAAAGTACAGAGCCTTCCAGGCTTAATTACTTTTGTGGATTAATTCATTATCTGTTCTCCGAGTCGCAGCCTATTATAGGTACAATTACATTCAGCTCATTTGTGTGTTCAGATCATTTCATACGTTTGCATGGAACAGATAGAATTAGTTCTTCATTACTTGGGCTCCACTACTGTTATCTCCTGTGTCATACCTGTGGCGTTGATGCAGGAAACTTCATCCGGTGCCAGGGTGAGGCCTTCATCACAAAAGCAGATTGTGGAATCTATGTCTATCTCGTGGCATTCATTGCTCTCACAGTGGCTGCAGTTCTGCACCGGGCTGATGATCACCTCGCCATCCCCCTCCATACCTGTAGGCATCCACGCACACACACAGTCACAAAAACACGGCAGAGCAGAGGTTTCTAAAGCGAACAGGATTTGATTAGATGGCTGTAGGATGTTCTCTGGTTAAATGAGCCAAAGTTCAATAACGCTCCTGATGTAATTTACACGAAATAGTCCTGATTAAAGGATCTATGAAAAAAAAAGAAAAAAAAAAAGAAAGAAAAACTTCCCAAGGTTTCACTCTCCACGCCATCGTGATCCAGCATATGGTATCCTCACTCACAGAAAGAAAGGAGACTGTGTAAGCGGTAAATAAAAACAGAAGACGGTGACCTGCAAATCAAATAACGCTTATATTAAAAGGTAAACATCAAATACTGAAAGAGAAATTTGATTGGGTTTGGAACATCATGGTGTAAATTTGAAAAACATTGGATGAGGCGTCATATCTCATTCATGATTCCTTCAAGTTTCCCAATTTTTAGTTCTTTTTAATTAAACATATAGTTTAAATAGTTTCCAAATTGCTCTATTCTGTTTGTATTTACATCTTATAACATGAAACACTGTTGCATCTTTCTCCAGTTCTTCTGTTCACAAAGCCTTGGGGTCAAGGTCACTGAGATTCAAACTTGTATTAAATTTTTAGTAGATCAATACAATTTCAAAATCCTTAGTGACTTCCTTCTTGAGTTTCAGAAGATTTTCAGAAAACCTGACCTCTGACTTTGACCCCGAGTTCAATGTCGAACTTGAGAGCTTTAAGGATGAAAGTTTAAATTTATCTAAGCAGCTCAAAGACAGCCATCCACTTTGACTGTCAATGAAACAGCTTGTTGTGGAAATGCTCCAAACACACACACACACACACTCCCCCGCAAAGACTAACATTACTTCGTTAAGGCTAACCCAGCGAGAGCTCATTATGTTAACTTGGTGCTCGTTGGTGGGCGGCTGTCGCTACGGAAATACATTTGTTTGATTGATTGAGTTGTTGTCTCTAATTTGGTAGCCAGAAATTTATATGTATTTAAAAAGGTTTTCTGCAGAAAAATGATCATATTCATATTACTCTTATCTACGTGCATTTACTATCTGGCCAGTTCAAACTGCTGTAGAGCAGTTTATAGAGGCAGGTGGGTTGCTTTTGTTGCGTGGGGAACTGGGAGCTTGCAGATTTCCATTACAGCCCAGCCTTGCCTAAAATAGATGAATTCAGTGATTGTGAATGGAGGTTTGAATAATCAGAAAAAAAGATCTTCTGGCTAGAAGAAAAATCCGCAACCTCTCTGCCCTCCATAGCCCGAAAGCTTATAGCCACAAAGACTTTTAAAAGAGATTTTTTACAACGTTATTTATTTTATTTCAGATTTGGGGAAACCAGTTCTCTTGATTGCGAACTACAGCAAGCAGGGACAAGGCAGTGCAGCACAGATTAGTTATTGGTTGTGAAATTCTGTACTGTTTAGCAAGCAAAGCAAATGCATTCATCTGTAGAATCTATTTTCTCTCATCATTCTGTTATCAGCTTTATACGTACAAATACATAAATCTAACCCAAAAACACAGAGACGGCTCTGAGGAGGAATACAAATGTGTCGAGAACAGCTGCTGACTGCATACTAATATCAAGGCGTGTTGTGGCTCTTTAGACACAGGCGTGCTCAGTGCTCCTTCATGTTCGTGAAGTGAAGATGGTGATGATTATTGTTACAAACATTTCTAAGACATCCTGTTGGCACACCTGACTTATATTCTAATAATATAATATTCTAATAAAAATACCTTTGTGTGCTGTGCTGCAGTTGTTTCACTATCAACGCTAGACAAGAATCCTGATAAAGAGGAATGATTTTTCTCCTCAAAAGCTTCTTGAATAATGATTTGCTTAGTCTCTTACCATACTCATGAAAAACTGGGCATTCTCTTACACACCGGTGCATCGACAGAGACTCATTTATATACTCCTGGCTTCTAATAACATTCACGCTCTCCTCGGTGCCTCCCTGCATCTAGTGGCCAGCTGTGCAACCCTATCTGTATTACAAAGGATTTGAAGCAGTATGCCGTATTCGGTGGATTAGGAATCCGTATTGCAAACTGTTGCCTCTGTCAATATTACCAAAATCATTTTTGATCCTTTTTAGGCCTGTCAGTGCACACAGCAGGGCGATCCTGCATTACCCACTGTTTTTGTTTGAGCTCAAGAATCTCCCAGTGCAGCTCAAAGGAAATTGATGCCGTAGAGATTTGTGATTACGACTTACAGCAATGCCCTTAAACCTGACCTTTACTCGGATGATATTCTTTTTAGTTATCACATTACAGATATTACAATAAGCCATTTGTGTATTTTGATAACAATTCATGCCTTTTGGGGGATTACCCAGCTGCAATTGTTGGGAAGCATTTAAGTAACAAAGTGTTGCAGGTTACCTTTGTGGTGGCCATCTTGTTTTCCCAGTAAAGAGGAAGCCTGCCTCAATTGCAGCTCTTTTATAGGCCAGTCTGTATTAAGAAGGTGTGTCTTTAGAGTATTTAAAGGGAGCAGGAAATGGATTGGGAGCCATTTTGAAGTTGCTGTCTGCATGTGCATGATGTTGGCAAGAGATAATAAAACAATTACTTTAATTAAGATAGAGTGAAGTCTGATGTTTCCCTCACCGCCCCTCACTGTGTAACAGCAATTTACATCACTTTCTCTCTGTGAATCCATACAACACTTCTGCTGCAGTGGTTTCAGGAAGTGAACAGTTTAAAACTCATATGGATGGCTATAAATGCCTGTTTAATTGCATTACCTGTCACATAGGGTAACATCTCATTTGTTATAATACTGCCAAAGTGCAGCTATAGCTATCTGGTACATCCTGAAAAATGTGGCAAGTAGACACTGAAGGACAAAATATGAAACAAAATGTGAAGATGCAGACAAAATGAATATTATAATATATATATATATATATATATATATATATAATATATATATATATATATATATAATATATATATATATATATATATATATTATGGCATAAAGTGTCGAACACTTTAGCTAAACTTAAAGAAATCCAAAGTAGCATTTTGATATTTGACTTTTAGAGCCACAATGTTTGCTGTACAAACATGAAAGAAGTATAAATGTGTAGAGGTGAATTGCATAATAGTCTAGTGCAGCTGTCCCCAACCCCCGGGCCACGGAGCAGTACAGGGCCACAAGTCGTTTGGTACCGGGACGCGAGAGTTGAAGCTCGGGTGTGAAATTTATGGTTTTCAGGGTTTTTATCGTTAACTCGGTTTCCCTGGGTCTTTTCCCGTGTTGTAGTTGTGTGTCTTATTTTGAAAGAAATATTTATGCGTTACCATAGCGACCAGAGAGTATTAAGGAGCAGAGAGGAGGATGTTCCTCTCAATGTTGTAGGCGCATTTCAGGGGGGCGCTGCTAATAAAGTTACACAGTTACACAGTGAATTTGTGTTTATTATTATATTTACAAAATACCACAGTTTTTGTCGTGGTCGTATCATTTTGTTTTGTTGTATTTATCCTCCACATTTTAAAGGCCGGTCTGTGAAAATATTGTCTGCCATTAAACCGGTCCGTGGAGCAAAAAAGGCTGGGGACCGCTGGTCTAGTGCAAACTGGATACATAAAAGCCTATCAGCTGAGCCATAAGGGTTGATTCTGAGAGCAGCTGATGTGCGCTGGATTACATCTCTAATGGTGCATTACAATTTGGAATTTTGCTGAAATTTCCTTCTGTACTTACAAAGCCAGAGTTAGAAATACAGAAGACTGAAAACGACAGATTTTTGGTTTTAAAACTGATGTTTTCTGTGCGGTTTAATGAAACAAAATTTAGCTTTTTTATTAAGGAGATTAATTTCCTTGATTTCCTTGAAAGGTTTTGACAAATTGAGACGCACCATTGTCACAAGTGACATTTCTGCAAAAGAAATAGATGAATCTGAGTCAAAACCTTTTTTTTTTTCCTAAATGGGAAACGCGCCCTTGTTAACACTTGGTTTTAAAATGTGCCAGAATCTTGAATCTCCATTGAGACACAAAGTGATGCTGTCACTCAGACTTCACACTAAGGTGGTTTCCGGCACTTTGGACTGCATATCTTTTGTGGTGCAAAAGCAATCATGTATTGTTCCTCTTCAGGAAAACATGTCATTAATGCAGTACACGGTGTTTCTATTTACCTTTTTTCCCCCCCTTTTAGCAAAGACTTTTCCGCAGATGCCTCAGCTGCCCAACAAACACATAAATGGCGTATATCTCTATAAAACTGAGCAAAGATAAAGTCTTGGGTGATGTATACACATGTATAGATGTTTATTAGGGGTGCCACGATACACAAAATTCACGGTTCGGTTTGATACTTTGGTGTGACGGTTCGATATTTTTTCGATACAAAAAAAATATGTTCATGCCTTTTTAATTTGTCATTTATTAAAATTATAAATATATATTTTAACTCAAAAGTACAGTTTTTTAAATTTAATGTTGCTGAAACAAAGTAATAAAAAAAATAAATCTATCTGATCCAGAAATCACTCATGTTTGGAAAAGAGAGTTTATTAGGAGAAATGTCTCTTTCCAAAATAAAAGCTGTACTATACGCTTCTTCTGGGCTATATTCTCAGCAGCATATTAAACATATCAGGTCCCCATGAGGAGAATCCTGTGCTAACGGCTGTCTAAATAACTCGGGTACAGTTTGTAGCATGCGTGCTTGTTGTTTTTGTCTGCTTACACTTGTCTTTGCACTAGGATGATATCAGAGTAAATGTGCAGTCATATTCGTTGTGTTCCCACTAGTGCTGTCAGCGTTAATCTCGTTGAAATGACTTTAACGCCACAACACGGCAAATCTCCATTAACGAGCTACCACAGATGGCCCCATGTTAACGAGCTAACTGCGCTAACGCACTAGTTCCCACCAATGTAATTGAGCATTGCGTGGCACATCCTACATACTGTTTTACTTTTGTCCATGACGCGCTTACCTTCAGGGTCATACTCACATGAAAACCAAAATAGTTCCAAACGCCACATCTGAATTAGGGTGGGGGAGGTTCAATTTGCCATGTTGCAAGGGGAGCTTAACTTCTGTCTCGCTAGCTTGCCCTGGCTCAGTGAATCTGCGTTCGACTACTCCGCCTAGGCTGCACTGTTGAGCCTAGGCGGAGTAGTCAAACGCAGATCCACTGAGCGCTCAACACAGACAGCATCCTCAGAAGGAAAGTTGATAAAATAAATTAAAAATTTTGTATTGTTCATACATATGTGTACCGAACCGAAAGCACTGTATCGAACGGTTCAATATCGATACTAGTATTGTTGCACCCCTAATGTTTATACAGTCAGGCTGTACTTCACTTCATACCAGGTTCAAAAAAACAAGAAAAATCTAGCAGTGATGGATCAACAGGTTTCAACCAGATTAATTTACAGATCGGTTTATTGTCTCCATCTGGAGGCACGTTAATCAATAAAACAATATGTTTTGTTTAAAGTGAATGCTCCAGAGTGTCCCTTTATGGAACAGCTGTCCACATCTGCAGTGTTATTTTTTAGAGGCACCTTTTTTTTTAAATTTCGCTGAGTGAAGCATCCCGATCTCCTCTTGCTCTACACACCTCTACAAGATTCTTCTGCTTATTCTGCTGAAAGCAATCTCAATGTACCATGAAAAAAACTAATTTAAAATGTCAATTGCAAAAACAGTTTTCTCATCGTTCTGTGAAGTACAAACACATTAACTCTCACCTACAGACACTACAAAGGCATCAAATGCTGCATGCTAATATGCTGATGATAGGTGCTGACTACTGACTAGCCTGGCTGTATGTGAATCACCTGGCATTACCTTTAAGGGGGTGGATGAAGGGTTCTCCCTTGAAGAAGGACGAGCCATCCTCACCATCATGTTTAGGGTTGTTATCTGCAGAGGTGTTACCACCTGGAAAACACAGGAGGCAAAGAAATCATTGCAATCAACACATTTTGAATATCATCCATATAAAAACTAAAGGATGGGACAAAAACAAAGATTTTCTGTTAGTCAGACTTCCTCTGAATTTTTAAATATCAGCTTAAAGTGCTTTAAAAACTATACTTAATACAAGACGATACATATGCTACATATATATTATATATGAGGAAACTCTGATCCAGATCAATTTGCAGTCGATTGAGCAGTAAGAGGAAGAGGACATGCAGCTGTCTCTGGGATTGGGTCTGATCCCTGATCTGTATGAACTCTGCCATCCTGTCACAGTCACTATAAAAACACAGATGGTCCTACAAGATTCACATTTGGCTCGTACCTGACAGCTCAAGGCAATTTATTTATTAAAACTTTTTTTCTGTGAAATCTTCTCAAACTGACCTCTGTAGCCTCCGCCACCGCCGCCGGACATACAGCCACCTCCGCCACCTCCAAAGCCGCCACGGGTCTGCCAGAACTTTTGACAGGCTTGCCCTCCCTGTCCCCCGAGCACCAGTGGTTTGCCGCCCTGGCTGACAGGAGCGCTGTCATTCCAACCTCCTCCTCCACCTGTCGCCAAACATAACACACATTTGATAATGACAGGGAGAAAGTGCAGCGCGTGTAGAAGTGACATGTAGTGAATAAGACTGAGTTTGTGAAAGAGACAAATGATATTAAAGTACTTTTGCATGTCTACAGGCAAAGAAGACAAGATGCATACCAAGTAGAGACGGATACATTGATCAGCCACAAAACTAAAACCACTGACAAGTGAAGCGAGTAGCATTGATCATCTCGTTACAGTGCAGCGTTCTGCTAGGACACCTTGAGTCATGGATGTTACTTTGACACGTGCAACCCAAATCTTGCATTGGCGGCTAACGAGATCAGCTGCTTTTGCCAGCAGGATACTGCATCACAAAAACTGCCCAAGGCGTTGACCCTGACTCCAAATTCAGCAGATCCCAAAATTCTCCAAGATTCAGTCGTAACACGACAGATCTACCAGGGTCCCACAAACAAGAGAAACCACTGTGAAGTAACTCTAGTTAACATGAGCATTTTGACACATTATTTAACAGGTAGATTTGACTGCAAAACCACGGACACAGCAAGATCATACTTAACTAGCCATGCCCCAAAGCAGTGGTGTCAAACTCAGTTTTGCTAAGGGTGATACTGGGAAGTTGCGATCATATTAAGTAAATGCAAAACCCTCCAAAATATCACAGATTATAATATTATTCTGTGTATTACACACGCGTATAGACTTTAGTAACTCAGCAGAAATGCACAAGGTTGTCTAGCCATCATATAGTTTATTCAAGCACTACTATTATTATTTCAGGTATTTCTTAAAGGTGATGACAATTCAATGGTCATATGGGCGTCTTTAAAATATAAAAGTTAAGAGCTTTGATCGTGTATGTCTGTGAAGGTTCTCAGTCATCCAGGTCATCGTAGTCAAAGGAGCTTGCAAAGAAAAGCGTCTGGACTTCTTTAAGTTGCTTGAAGACGTTTCACCTCTCATCCGAGAAGACCTTAGAACTGAAGAAGCTTCTCGGATGAGAGGTGAAACGTCTTCAAGCAACTTAAAGAAGTCCAGACGCTTTTCTTTGCAAGCTCCTTTGACTTTGATCGTGTAGTTTATATGTACAATAAAGCGTTTTCTTTGCGGTGTAGCAAATTAAACACCTTTTATTTGGGAAGCAAAGGTTGCTGGTTCAATTCTGGGCCGCATCAGGAATCAAATGTTCTGTAGGAATCATTTGTGACAAGGAAGCAGATAAAAGTTGCAATTTGCAACCAAAGGAGACACCCCCTGCTGGCCATTAGAAAAAGTGCCGGTTTATGGCAGTTCTGCATTGGTTTCATATACTGGATTCCAGTTTATGGCCCTAGCCTGCAATCCAAAGGACTGGAAAGACAGTCTGGATTTTATGAGTCAGGATACCCGCAGAGGTCGCATGTCTATATGCCAAAGAATCAGAGCTGATGCGAGCACTAGAGGGAGGATATAATTATGCAGGTGGCTTAAATGTTGTGGCCAATCGGCATACAGTATGTACATACACAGCAATCACTAACCCGTTAGTTATAACAGCTGACAACAGACAATTTTATTTTTAATTTTTCCCCCAAAACCTGAGGTACAAAAAACCAACCCCAAAATCCCAGCGTCCCAGCAGCCTCCACACACCGCTAACATTTCATTTTTTTATTCACAGAGTTTCCTCCAACTGAAACCTTGGGCTTTGAGAAGATGTAAAAATCAATACCTTATATGCTTTTCGGCTGCTCCTTGAAGCACATGATTAATGAAACCTGCAGCGAGTGTGGATGTGACGTTACACCAGCAGAGCGGAGCGTGCAGTTCTGCCCAGCAAACTCGGAGGCGAGTCGTGAGGAGGGCCGCGCCGGTTTGTTTTTGTTATAACACAAATGCTGGCACACAGAGGTGGGAAGTAAACACCTTCAGGATAAACTGGTGTGTTTCCGAGGACGGGCAGACATGCAAATAAACACTTCCACTGTCGAAGCCCAATTGTAAACTTTATTATTTTGCATGCACGCAGAAGAAAACAGAACAGACACAGCCTGGCTCATCCTAGAGCGAGGAAAGATAAGCCATACACACTGCATTACTCATCTACTCTCATTATTTCAACCATTTTTTATCTTGTTCTCTATAACTCAAACTCACACAGTAGATTGTCTCTCCCTGTACCCAGCTCTGTAACTCACACACACACATAACTGCAGTCACAAAGAGTGCACTTTCCCACAGGGGAACAAAGCTGTGATACATACAAATACAACCAACACTTACATCAAAGCTGTGTGTAGCATACCTGCAGCGTGTGACTTCCCATTGCGTCCAGGTTGGCTAGGGTCATAGTCCATTTGCTCCTGCTGGGTCTCTGATTGGCTGCTGTATCCCCGGCCACCTCCCCCAGCAGCGATGATGAGAGGGATGTACACTTCTCTGTCCACCTGGGTCAGTATTGATAACAGTTACTTTATGTAGTGGCACAGGATTTGCTCTTCAAAGGTGTGGTTATGTTTTTTGGGAAATTCGTCCACAAACACGAGAATTGCAGCTGGTTGACCTGGGAAATCCACCGCAGCTTACGCTCACTGGACAAGGTACCTCTCATTTGTTTAATCTATACAAACTGATGAGCCTCAAAGTGAGACTCAAGGAACCAGCAGAAAACCAAAAGAGTGTTTTTGTACAGAGTAAACCAATTAGAGTTCATTTAGTGAGCTTTAGCGGTGGAGGTTTTTGTTACCTCCTCTGTTCCTTTTGGTTCCAAGCCGTCGTTCACAAGAGCAAAGTCCATCATTATCATTATACAGCAACTGAAATATCTCCCCAAGCTGAATGCTAGACTTCCTTTCTCTTGTTTGCTTATTTATTTATTTTTATTGTCTGAAAGCGTTCTGATGTACCATTCAAAAACAAGGCTTCCGGTGCAATCATAATCCTTTCAGCAGCTTTGAGAGGTTTTTCTTCCTGACACTTTGTACAATAAATACACAATTCTAAATCCAACCTGAAGGTCTTTTGTGATTATATATCAATTTTTTTTCCGAGTTGAAAACAGGCCTTCTCTTTGAGCTTAGATTACACACACATTTTTTGTCCACAAGACGCTTCGCTTTTGACTCTTGGCAAGAAAGCAAATAAGCGTATTTTGCCTGCTTGGTTTTAAGGAGACTGGCCTACTGGTCAAATCATCTGTTCAGTGATGAGAGTAAACACATGGATATGAAGACCTGTGTCCTAGATTGGGGTGCTGGCTCTTTAAAATTATAATCTTTCATATACTGAGCAGCAGGCCAATAAAAATACCTCAATGCCAGGAATCAGATGAATGCTGCAGTGCCCTGAATGTACTATTAAAATGATATTTATTGATTTTACTGGCCGATCAATTTTGCTGGCTAAATGTAAAAAAGACAGAATAACGTGAAGCTCAAGGACTTTAAAGTACACATTTCAACAAAAGCATGATAAACAAAGAGATAAACATCTATAATGGCTCAAAATGGTACAATCAGTAAATCCCTTTATTGCACATAGTTTTTACTGGACTATCAATGGAATCAACGTCCGTATAAATGGGCAGTTGCTAAAAATAAAATCTCTGAGCACATCATCATCCCCTTCAGCTCCTTCTTACTTTGAATACATACGTAGCCCCTCCACCGCCTCCTCCCCCTCCTTTCACTTGTGTTTTGTTCACCATTGGGCCGCTCTGTTCCAGACATATCTTATTCAGCATGCCGTTAGACTGCGGGGAGAGACGCAGAGAGAGAAACATGTCAGTTTGCCACAGAATTGCCTTCGTGGATGTCGGCCGCGTATGAAAAGGCTGAGCGGTTGCCAGACCGCAGCTGTTGTGAGTCTGAGGATTATAATGGTGTGCAAATAGCAAGCAGAAATATTCACATGCACACAGGAACTGAAAAGCACCAATGCTCCCCTCGCAAGACTATCTGAAAGTGACTCACATGTTTACTCATCCCATGCTGACTGTATAAAAATAATCTTGTGACTCAGTTGATAATGGTGCCGGCTCTAGGGTTGTTATTAAAAAAATAATCACGCAATACCAGTGTATTTATCATAATATTTTTGCTTGTGGTTTGTCATATTTGCTTTTAAGTATGATTCGTTCTTCTTCTTTCAACTGCTCCCTCTGGGGCTCGCCACAGCAGATCTCATCCTATCCTCAGCATCCTCCTCTGTCACACCAACCCTTTGCATGTCCTCCTTCACTACATCCACAGGTCTCCCTCTCTTCCTCCTACCTGGCAGCTCCATCTTTAACAGTCTTTGTCCGGTTTATCACATGTCCAAACCAGCCTTGCCTCTCTAACTTTGTCTCCAAACTGCTCACCCTGAGCTCTCCATTTCATTTATAATCCTTAATTTTCAATCCTGGTCACTTCCAGTTAAAATCTTGGCATCTTCCACTCAGCTCCAACTCAGTCTTTTTGTTAGTGCCAAGATCTCCAGACCATACATCATAGCAGGCCTCACTGTCATTTTGCAAGCCTTTCCCTTCACTCTTGCTCTGATTCTCCTGCAATTTTATTCACGTTTACTGCAGGCTGAGTAAGTTTGAATAATTAGACATTTCCTCTTAAAGGCGTGTGAAAAACTTTTAAAGAACAGCCCATTAATTATTTGGTTTACAGCCGATTTATCACGTTACCCATTAAAGACAGCCTCTCAGTCAGCATGGTGTTGTTTCACTCTTTCTCAGCTCCCTTGAAAAAAATGAACCTGGATGTTTTGTTGGCAAATAATGTCAGAGGCAGGGACTTTGCCCCGACCGAGACCCTGTGAATTGATGTGTCTGCCTGGTGTGCGCTATGATGCTGAACTGCCTGGAGCGAGTCCCACTTTAAGAGTGAGAGGGCATAGGTTTACCTCACTCGCTCTGTCTGAGTCTCATACAAACTCTCACAGTCGCTCATCGCTCTCTCTCAGCTCCCTCCATCTGTCTCAGGCAACACTCTTGAAAGCTGTCTGAAACGGAGGAAGGGGCGGGACTTTTGTGACTGTGACTGACAAGTAGACGGGGTCGAAAGGAGTGCATTCAAATGTTCTTGGGAAAGTCTTCCTCACTATTCCTTCCCTCTCAGCCATTTCTGCCTGTGCAGCTTCTCAATTTAAGTTAACTTTGTGTTTTAGAGAGAATGAGAACAGAAGGCTGGATGTGTGTGTGTGTGTGTGTGTGTGTGTGTGTGTGTGTGGCGCAGCAAGAAAAAGACATAGTGAATAATTCTAAAGACGAGGGACATATCATCATTTCCGTCACATAAGGGAAAGCCAGGTGTGAGAAAACACTGTTCTGCAGCACAAATCACTTTCTGCACGACCCTTTGGAGAGGGCTGCTGCCTCTCGCTGTCAGAACTGGGGGAAAATAAGAGAAACCTTAAATGACTTCAGTTTCACTTTGGAACAGCCAAGTCTCTCTCAGTGCTGTCTGTACAGAGCACTTCAGAAAGCACTGTGTTAAAAACTAATAACTGGATGACAGTGGTGAGGACCTGCGGTTGAAAGGCTAGACAGGCTGCCTCGAGAGAGCAAAGCCACAAAACTCAAACAGGCACTTGGGCAGCCTCATGTCCAGCTAGTGTAAACTATCTGAGATACACGAGGTTCTCTTGCAACCCTGTTTCCAAGTTGCTTAATGCTAAAAAAAAGAAGAAGAAAAAACCCCGAAAAGACTTGGTGGAAAATCTCACATTTAAAAAGATTATTAAGTAACATTATTGGGTAAAGCCTGTGGGGGAAAATACTAACAGTAAAAATAATGAAGAATATTGTTTAGTGACTTCTTCATTTATGGTGAAATTTGGAAAAAGCTCTGCAGGCAAAGATGAAACCCAATACAGTCAAAATCAGTCTGTAGGGAATCATCAATGCTGCGTTCTGCAGGCTAAAATACATTAGGGCCCATCCACCTTGTTGTTTGCTCATAGTTCAAAAGCACCAACCCTTGGTCATATCAGACAGGGTGGCAAATTTATGCACGCTGCATGGGATAACTTAAACATCTTTGAAAGCCTCATTAATTAATGCTGAACAAAATATGACAGTTTTGGAGCAACGTATGCTGTAATACTTTTAAGGGAAGGCCTGGTTTAATTCAACAACTACCAGAAAAAACAACACATGTGCACTATTTTAGGTTTTATGGATTTGTGCAGGAGTCGTTTGTCTCTTAACTGTTTAAATCTTGTATTAAACAGCTGAATTTCTCAGTTAATGTCGGAAAATACTTTTGATCATCTCCCGGTCAAAGGGAGACAGATAGGATGCTGATGTGTTGTATTATGTAAACATTTTGAATGTAGTGTATCCTCAATCATTAGAAAGTCATTTATTTTAGGGGTTTTTGTGACACGCTGGTTTTAAATGTGCTCTATAAATAAAGATTTGGGATCTTGACCTGCTGAATGGCTAAAATCCCATATCAATTAAGAACAGGAAGAAAAGCTACAAGACATTGTTGCATGAAAAATAATGCAACACAGTAGCAAACCTTACCCTTTCCAAACTTTTAGAAGGCATGTTGCTTCCAATTAATCCAAAATGAGGGCATATTGAAAAAGAAAAACTCCGTAACATCACATTATTTCCTCCACTACTTTGGAAATGTGTATGCATGTCAAACACACCAGATTATGCAACGTTTTTAAACATTACTGGGTAGATGGGTGCATCTGAGTCTGGCTAAAGTGAACCTGAGAGACACGGCGGGGCCATCACTGCAAGCTTGGAGCAGAAAGTTGAACAGTTTTTGGAGGCCATGAATTGTCTGGGTTTCCAAAGTCAGACCTCAGCGTACTTGAGGAAGGCTGCAGGGAGTTAATGATCTTGTTTTTTGGATAATGTGTAATGTGAGAATATGTTAGTCTCTCTACGATGTGGACAGCAATATCATTCGAGCAAATTTAGAATCAACTTCAATCTTCTTACACTGACACAGTTTGGGCAATATTGGGGATCGTAGAAGGCTGCTGTATGTATTTGTGTGTCCATAAAAAAGAAATGTTGGGACTCCTCATTCATAAAGCTGATTCATTGCAGCATTTACGGCTATTTTACTCTCATTTTTTAAGTTTATCTTGCTTTTATGACACGCTGTAGACTACAGAGTCCCAGATGCAACAGTATTCCTATTTACTGCGCGATAGCTGACTTACGAAACTGCCGTGAATTATTGTAAAGACGACTCACATTGGGGCAGGCATCCTCTCCTCGTTGTCCTACAAGGATGTAAAGCAGTTCTCCTTTGTTCAGCAGGAGGTCTCCCGTCATGTAGGCACCGTGTGACCTGCTTGTTGTCAAGACACTTCTCCCGCCAGCGGCGCCATAGACGGTGACCCTGGAGTTTAATGGAAATAAATGAATAACACAAAAAGTCATTAACAGGAAAATGACTCTAACGAGACAAGAAAGTGTTTTTTTTTTTATTTCTATTTGTGTGAAACAAGCGGCATAAAAAATATTGTGAGGCTGAGTCCTCGTGCATTCCTCCTGCGAGTTGGTGAGTGCACAACAAGTAACAGCCAAAATTCATTTGGATACACTAAAACACACTCACTCTGGGTGTTTTTAATAAAAACCATTTGACCTACTGTGGCACATTACACTGAGGGGAAAAACCAGAACCCAGACTGCACGGGACACACAAGCACACATGCAAACACACACCTATGTATCGGAGAACACTCATTTCAAATGCTCCAGTTTTCTTGCCAGACAAATAAAAAACAACTTGATTGGTTTTTGGGAGCACTGCGATATTTTTCTTCCCTGGTGGTCGAGCTTGATCGGGAGACAGAACATTGCCCAGTGCTCAGTAGCAGCTACCTCAGCTGTTTGTCTAATGACTTGTGGGAGATGCAGAGCGCATATTCATCTCTGTGGCCGTCTGTCAACTTCATTTAAGCGCTTTGGCAGCTGGGCCAGGCCGCATCAAGAACAATTGTACAGTTTTGAGGAGACAGAAGGTGCTTTCTGAAACTCTGGACATGTGTTCAGGCCGTCCGGTCTGTGCTGTTAGTCAGGTATTTTAAGACATGGAGGTTTTGGCTGAGCTTAGCGGTGTGTGTGCGTTTGCTTTTGTGCTGATGTGGGAGGCTTGCAGCTTTCAGAGAAATTTTTGTTCCAAGTCAAATCTAAGTTAAACGGCTCATGTTGTCATGAATGCCCACAGGAGGGATATTGATCCCTGGAAAAAAAAAAAACAGGCTTTGGATATTGCAGCATTAATCTTGGAGCAGTGTGCGGCAAGGGGTCAAGGTGCTAAAGCTGATTGCTGAGCTATTTTGAAGGCTTAAAGGCTACCAAGGAAGAAGCGGAGGTGGGTGTTTTTGGATTTTAGAGTCAGGTGTAAAGTGAATCACGCCATTTAGCTGCCATTACTCCAGCCTCTGCTCCTTCCTGCAAGAATCTGATAGCAATATTTCACTGCTTGCTCTGCTGCACTGAGGAGCAGAGGTGGGCGTGAGGAAGAGCCGGCATTGGAAAAATGTGAATTGCATAGAGTGCTGATGTCTAAGAAAGATAGGTTAAGTGTGTACTGTATACAGAATGTGTTGAGCTCTCAGAAGCACACATACCTAATGACTTCACAGTGAGACCCTTCAGAAAAAGATAAAATTATTCCAGAGTGGGTGTTGAGTGGAAATTCAGTGTTTAAATGGCTAGCTCTGATGTTTGTGTGCTCTGAGGCTTTATAGGCTGGCAACTGTCCTACCTGTAGGAGCCGCTTTCTGGGACCCGCCACATTTGAATGCCTTTGAATGGCCCCCGGGTTCCAACTGTCACGTTGACATTGCTGTTCCTGTAGGAGTTTAGGCACTGAGTGGGAGTTGGACCTTCAGGGCCCACAGCCCCACAGGTATGAAAAATCCATTTTTTGGCTGCACATGAAGAAAAGGGAATTAAAGGAAAACATTTAGTACTTTGCAGAGCTTAGCAGTAGAGGCACATACTCTGTGTTCAGTCAGGCATGCAGCTAAGCAAAGTTAAAGATGATGAAGAGGCTGAAATTACAGTTCTATTTGTCTAACATTCATTCCACTTCAACATTTCTCACTGCTCCACTTTCACTTCAGTAAATCCAAATATAAAGATATGTAAATTATTGGAGCTTCTCATATGAGATGCTACTATCGTCACATTCGCAACAGCAGCAGGGGACTTGGTTGACGGGATCACAGGTGACAAACATTTCTCCTCATTTTCCATGTAATCCCATGTGTCTGCGCTAATTGGAGATCTTCTCACTGTAATTAGCATGAGATTAGTCTTGTCAGATGGACAGAGAAGGACTTAACGCTGCAGGTCTAAATCCTTACTTAAGGCTTGTGAACACAGAGCGGTGAGGTAGACACCAGGGAACCTTTCTCTGTCTCTCCCTGAGACTACTTCTAATTCATTTCACAGCAGGGTTGATTATTGAAAATGTGACACTGGCTAAAGTGAAAGTCATTTCTAAGGAAGGATGAGTTGCATGTTGGCTTTCATAACCTCAAAATGGATGCTCAGTGTGAATGTAATTAGGCTTGGGGGATATTGCGTATACAGAAAGAGCGCTTTGAAGTCATTTATTATCTTGTGCTGGACACAAAGGCCACCAGGGGGCAGTCTCTACAGGCAGAAGATTAAATTGAGCTCAGTGAGCTGTGAAACAAACCAAATGCAAAGTTTTTTCCCCTTAATAGAGCTGTGTGGAATATTTGGCTCTCGCCATTTGAAACTCTTTGTATTGGATATCCACAGTTTTTCCAGTGTCTGCTGAAGGAACCACAAGGAACCACTTGTACACTCACCAGCCACTTTATTAGGTACACCTCTTCAACTATTTGTTAATACAATTATTTAAAATCAGCAAATCACATGGAAACAGTTCCTTTTTTTTGCATGCAGACATGGTCAAGATGACACGCTGAAGTTCAAATCAGGCGTCAGGATGAGGAAAAAAGGTGATTTAAGTGACTTTGCTGAGGATTTTGAAAACAGCTGATCCAATGGGATGCTCATGAAACCATCTCTGGAGTTTACAGAGAATGGTCTGAAAAAGAGGAGCAGATGTCTGGGCGCAAATGCCTTGCAGATGTCAGGGGTAAGAAGAGAACGGCCAAACTGTTTTAAAACTAGGAAGGCAACAGTAACTCAAATGACCACTAGTTAATAACAAAGCATGAGGAAGAGCATTCTGGTGTGAAGCAAATGGGCTATAGCAGCAAAAGACCACTTCTGTAAGCCAAGAATCTGAAACTAAGACTACAATTTGCACCTAAGCTTTGACAAGCTTGACTATCAAAATTTAAAAAGACGGTGAATGGTAAATGGCCTGCATTTGTAAAGCGCTTTTCTAGTCCCAAAGGACCCCAAAGCGCTTCACACTACATTCAGTCATCCACCCATTCACGCACACATTCACACACCGGTGATGGCAAGCTACATTGTAGCCACAGCTGCCCTGGGCCCTCTGGCCACCACCAGTAGGTGAAGTCAAAAACATTCACCTTTCAAAGCCAGAGGGCCATGGTGGAGGGCTATATCCATTTTTAATAAATAGTCTATAGTTGGACATTAATACATTTACAATACATAAAACAAACTACTAACTCTGATGCCAGATAGTGACAGTAATGGTTAAGTCATTTAATCTCTCACAGCAGCAGATAATAACTTCTACTGCCACAAGGTCAGCTCTTTAAATAAAACTAAAACACAGATAGTGTCATATACCAAAAACCTAGAAGGAAGGAAGGTATGAAAACATGAATACCACCCAAGCCTAACTGGAATGCTGCTTATACTTGTCTATGAACGGTGTAAAATCAGATAACAGTAGCAAATTTATTAAATATCAAGAGGATAAACAGGAAAGAGAAGACAAGACAAGTTTCAGAAGTGTGACTTAAAGCCACGATACTCTCACTGTAACACCTTCTGCTGTTCAAGTTCCCTGCTGTATACTACCTATTGCAGATGAAGCCCTAGAATTGACATTCCAATATTTACCAGCATCTCTCTCTAAACTCCAGTCTCTCTGACTGAGCAGAAACTGCAGGAAGCTGTTGTTATGAGCGACTGTGTACCTGTTTGTCTGTGAACAAGCAATGTGTGAGTACGCACCGATTTCTGATCAATTATTATAAAGTGTTACAGTAAGAAACAGAGTTCTTCCAGACATGATAATTTGACTTCGTCTTTAAAACATTAATCCAGATGACCTCTTTTTGCCCCTGCCACTTCAAACGGTGGCTATTTTTACTAATGAAACCTTGCCTAGACTGCATGGTGAGCATCACATTAGTCAGCCTGGTTCTCATGAGTGGTTCGGTCCAAGGCCAACGTCCAAGCTCTGCTCTGTCTCACCACAAACATCTCTTTCGAGTTTAGCAAAGTGTTGCCAGCAGAGACTATTTCAAGGAGGCCAACGCTTTCAAAAACACTTTAAAACATCACTTTGGTAAGAGAGCGATTTGGAGTTTAGCCCAGTCTTAGCAAATGCACTCCTACTGTAAAAAACACTTGTAGTGTGACTGCAGGTTTGCCTGACTCCAGTACGAAGTAAATTGACCCATCAGGCCAGTATTTTCAACACTGTTGGAAAATAGTTAAGACTACTGGGAATAAATCCATCACTGGAGCAGAACAGCCCCAAACCCTATCTTTAGATGTAAATCTTAATATACTTAACAGGTCACTTTGAGATGTTTTGGAAGGACATGCTCAAAGAAAAAAAAAAAAAAGGGTGAAAGTTAGATGGCCTGATTTGTTATTTTTTTCTCATTTGGAGAAATAAGCTGTTGGCTCATTGCCCACTTACAGTCAAATTTCCAAAGCCTCATTTGAAGAACACTAACTCAACCAAGGCTTTGGATGCAGAATTGGTTTATGCGCTGCACTGGCGGTTAACTGACGAGAGACGCTGGAATGTGCGCTGGAGTGATCCTCTTGTTAACAGCCATGTCTCTCCCTTCACATCCCCTTGTTGTGGGAAGTCTGTGACATGAGTGTGTGAGAGGCACGTCCCAGTTCATGCAGCATGTCCCAGTTCATGCTGTGTTACAGCGGTCGAAGGTTACCAGCTAATGAGCCAGGCGAGGGAAGAGACACGGCAAATTTAAAAGGAGTCAAATTCCAACTCTGTGAGCACGAACCAGCAGCAAACGCGGGCAAACTTCTTGAAAAGCTGCATAGAGACAAGAGAGATCAGTGAAAGGAATGCTGGGAATTTCACTTTATGTATTCCTTTGTTTATGTTCATGCATTTACATTTTGGTTCAGTTGCTGATTTGGGGGAAGCCCTTCAGATTTAAGATCCTTGTTATAGAAAACGAGCTTTTCACACGAGCACTGCTGGTACTGAACGCAGATTCCTCTCTTGTTTGTATTCTCTCTCCTGTCTCCCTTGGGTGCAGCTGGTTTTACATTTCAACCCAACTGATTGATCTTGTTGGTCCATCAACATGAATTCAGACGACCACATGTGCACATGGATTATACACCCAAACGCACTGCACAACTGGCCTAATGAGCCATTCACTAAACAAACAAAACAAGATGATAGCCTTCTCCAGTAAGTGGTTGTGCAAACTCTTCAGCCCCCTTGACTTACAAGACACACACACACACACACACACACACACACACACACACACACACACACACACACACACACACACACACACACACACCCCTAGGGAGAGTCTGGCTCTGCCTGACTATTACATGAATCTCGTTTTCTGTGAACTTTGCCACTCGTGCTATGCCATCATCATAACAAACAGTGGCCTCCATCAAAGAAAGGGGCAAAGCTGCACACTTTCATCAGCGAGAAATTGTTCCAGACAAGTCGCATCAGAGGGGGAGAGAGAAACAGAGAGACCCAGCGTTGAGAAATACGTCTCTGATTGGGTTGCACCACTGACAGTAATTCCAACAGTTTTTATCCCCTCTGAACATTTTTCAAAACAACACAAACAACCTTAGGTGGTCCTGGGATATTTCACAGGGTGTTTCAGTACACACACAAAAGATTCCAGCTCCAGGAAACTCTCACCATCACTGGGAGACTTTCTGTGAGCATGCTTTCAAAGGTATAAATGCTCTAATTCTAGTATTTTTAACTTTAACTTCAGCCATAATTGGCTTATTAGGGTTCAGATCTGCTTTTTGTCCAAATGGAGAAAGGCCTTGTTCAGACCGACTGACCTTATTCTGGCTTCATTCAGACTCGCAGGTATGCTGTGAGAAAAACGAAAAAAAGCAGCCCTTTCATTTATTTGAATGGACCCAGGTGGTCAACGCAGAGTGGATGGCAACGCACAAAGAGGACTGCGTGTCAGAAAAGTTGAATACGGGTTAAGCTTTTGCTGCAAAGTAACATAACATCAACGGACAAAGTTGAAAAGTCCACGTTCGCCAACAGAAAAGCATATTTCAGCTGTTTATGGTGGCGTTTGTCGAGAAGGAAACACTTTTCCTGCATTACCCACCCACTGAGTGGAACAGCGGTGCAGTGACAGAAGAATGAACCTAACATGGCTTTGATTTCGGGAGAAAGCACTTTCTGTTTTTGTCCCCCGACCAATCATGGTGATTAAGTACAAACTCAACATAGTGAGGGCCCAGTGGCTCAAACCCAGGACCAATAAGCTTTAAGACAACAGTGCTGACCACCAGCCTGTCTGGTGTTCACTCGATCTTCATGCATCCTTTACTCAAGCCGGGCTTCCTGGATCACATTCTAAAATGCTGCCGCCTATTGTTTTTGTGCAGTTCTGTGTCAGGTCTGAGCATCGGCCTGAAAACAATCTGGATCTGCTTATTCCAGGGAAAAAAAAAAAAAATGAACTCTGCTATCTCAGAGCTGATATTTTTGTTTTTCTTTGGGGTTCAC